ATTCCATGTACATGTTCTTTTTCTCTTTTTATTAGCTTTCTCTGATCGTAGCATCTCTTTTTCTTCATCTGACATTTCTTTTTATCAAACACTTTATGTCCAACATGTTATAACTTCATTTTTTTCTACTTTGTCTATGTTTTCTATTTCTACCTTGAAAAAGGAAAATAAGAAATTTCGTGCTGACACATTTTTTATAGTTTAATGTTTGGACCAGATCTATGTGGCACTGATACAAAGAAACTCCATGTGATACTCTCCTACCACGGTCAAAATTACCCCATAAAGAAGGACCTGCAATGTGAAACTGACAGGTTAACCCATTTCTACACATTCATTCTCAGGCCAGATGCCACATACAGTGTCCTGGTTGATAATAGAGAGAGAGATTCTGGAAGCATGTATACAGATTGGGATATTCTTCCTCCGCGAAAAATCAAAGATGTCAAGGCCAAAAAGGTTTCCATTTAAGCTGTTTTATTCAGTAGTAACTTCTGATGTCATTTAGTTATGATGCTTTTGGTCATCTACATATCCTATAACAATATTATAACTTGGTTTAGATTTCCTGTTTTACCATAACGAGAATCAACTTATCCCAATCAGATTATATTGTTGAAATATCTTTTTTGTTTGTAATAATAACTTATATTTTGAAATTAAAACATCTTCCAAATTGCAGCCTGCAGACTGGGAAGAAAGAGAATACATTGAAGATCCTAATGATGTCAAACCTGAGGTATCCAAAAGCTCTATCTTTTCCCTAATGATAATAGAATATGAAGCTGGTAGTTTTGGTCCATGACATGACAAGCCCAATTATTTGTTTTTTGCTATTGCAGGGATATGATTCAATCCCAAGAGAAATTCCTGACCCAAATGCTAAACAGGTTAGTGGTACTTCCTTGCTTATGGCTTGATTAGTTGATTTTCTGATGTGATGATTTCTCAATAGAGAGATAAATACGTTTTTCTTTTAATTTCATACAATTTTTTTCCCTTTTTAATTAATTAGCCTGATAACTGGGATGAAGAGGAAGATGGGAAATGGAAACCACCAAAGATACCGAATCCAGAATACAAAGGACCATGGAAAAGAAAGGTTTGTTGATCAAGTTTGGGAAGCTAACCATTATGGCACACAAACATTTATTTTTCCTTATTGTTTTTTAGTTTTCTTCCATAGTCCATTCTCTCTTACTTGCAACCTCTATGTTGACAGAAAATCAAGAACCCTAACTACAAAGGGAAATGGAAAACTCCATGGATAGATAATCCAGGTATGTTCAAATTTATATCTAGGTTCTTTGTGATAAATTTCATATATATTACAGATTTTTATGCGTACTAAGGAGGAATGCTTAGACTTCATTTTCTTCCTTTATCAGAGTTTGAAGATGACCCCGATCTTTATGTTCTTAAGCCTATCAAGTATGTGGGCATTGAAGTTTGGCAGGTATGATGAATGTAAACTTCCAAATTTGGTGTTGGCATGTTATACTATACTACGGACCTATCTCTTCTTCCTCATCATGAAATGAACAACAGTTAGGCTAAAATGGGTGGATGCAGTTAATATAAGCCAGATATTCTGTTTCAGGTTAAAGGCGGTTCAGTTTTTGACAACATTTTGATATGTGATGATCCTGATTATGCAAAACAAGTTGTTGAGGAAGTGTTTGCCAACAGGGAGGTGAGTTTTTCTCTTGCATTTGATTTAGCTTAATATCCGACTTGTAGGTAGGCACTTAGGTTACATATTAAACAGCATCTAATATTTTTTCCATATACAAGTGTATTGACATTTTCATTCATTTTATAAATAGTAGTTAAATATATTATTTATGTTAACTTTGTATTGCATTGTGGGTTTTCTTTCCAACAAATGTACCTTTTCTTGGTGAAATACTATCTATACTTTTAAGCTGTAATAGTTTTAGTCTTCATGGAGTGTTTTAATGAAGTCTGTAATGAACATGTGTTCAATGTAGTCCTATAATCAACTGTCATCCAAAATAGGCTGTAAATATAGTCAGTTGCATCTTATTTGGATGAGAATGCGGAAGTTAATGTGATGTACAAAGTAGCCATTGATCAAATAAACACCCATCAGCGTTATTTGGATGGCAATCGACAATAGGAGATACCTTGAGGCTTGACCACAGATGGTAAATTCATGGACTCAGTTGAAAGTTTAAAGCAGCATGGAAAGATATGTATCTAACTGTGCAAGTTTAAAATGTATGGTCTAGAAACTTATCAAGTCTTTTGAAGTGATATTTGATTTGCCTCAGAAAAATGTCCATTTAGTAAAAAGGAATGTATTCAATTCTCCTTAATATATGTCTTCTCTCAAGGTACATGTTAAGATGACCCTTATTTTTTGTCATCTCAGATTGAAAAGGAAGGTTTTGAGGAAGCAGAGAAAGTGAGAAAAGCCAAAGAGGAGGAGGTACATGGACATACCCTTTGAGTTCCATCATCTATATTGAGTCAAGCAGTTTGTCTTTTTCCAGGATCCTAACTCTTTTTTCTACAGGAGGCTCAAAGAGCAAGAGAAGAAGGTGAAAGGCGAAGACGAGAGAGAGGTCATGATCGTAGACACCGGGACAGATACAGAGACAAATATAGAAGGGTATGTATCATACACGAATACATTCAATATTTATGCTTTTTGTATTTTTTTTCTTTTCACTCCCTTTTGAGGATAACAAATGGCATAGGTACTAGTTTGAAACAAAACTCCAATATTAGAGCAGTATTCTAGTATTTGGAAATGTCTGTAATCTATCCTTTCTGTTAAAGTGTGTGTTGAAGGTAAACCAATTTTCCTAATAATAATCTATGATGGAGTGGTAAATAATATTCTCCATGATGTTCTTTTTTAAAAGAAAAGGGTCCTCCCATGGTTATGAATGTTTTGGGTTTACATGCTAATTTTCCAAGTAATTTGTGTTGCCTTGTTTTTCAACTATGATAATATTTTCTTACACTTGGTTGTTTTCCTATGTCCAGCATCGCCATTACGAGGATTATCATGTAAGTTTTCTTAAGTTAGTCTCTCTAATGCCTATTAGGTTCATTGAAATTGAGGTGGCAGTTTGATGATCAATCTCAAAATTGTTCACCATTTCTATTTTCGAACCATAGCTTTACATGTCATAACAATGGTTGCAATACACCAATTAAAAAAAAAATTTAACATGAGAAGCAAGTTATCTTTGTGGTTGCAACGCTAACAAATATGACTTTGTTTGATCTGCAGGACGAGCTTTGATGGATAAAACTCTTCTTTTATGTGGTTGATAAGAGTATTGAGATTGTTATGAATTATAGTTACATTGATAGTGATGGTATATTTCATCTCATGTTAATTTCTAAGGGAAACTTTTTGAATAAATATAGTGTATTTGTCGCATATCAATGTATTATTTTAGTCTTGTCTCTCAGTTGGTTTTACTTTATACTGGGAACCTAAGCCGTTTTGCCATTGATACGAAGCTTACTACAAGGGATACTGAATAATGCAGCGTATAACATCTTATTAATTATTTATAAATATTATGATAGTGAAACAAGAATAAATATATAGTAGTTTGGATTTCACATAAATTACTTATTTTTGGAGATTTTACGTTATTAAAAATCTTATTTTATAAGTTAATTTAATAAAAATCTTATTTTATAATTTGATTATGTAGAAATTATATCTAAATTTATTTTCTAAAATCGTACAAAAAAATTTCTTAATTAAATTTGTTGAATTTACCGTGTCATTTATTATTGAATCATCAGATGATTCATAAAAATTAAATTTTTAATATGTTTAACAATCAAATTTAGCAAAAATATATTATCACTTGTCTCTTTCATATTAGAAATTCATTTTTTTTAAAGAATGTAAGTAAGAAAAGATCATGGGAAAAATAAATTTAAAGAACTCGATACAAGTTCTATTCATTATTGTTGCTTTTAATATATATATATATATATATATATATATATATATATATACATATATATATACAAAATTTTAATGGATAAATACTAAATCATCCATAAAAATAATAAATATGTTTTAAAAAGTTTTAGAAATCAATTTAAGAAATATTAAATTATGAAAAATCGATTGTATTAACTGTGATTTGTTTTGTATTAATAAATTGGAATTTAAGAAATCATTTAGGATCATTATTCATCCTAAAAATAAAATGAATGAATTTGATCTGATTTATTTTTTATATTTTTGTAATGGATGAATTTAATTATGAATGAACTAAATGGATGACATTGTTTTGTCAAATATCCTGTTTGTTTAAGAGGTTAGGTGAAGATAAAATTAATGTAGTAAGTTTCGTGATCAAACATCTTTACTTTATACTCTCTTTCCATTTATTTTTCACCCTACCAACCTATGTCTCACCGGTGTATGTAGCATTAAAGAACAAGGCCTATCATTCTTTAGGTAATTATTATCGGTTTTCCAAAATGCTGAAATGATATGCTGTTAGGGTGCGAGAATGATAAATCTGTAATACCTTTCCTATTCATGGATCGCCCGGTCTTCGCATAGATAATATTTGGTACCTTCCATTCCAGCAATGAAGTGCCCAACTCTATAAACGTGGTTCTCTGTACTTAGTAAATTCAAAGAATTTCAATTGTAAATTCGTTTTTGTCGCGCCCATAAACAAAATTGACGTGAATTCCGCAAACCTTTATTTTCCCCAGAAATATCACACAATATCAGGGGAAACCAAAGTGATATTCGTGTCAAAATTTCAATATATAACAATAATTAGTCAATCTAACTTGGAAAACTTAAAGACGTTGTTTCAATGTTTACAAAGCAAATCGGATTACAATTTCTTTTCATATGGGCACAAAGCTTTTAATATGCAATTAAAATTATTAAAAATGCTACATAAAGGGTCAACCTACGATTTCATTCATTGCCAATGTCCTCAAAGAATGTTTCCGAGGAAGAGGAAGCTAACTTATCATCTTCTACGCACAGCACCAGAACTTGGTCCACGCTGCACTGCAGATCCTGGCTGCTGCTGTGCTGGAGCACCAGGTTGCCCGCCAGGTTGTTCATCAGGCATATTCATAGCTTGAGTAACGGCATTCATTACTATGAGTCCAAGAGGGATCAGGTACATCCACTGGTATAGAGAAAGATTCCAGATAAAAAATGTTAATTCGAAAATACATACATTTATAGTTTTTTTTTTTGAAAAAAGAAAAAGAAAAAAGTTATGGCTTCAAATATCATGCCAGCATTTATGTTGTATACTCACATATTTAGCCCAAAAGGACCTTTCTATTGGCTTTACAGCCTCACCATCTCCCTCCTCCCCACCTAGCGCATCTTCAGCAAATATTGGAGCTCTATGGAAGGAAAAATTGTTGAATTAAAAACATAGAGAGCACACTAGTAAAAACTTTTCAAACATATGATGGATGCAGGAGCTATTTCATGTATGACGTTAAAAAGCCAAAAGCAAGAGGTTTAACCTTTCTTCTTCCCTAGCATATTACATCAGATAGAGACAATATTAATCTTCATGAACAAAGTCCAGACAAATTCACGGAAACATTTGGTTGGGATATCTATTTTCCCTTTCTGATTTCCCATTTTTATCTTCAAATTTGTTTTTATTTTATCGAGAGATAATTTCAGGAAAACGTGCTTACATTGGAAACAAACTATCTTTTAAGAATAAAAAACTGGACATGAATTCAGAAAACACTTCAGAGCAAGGAAATATATTCAATTATTTTTAATCTATTTGTATTTTTATACAATGAGGAAATGAGAAATGTTGGTCACACAATCTCTAAAAGACCCTTTAAAAGAACAGATAACTCTAGAACAGTTAATGATGATTACAGACTAAAATGTAAGTAAATAATTGTATACGTTTAGTCTATCCCTGCAAAGCGCTAACTTGCAGAAAAATCAGTGAATAAGGAATGGAGTAATTTGAGGAAAAATATGTCAACAAAGACAGACAACCATGGTATAGTGCACTTGGTAAAAAGACGAGAAATTGAATAGTAGAATAATTGCTGCGCAGAAATGGCTATAGAACAACCCAGACTGTGTTAAAAGTTCTTTCCCGTGGATAATAGAATCAGCAAAAGGCCACAAAAGACTCAGAACCAGAGGGTTGCAATATTCACAAGGAAAAGACAGCTCCGTGGTAGAATATAGGAAAGGTGACAATTTTCAATAGGAATATTCCGGTATAAAACTGATACTCACCCAATGTTTAAAGTATCAATATTTCGAAGGGGGGAAAAGCTAATGTTAGTACAAGAGAAATTATATGGAACATTGAAAAAAGACCTATAATCTCAAAAGTATGGCCTCAAATTTAATACAAGAGGCTCATTTACTAGCAAATTCATCTAATCAGGCTTTCTTCTATACCAGTGATAAATATATAAGAAAACCAAACACTGCATTATTGAAATTCCTTTTGAAGAAGGAATATAAAAAGGCAAAGAAAGAGAACAACAGAAAGATCGTATTTTCTATTTTTAATTGGGTAAAAAGTTTTCCATAGCTGAATACTGCTGCTACTACTACCTTAACAGCCATGAGCTTGGAACACTGTCTATGCTCCTTTTATAATACTATCTGTATATTAATTAAAAACTATTACTATCTGTATATTAAGTAATAAAATTAAGGGAGGAACTATAAATCTAGAAATATACCTTGGTGCCTGTTCACTGTTCTTCAGAACTGTGTGTGACTTGAAAGACCACTTTCCAGGCTAAAGCAAAAAAAAATGCATAATATTAGCATTTGCAATATAAATTAAGGCAATTGACATTAGTTTTAAGCTTGTTCAGGCTTATAAAATAGATTTGAAGGCATGCACATAGGGTATTTTGCACACGTGATAACTCTCAAGAACGAGGACAAGTCGTTGATATGTTAATAAATCACCAAAACATGGCTATGGATAATGGAATCTTTCAGGTAGTTTCTAAAGGCGTAATACATGCTAATTTTACTCTCTCATACATGCAGGGATCAGGATATAATACATTAACAAGTTCTCTGTATTCTGTCTAAATTGCCCCCAATCAGCTTTGGATCTAATCACACTTTTACTATCTTGAAATGCAAGATCATAAATTATCTATTGCCATTGACATATAGCAATCATTCTAGAAGTTTAACAAATAACTATATATGGAAAAAATAAAAGCATTGAATAATTTTTTATTTACACATAGCATTGGCATACACCAATCATTCTATATAATTCAGGTAGTTTCTAAAGGCGTAATACATGCTAATTTTACTCTCTCAAACATGCAGGGATCAGGATATAATACATTAACAAGTTCTCTGTATTCTGTCTAAATTGCCCCCAATCAGCTTTGGATCTAATCACACTTTTATTATCTTGAAATGCAAGATCATAAATTATCTGGTTTGCCATTGACATACAGCAATCATTCTAGAAGTTTAACAAATAACTATATATGGAAAAATAAAAACATTGAATAATTTTTTATATACACATAGCATTGGCAAACACCAACCATTCTATATAATTATAAGAAAAAAAGAGAAAAGAAAAAAAAGAGATGAACAATTTCTGTAATTATATCATTTTGTGTATCTGGAGGAAAGAGATAGTATTATTGACTCCTGGTATAACAGTCCCAACCTTTTCAAGAAGTTGATTGTGTGTAACAGAACAGAAGCAAGAAAAGAGATAAAATAGATGACAACAAAGTATGTTGAAAATTATCAAAAGTTTTGCTAAGCTCAATGAAAACCAAGAAATGAGAGCAGTTGTTAGAAGTAGAAGTGACTTACAAACTTCAGTTGTCTAGGATAAGCACAAGCCCCAGGGGCACCATAATTGACAGCCAAGACATTAACACCTTCCTGAAACAGAAAAAATGAAAGAGCGAGTCTCAACAAAATTACAAAGAGATATGTGTGAAAATAGATATGCAAGAAAACCTATAAGACTGTCTCCTGGTTGAAGTAACTACACCATAGCATAGGGAATACAACACATGGTCCCATGGCCTCTAGTTTTTACCATTTGCATAAAATGTGCAAAGGCGATTACTAATATGTGCCCTTAAGGCCCTTGTTGAGGAATCACAAACATAAAGGAAAAAAATGAAAATTAAACAATAATGGATCAAAAATTGTTTCAAAATCGGGCAAAAGTGTTCTTAATGGGTCAAAGGGGTTTGAACTTTGTACCTAACAGTAAATATTTGTGGTGGTGAGAAGAAAGTGTTCATGAGAAGGCTACTTCTACAAGCCACTCAATGAAAGGCTAGCATGAATGATAGACTATGATAGTTTAACCACTAGTGTAGAATCTAAGAATTTGAAAAAAAGTAAGCACAAATGAAGATGGACAATGCTGTAGATAGTTGTGAACCTCAAGAGAATCATTACGAAGAATATACCCTAAATTGGTTTTATTGAAATTTTGAAATTGAGGTAACATATAGAGTTACTTGATGCATGTAGCACCAGCATAATGAAGCAAGACTGGGTAGACCTTATATTTGTCATGTAATGAATTCATTTGTAATCCACATTCCTAAAACCATTTACAGAAGAGCTGAAGTAAAACAAGTCATTATCTCATGATCCACTGCTTGTGAACAGATAACCCAACCGATTTTACACATTCCTTCTACAAACTTGATTACCCAAATCTACATCACAAGAATTTCAATACTTTTCCCCATTTCTAAAGGACAGTCGAGTCTAATCATCTAGTGACCCAATGTATCAGAATTTCAAATCAGTGGAGAAATTAGCTTTGAAAATACAATACCATAGATGCAGCATAAACAGCATATTTTACCATATTAAGGAAAATTACCATGTGTATTACAAAATGCTCCTCCAATCCATCCCCTGGAAGACATCGCTGGATTCAGAAAGCAAAACTGTTAGTTCTACTTGGAGTCAAAAACTTAAAAACTCAGTGCGACACCAAATAAAGGAGCCACAGCCACTAAAACAGTGATCAATGCAATGACAGTATAACAAGGACTCAAGCTTTTGATATACATTCTCAAACCTAAAAGGAGTACCAGCAAAAGCAAAACAGAGAGAAAGAGTAAAGAAACAAACCATCTTTCATTAACATCACAAAATAAGTGCAGAAAAGACCATGCCGGGCATTCTTAGGACAAGGTTGCTAACTACCATACTACAGTAGCACCCTTAGTTACGGCACCAAATAAAATGCTAGAAAAGGAACAAACAAACCAAGGACCGAAAAGCTCAACACTTCTCAAGCACAAACCCAACAACTAAACATAGTACAAGTGAAAAAAGGAACTGCAATTTTTTATTAATATTTCATATTATTCAATAGACAAGAACTTCATTCATATTCACACTTACTGCTTTCACAGAAGAAATAATATATTCCCGGCCAGGAGGACTCAAAACATTGGACGGCAATCTAATCCTATAGAAATCATCTCCTCGCAACAGTTCCTGTAATGAGAGAAAAGTGTCACATCTTTATACAATACAAACAAACCAAAATACAAATACAGAAACACATACAAGAATAGTTCAATAGAAAATAAATAATTACTTTAAAAATCTTCTGCTCAACTTCAGTCAAAGGATCCCGCTTAAACCGCAGCTTCGTCAGCGTCTGTCACAGATCAAAACCGGCTTTCAGCTTAAGAACACGAATCTCGCATTTATTATATCCAGTATAGCTCAAAGAAATCGGAACTAACGCGACAAAACATTTGTGGATTTGAATAAAAGCAGATTCAAATCGACACAAAAGCAATTCATAAATCATGCATCAACTCTTCAAATTATAATAAGCAGCAGTGTAAAAGAGAGACGAGAGGGAAGGAACCTGGCCACCGTGGCTCCAAGTCTTGAGGCGAGCAGAGAAGTTGCCAGCGTCGGAGAAATCGGAATCTCCGAACGCGTGTTGGAGAGTGAACTGGATCTTGGAATCGGAGGCGGACTCCGAAAACCTCTTCCGAGAGGTGGAGGTGGAGGTGGCGGCGGTGGAAGGTTGATGCGAATCGGAGTGGAAGGAGGAGGAGCGTCCACCTTCGATGCCGAACTCTTCGTCGTCGAGGAGAAGTTCGTCGGATTTAAAACCTAACACGCAAGTTAGCAACAGAGTCACCGCCAGAACCCACCGTAAGAGTAACACACCCATTCTCTCGCCGTCTACTTTCCCAAAGCCGTGTTAGTGTTATGCGTACCCGCGGTCAAAAATTGAGTTCGTTTTTCTTTATCTTGACTCTCTCTAGTAACCAGTAGGGGAATTTCAATCTTATTATTTAATACTCTATATAACTTTTAAATAATTTAATCCAATAACTACTAATGTAAATTTGCATTTATCTCATTTTAAATTTTAATAAATAATATTTACATCCTTTAATTATAAAATAAATATGAATTATGCTTTATTATTGATAAAATGGCATGCATATATTTTTATTTTTAAATAAATGTTTACTTTAATATGTTTTATAAATTAACATTTGAATAAATATTTAAAATTCAATTTTCAAAAAAAATTGATAATTTAATAAAATAACCATCATTTCCTTATCTCGTTTATATTTATATTTATATTTGTATTAAAATAAGATATAAATATAATAATAAATTGATCATATTTAAAAATATTTACTTTTTATAATAAAACTCACCAACTTACCACAAATTAGGGAAATAACATTACACTTTAATTTAAAACCTTTGTAATTTATTATTATTATTAGTATGTGAGTTGTCGAATACAAAGAGTAATAAACTTAAAAAACTGACATTCTTGAGAATTAGGAAATAAGATTACATAGTTTGTCTTTTTATATATTATGTTATTTTTTTATTTTTAATTAATTATAGAGTTTCTAATTTTCGTATATTTTATCTAGTTAAATAAAAATATATACAAATTCATGATATCGATTTTTCTCTTTTCTAATGCCTATTGTTGTTTATTTTAGATTTGGTTTATATTTGTTAACTTTTTTTATTTTTATTAAACCTTATTTAACTTTTATTTGTAGTGGAGTCTTGATTGATTTTGAGTTCATAACTGAATTTATTTTTAGATTCGTTGTATATGCGCTCATTAACATATATAAAAAAAATGGAAAAATGTGAAACTGCAAAAAAGAAATAAAAAATCAAAGTTTTTTCAACAGATTGTTTACACTTTTATAGTCTTTATTGAAACAATTATTGTCAATAAAAAATTAATTTTTATTTTTCATGTTAAATATGATAGATTGACAAACACATTAAATTTATCGTTAAAATATTAATGAAATAAAATAAACATTTATGAAAAAAATTACACATAAAAAGTAAAAGGCTTAATATTGCAGAAAGTGAAATTTTGTCTATAACTTTAAATAGTTTGTTTCCACGAGAGCAAGTGGTACTAATATAATATCACTCTTAAAAGAGTGAGTTAACAAGTTATGCTATAAAAAAACATTTGTATTCTTCTAATTATACATTATTTTGTTTTCATTCATGTATTTTTAAATGAAAATTATTAAGAAAAAAAAAAGTTAAATTGTAACCAAACATAACTATCTACTACTGTATAACGAGAACGGTGGAAGATTATTTTCATCAATCAAATAATGTTTATTGTTGATTCTATTTTTAATAACGTTATAAACATGGTTATGTTTATGAACTCAAATAAATTCTACGCAAATAACATATTTTTATTAAAACTTAGAAACCTTAGGAAGTGCTGTGGGACGGCACGAGTCATTCTCACATTAGTTTGGAATTAAAATCAATAATAATTCATATACCATTTTTTTATGTAATCCACCAATGATATTTTGAAGTATAAAATAGAAATAATAATTTTAAAAAGAATAATATTTTAAATGTGAAAATTAATATTAATAATATTATTATATTATGATAAATATTAGATCGAAATATTTGTTTCATAAATAAAATATTAATACTAATTTAAAATTGATAATAGTTTATATCTCCTTAATTTTTAAAAATTGTATTATGAAGAGTCTAATATCTTAAAAATTAGGAATTAAGTTCTTACAATATTACGATAATACTTTTATTTTTAGATAAAATATTTAAAATAAATATTATTATATTATTTTTATTTTATTTTTTTGAAAATGTGACTCCATATCTTTCTCATCTGGCGGATTGATTATATATATATATATATATATATATATATCATATACATATATTTGATTTTATATTCATACAAATTTGATTTTAATTTATACATTTTTTTTTAATTCAAACAAATTTATAATTTATTTTATTTGATTTTAATGTTTGCTTTACAGGATATCCTGTACAATATTATTTAAAAAAACAAAAAATAAAAGAGGCAAAGGGAACCACCGACCACCGGACCTCTCTTAACCCTAATGCGGGGTAGACAGGCATCACATTATAGTGTTTCCAAGGGTAAATTTTCATTTCAGATCCCCAACTCAAACAACCCAAACCCGAGATAAAAACTCAGCACAAGAGTGAAGAAGAATAAGAAAGGGTTATAGCTTTGCAGCACTGAAGTTCGTGCCAGCAAGCAGCCATGGATGCGATACGGAAGCAGCTCGATGTGTTGATGGGAGCCAACCGTAACGGCGACGTTCGTGAAGTCAATCGTAAGTACTACGATCGCGACGTCTGTCGCCTCTATCTCGTCGGTCTCTGCCCTCACGAACTCTTCCAGTTGACGGTAACTTCTTCTTCCGTTTCTCCATTCGTTTTCGCATTCTAGGGCTTCATTTCGTGATTATATCTCTCACTGTCTCCGTTTCAGAAAATGGATATGGGACCTTGCCCTAAGGTTCACTCCCTTCAGCTCCGGAAAGAGTATCCTTATCGATCTCTAGGGTTAGGGTATTGCAATCGAAACGCGGAACAATTTGGTTTATTTTGTTGGTCTCTGTTGGAATTAAATTCGAATTTAAACCACGCCATTTCGTTGCCTTAATTTTAGAATTAAACTATGAGAAAGAGCCTGGAGTTTTGTACGACGCATCATTTAGATGCAGTGGCCTTGTGTGTTTATGTTACTGTTATTGCTTAACTGTTTTTAGATACGAGGAGGCGAAGGCGAAGGGGACTGATAATTATGATAGGGAATTGGAGGATGTTATTGATAAACTTATTGGTGAGTGTGATAGGAAAATTGGCAGGGCTCTTAAGCGCCTTGAGGACGAGGATGCAAAGGCTGCCATTGCGATTTCGGTCTCTGAAGTTACTCAGGTGAGTCTTTATTGAGTCCTTGTTATGTTAAGTTTGCCAGTGGCCATGATTTCGCGAGTTGTAGTAAGTAATACCGTTCTTGTTTCGTGATTGCAGACGCCTGAGGTGCTTGAGCTGTCTAAGCAAATTAAAGAGAAGTTGAAAGAAGCTGATCAATATGGTACTGTTCTATTGTTGTTACTTGCGTCTTTAATTGTAGGGAAGTGTGGAGTTCTAGCGGGAATAATTCGTTACTTGGATCTGTTATCTCTATAAACCGAGTGATATTTGTTGTCCCAGAGTTGTAGCTTCTTAGGTTGATTATGCATGTCTTTAATTGGAATTATTGTACTTGGTTTAAAGTTGCCTGTATGCACTTTGTGAAATTCTGCAATTGTTTGATATCCTGTTTTAGGAATTGAAATTTGAATGGACTACCCTGGTGTATAATAGATAATTAGGTCCCTAGATAACTTGTTTTTGAAAGTCGGGTATATTCTTGAAGTATGAAAACTGTAGACCATCGATTAGATTTAAACTAATTGATATTTGATTGGATACTTTTATTCTTAATTCGTAATTGATATGTTACTTAGTTTCAAAACTTCATAGGTAAGATCTGATTATCACTTACCTTTCAAACATTTAGCCAATGGCCACTTAACAATAGGACTGGCAAATCCAGTGAAAAGATGTTCAATTATTGAAGTATTTGAACTTGCATAGAAAATTGTTCATAATGTTAATCTGATGTTAAGAGAGTCATAGTTGATACTAAATTTTCAGTTTAAAGTATCTCTTAAAATTGTGAAAAACTTGTCTTTGTTATTTTTTGTCTGCTTTGGTACAATAAAACATTTTAGCGTCATTTGATCAATGTAGCTGAACTTACGGAGTTGGAAAATGCTTGGTTGTTGAGGTTCGTGACTTTGTCTAAGACACTCTAAATTTTCGCAGATCTTGAAGGCAAGACAGATCTCAAGATTCGAGCTTTAGAGGTTGTAGAGGAACTTAGAACTAAGAGAGCAGACAAGCAGGTCAGCGGTCTCCCTTGAACATTAAGATCGATTGTGATTGTCACTTTATTTTAGAAACTTGTATTGTTTGACTATCAAGATAATGTTTTATTCTAAATTTTTGAGGAGATACTAACAACTCCTTTGGCTTCCTTTCAATTTCCAAACAGTCGATGCTTCTTTTAGATGCCTTTAACAAAGATAGGGCATCTTTACCTACACCTCTGCCAAATCCACCACCTTTGGCACCCATTCCTGTAGTTGCTCCTGATCCTCGAACGCAAGAGATGATAAATGAAAAGCTGAAGAAGGCTGAGGATCTTGGTAAGTCAGGGATACTCTTAACACAGTGCATATGTTGTTGTTTATTTGCTTAATTTTTACACAAGTGGAAACTCAGCTAAAACTGTCTCTACTAAATTTTGATTATAAGCTGTTTTAATAGTTGAAGACAAATAAAGCAAATCTTTAAAACATGTTGAAATTGTCTATAAAATCCTTTGAAATTTAAGTAGCTCTGAAAATATCTATATGCATATTTTTCAAATGCTGATGCATTAATTGAATTATTAACCAGTAGTTATGGTTATGAATGAACAATCTAATAGATTTCTGGAGTAACAGATAGAAAAAGAGAGCATGAACACCCTCTCAGAAGGATGTGGGAGACTTAATTTGACAGTAGAAGCTAATGCAATATTTTCTGAGGGTCTTCTTCATGAGGTTTTTTAATAACCCTTGCATCCAATCAATCTATTTCATGTCTTGAGCAAATCACCACATTCCAAGTTTTTAAAAGAGTCACATGCAATTTCGACTCCCCTAAAAATAATGCCTATGATATGAAGGTTAAAATGACATCATTAAATATAATAATTAATCCCCTTTGTCCTATTTCAGAAATGTAAGCAATTAATGCTGATGTTGCAAATCTCTAGGAGAATTTTGGCTTTGGAAAAGAATGGAACCAAGAATGTTTAGGTGTTAAATTGTATGTCACATAAGAACTTTACCGTTGATATGATCTGTTTATATATATATATATATGTATATATACATATATGTGTGTGTGTGTGTGTTGCCAAACTAATATATTGTGATATTATCCACTAAAATTTGTTTTGTGTGTGTTTTAATATTATTGAGTAACTGACTTCTTCCTTATAATCATGACTTATTTTTTTTATTTTGATTTTGTATTTATTTAGCTTTAAAAGAACAAGTGTCAACTGCAAACTATGTCCATTGCCTTCTGCTTAGCAACTCCCAAGATATTATCAGATGCCTTTGTTCCTGAAAAAGGCTCCCTCCTTTTTATTAAATGAAGATATTTATTTTTTTAATGAACAGGTGAGCAAGGAATGGTTGATGAGGCTCAAAAAGCATTGGAAGAGGCTGAAGCACTGAAGAAGGTCTTTATGTTTTATTTTATAAAGGATTTCTATATGAAGTTACCAAAATTTCTGTTTTGTATTGTTTGGATACCATTTGAAACTTTTGAATCAATGTTTAACTTTTTTGTGTGCTTTCTTGCCTCATTAATTTCTAGCTTTTACTTATGTAGTGGCTCTAATGATATGATTTTTTTCTATCTCAGCTTCCTGCCAGGCAGGAGCCAGTGTTAGATTCATCAAAGTATACAGCAGCAGATGTGCGGATTGTGAGTAGATTTTCCATTATCTATAACTCATTTTATATGAATAAATAATTACATCTGTGTCCTCTAAGATGGAAAATGAGGCATTATAATAAATGTAGTGTACAGAAGAAGCTCCCGTTCCAAATTTTTCTGAAGTATCATTATTGTTTGCTCAAAGAAAGTATCATTAATTGTTGCTCTATCCAATAATTTTATATCATTAGCTATTTTTCTGTTGTATTCAACTTGAGGTATACCTTGTCCTGAAAGAATTAATTCCAAGTTAGTGCCTTTGGGAGAGCAATATACACAATTCATCCAATTGAAGTAAATATGCAAAACATTTCTCATATCCACAATTTGGCATGCTTTTTTTCAATAAAGAAACCTTTTGCCTGAGAATTTATGGCTTATTTTGATATGACTGTAACGATTCTTACACCTTTTGCTCGTACATATCAATTCAGACTGATCAAAAGCTACGTGTGTGCGACATTTGTGGAGCATTTTTGAGTGTTTATGACAGGTAATGACTGATTTTGCCCCTCCCTTCATCTTGTCCCTTTTTCCTTAATTTTTGCAAGGGATTTATGGTGTTAGAATTTGGGGTTTCAAGTGCTTCAGCTTTTGACCCGTTAGTAATACCTCCTTGTCACCAGCAGGCTCTTGTGCCAGTTTTACGAGGATAACTTTTGCAGCTAAAGAATGTGCGTCTTTTCTGTTTTTTGCTTGTAGATCATGCTATTCTTAGCTAGAAATTTTTGGGGAAATAATGCCATACATCAGTCTATTATTCTCTTGATGCTTTTGCATATTTTGCTTGAACAGTTTGATTTGAATTATTGTTTACAGTGACCGCCGATTAGCTGATCATTTTGGAGGGAAACTTCATTTAGGGTATATGCAGATTCGTGAGAAGTTAGCAGAACTTCAAGTAAGACAGACATCTTCAATGCTTTTCTGATAGTGTTTTATTCTATTTTAAATAGGATTTTGAGTATGTGTTATTTTTATATGGAGAAAAATGTTAGGATTTGCCAGTACATGATTCCTAAAGCCTTTCTTTTGGTCCAAAAATATTTTAGTAATTTCATCTCTTTTGGAGTTGTGTGAAAAAGAGTCTGAGAATAATGTGGTAACTGCTAAGTTTCTTTTGGTCATCTCTCATTCTATAGCTTCCATTGATTTTTTTAAAACATTTTTGTAGTTTCATCTCTTTTGGAGTTGTGTAAAAAGAGCATGAGAATAATGTGGTAACTGCTAAGTGCGTTTATTTAAGTTCATGATCTAAATCCATTGAGTTTGTTTGGTTGGGTTCTATAGAGATTCCCAATTACTGTACGATGTTCTAACCTAAAAGTTTTTCTCTTTCCTTTATACATCTTATTGGTCTTCAATCTTCACTGCTGAAAATCTCAATTTTGGTCTGGAAGCGTGCAAACTTGTGAATTAATATGCAAATTTGTGTACTTGTAATTTTGATTGACGTTTGCCCTATCATTGTACATAACCTGTCATCTTTCTTAAGAAATATTTATACTTATATTAAATCTATCCAACCTTGGTACGAGGCATATTTCGTCAATTAGCTTGTGTATCAAGTGCATTTTTCATCTAGACATTTAATTTTAATATTTTTTGTATTTGCTGACATCGGAACAAGCTTGTCACTAGTGCACCCAGTTTTGGAACCCCACTATTAAATACCAAATGAGTTTGTTACTTTGTGAATGTTGTTCAATACTAAAGAAATTATTCTTTTCTGCAGTTTTCAAGTCAATTTTACTTGTGATTATTTCAAATTTTTTTACCATTCCTAGGAAAAAGGAAGAATCCAAAAAACTATGTTGAGGCTGACTTTGTTTGTCAGGGTTTTATGTTTTTGGGAATGTCTAGTGTCTATCGATTTTGAATGTTCAATGATATATGAACTTTTAGTTTAATTGGGAAGAGGAATGATCTCAGACTATGTTATTGTCCTGTTCAGGAAGAAAGGAACAAAGGTCGAAAGACTGACCGACATGATGACAGGAGGTAAGTTTCATTGCTTAATATGGGAGTGAAATTAAATTTTATATTTAGTTAAAAATTATTTACATTTATTTGGCATAGATCAAAAGAACGGAGCAGGGATCGAGACAGGGAGTCGAGTAGGGACCGTGAACGTGGTGATAGTCGTGAACGAGGGAGAGACCATGATCGTAGGAGTAGAGACCGTGACAGGCATTATGATAGAGATCGTGGACATGACCGTGACCGAGACAGAGACTCTGATCGCACTCGTTCCTATGATTCAAGAAGTCGTCGGAGGTCACGCTCTAGATCCCGAGAGCGATCTAGAGATTATGATCGACATAGGTACAGGCTTCCACAACATGCTCTGTATTTAACAATAAGAAACAAATGCAGGGAATCCAATATGTTTAGACACGAGGGCCCTTGATTGAAGAGTCAAGTAGGGCTTAGTATATGTAACTTTTAAAGAATTCCTTGTGGTATCTAAACTCAGTAGGAGCCATAGTAAATGTTTGTTGAAAGTCTTGCTTTTACTTCCTCTGCATGTTTATTTTCTGTTTTTTCCATTATTTTATGAACTTGGTTCTTGGGTGTACTTAGAAAAGTGGGGGATTTCAACTATCATAGAAAAACAAATCAAGAGTTTAATTTGTAACGCATCCATGGGTTGTGCATGTGCATGAGATAGACTCATGAATTTAAAAGCAAAATATTATTTATTGGTGTCTGTACCTAACCCTTGTAATTTTTTTTTTCAGGCGTCATGATCGATACTAGCAATTGCCATGAATTTTATGGATATGACAGAATGTCTAGTTTAGGTGGGTGCTGAACCTCATGTTGGACAAATAATTTTGCAATTTCTTGTGTTGAACTGTTTCTCCGATGATGGATGTAGCTTGAGCTTAGGTGTAGCAAAATTATGGTTTTATGATATTTTGCAGATTTTAAATCCAATTTGTAATCTGCCTTACTTTGGAGCAGTTCTTACTATTGTGCTTAAAAGTAGTAGTTTGATTTGAATTGATATTCACAGTCCTCGTGCGACAGAAAAACTACCGCACTAGTGTTTTAAGTAACTTCTGGGAATTTTATTTAACAAATCAGTTTTGGTTATCTTTTTGTTGAGGCGGTAAGGAGTTAATTTATTCTAGGGATTGGGTGCAGTCTTTTGCATATTAAAGATATGTTATCTTAAACATTTTTTGAACATTTCTTTTGTACTGAATTTTATTTGTAATCTTTTTTATCTTATTTTTAGTCAGTATAAATATTTTTTTTCTGACTGTTTAAAACCACCAGAAATTAGATATTATTTTCTTTTCTTTGTTGTTCATATGTTAATCATAGCCATCTCATAAACCTTTCTCTCGATGTTCAAATCCCATACATGGAGCATGTGTTAAGCACGCTATAGGAGGTATCTAGCCCTCTTTGACATGACTGTATCTAGCCACCTTGCGTCTACTAGTCTATACAAGACTTAAACCCAAAGATCTCTTTATTCAATGAATAAAGGAAAATTATGTCTCACTGTTTAAAACTGTCAAAAAAATTGTATATACTTAAAAAGTCGAAATAGTCACTGATAACAAAATGACATCAACTTTTTAATGTTGATATGATGTAAAGAAGCAAATTGAAATGCTATAAATCTATACAACAGCAAACTAATTTTTGATAAGATAAAGATAACTAAATATAAACAAAGAATCAAATTTAGCCAATAATTTTATGGATTAAGCATTGTATTTCATATATTTCTTTTAGTTCTCTACTTTTGTTTAGTTTTTGTGTATTAAAAAGTGTTATTAGTAGTCTTCCATTATTTTGCATTTTCTTCTACGGAGGATTAAAGTTCGAACATGGTACGAAGTGTTGCGATATCATTGGGAACATCAGCGTTTGCATAAAATTGCAATTTAAAGTCGTCTTTTGCCTATTAAATGGTTAGATTTACCGTGATTGATTGTGATCGAACATGAAACGAAATTTTCATGTTGGCAGAAGACGGCAAGAGGTCACCTTCTAAGAAGATTTGGTCTATCGAATTAAATTTGTCTAATTTGAATGAAATTGATTTTCAGCTTATTAGGAACATGTCCCGTCAACATTTCAATCAATATATTTAGATGAGAAAAAAACAAAAGAAAAAATGCTGAACATTTTTGTAATTTTTAATAGTAACAATAGTTTTAATTCATACTGATAGACATAATATTTTAATAGAAAACTTTATTTTATTTTTCTTACAAAAATGAGTAAGAAATTTATTTAACCGGTTCAAATATCGAAAGATGGATATAATATCTATTTGAAGTTAATCAATTTTATTAAACGCCAACTGCTCAGGAGATTTGAACCGGATCTGGTTGTCTGTCCAAGTTATAATGTTGGTGAACCGGATCAGGAGATTTAAAAAAATTGTATTTAATTTACAATGAAATAATTTCATTAATCTCATAATTAATATCCTTTTCTTTTTGATTATTGAATGAAGGACAAACAATGAATCCACAAGCAGCATTGGCACGTGATTCAGAGTAATCTATTGGCGAAAGAACAAACACAGGTTACCATGTGTATGGATTGAATCCATGATATGCTACAAAAATGCAGAAAGATTCGATTGGGAATTAAATACAAGGAAGAAGAAGGCAGAAAGAAAATAAATTGCAGAAGCCCTAATCAGATTTGCCTGGAAGCAGCATCGGCGACGAAGGGCAAATGCGGCGTGCGTCCCAAGACACACGAAGCAACGCCGTAGAGGAAGCAGAGAATGCTGAAGACGAAGATGGCGTTGTTGGACCAGATTATGAGGGGCCCGCGACCGGGGGAGAAGATGCGCGTGATGAGGAGAGGGATAACGAGGAGAACGTCGAGGGTCACGGCTTGCATGGCGTTGAATCTGACGTAGCGGGGGAAGGTAGGGTTTCGGACGACGCCTAGGTAGAGGGCGAAGAAGGCGACGAAGGAGGCGTAGGGAATGGATCTGTAGAAGGCAAGGAAGGGAATGATGGGATCGAAGACGACGGCGAGCTTAGGGTACTGCGCCAGGAGATAGCGTCCGTATTGAAGGGAGTTGAAGAATGGGAGAGTGTAAGCGGCGATGGAGATGAGGCGCTCCGTTGGCGGAGGAGATGTGTTCGACATGCGCGCCCCGACGGCGCCGTTTTTGGGTTTGAGAGGGAGGAAGAGTGTGGGTCTGGGGAGTGAGGTTTTGAGGGTGGGTGTGGGAAGGAAGCAGCATGGGCGAAGAAGGGGAAGAGTCGCCATTTTCAGACAGAATCGCCACCACCACTCTCTCGTCTACTGTACGCTTTCTGCTTCTTTTTTTTTTATCTCTAGGGCTTTCTCAACGAAGTTCATTTTGATTCATCGTTTGGGCTGGCCCACCCTGCAAAATAAAATAAATAAATATTTGAGAATAAACCATAAATCTAGTCCTTAATATATTTTACCCTCGTCTTACTTGAACATTGTCTTGGATTGGATTATGGTAAATTTGAGACTAGGAATGATAAAAGCTGCCTACTAACATTTAAATCAGTCTAGTTTCATAGTAAAATATATTTTTAAATATTTCATTATCAAAGTAACTAATGAAATAAATATTATAAAACTTTAGGGACTAATTATTATTATTTTTAGGTTACGTTTTTAAAATTTGAATCAATATGATTAGTCTTCTTGAATGCAAGACTACGAGAGTTTTTAAAAACTTCTTTACTTAAGATTAGTCCTTTAAACATTTATACTTGCATCCAAACAAATCTTAACAAACTACACTATTCAACTTATTTCAAACTTTTAGTTTTAGAAACAATTGTGACAATGCTATATATTTTCATATACTAAAATGGACTATTTTATAAGACTGTGAAGCGTATTGGTAATTATATTTTTTTATGTTATTATATTATATTATATATAATAAAACCTTTTTTTTAAGTCCAAGAAATGAATTTTTTCTTAAAAAAGACCTTTTAAAAAAATTTATAAATGTCATCTTTTAATAAACATATAAATCAAAGTGTTGCCCCTTGCAAGTCATTTGACCTATTTCCATTTTTAACCAGCGATTTAAGCACATCAAATTTGAGTTTTTGATCTTCCATCCTCAGAGCTGCCCATGCGATTCCTCTTCCTCCAATTTCATGAATGAGTTGGTAAAAATTTCGATATTTTAACTAAACATATAACTCATTATTGTATGACTCTGTCTACAATGACACATTACTAGTGAAAGGGACAAAGTAGTGTAGGACATTTAATGACCTTGTAATCATAGATCTAGTGCTTGATTTGTTTGGCATTTCGTTCCGACAAAGTAAACACATGTCCACAAAAGTATATAAAAATTTATAGCTTCTGCATCTTAAGATTTGTTTTGACATAATTTGTTTCTCATAATTTGAATTCCAAATGGGATACCAAACAAACGGAAACGGGTAGCCTAACATCAGAGAACTGGTTTTCAGATTGACGAGATCACTTCTTTCTAGGTGATGCTGCTGAGTGAAGTCTCTTTGAGATTTACCACTAAAAAAAGTATAAATACATATTAAAAATTATTGTCATTTTAGTTCCTAATATAATTATAGTCCACAAATTTGACAGCTTCTATCATTTTGTACCCTTCTAACAGAGTTAATGGCAACAACTGAACTACAACCATTGGGGTTAACTAATGCTTCTAGTTTATTAGTTCAAAGTGTATACTAGAAGATACTCGAGTGACAAATTTTAGCACAAAATCGTGGCAAATAATTTTGTAATAGCTTATTCCCTAACCAAAGCAATTCATGTCTATGATTGCTGCTGATGCACTGAAGAAGTATTTAAGTCTTTCCAATGTCTAATTAAAGGACTCGAAAATGGAGACCAGGACTATAGTGCCAAACAAAAACTTTATATCTGATTAAATGAGTGATCAATAGAGGCTAACCCCATATTTATAACTAATTATTACTAAGGAATATTTTTTCAAAAAAAATTCTAAGAAAGCTGGTAAAATACAGCAATTTTTTCTCCAGAAAATGTCAGGTGTAGAAAAGTGAGAAGATAGAGGCTAGTACTCCCTTGCTCTTCTTCTGAGCTCATTAAGCTCTTTCTCAAGCTCCGAGTCAGTGAAGGGAAATTCTTTGTTGCTGGAAACAGTTCTTCCAGCTGGAAGTTCTCCCCTCTGGCAATAGAAAAATGAAAATGAAAATATCACAATATTAAGTTCCTAGAGTCTTCACTGTAATCAACCAATAATGCTCCTGGATGGTTTCCTATGTTCATTTAAACCCATTAACATTCCATAAACAGTTACAAATCTATGTCTATCAGATGAAACATTAAATTCAAGAATAGTTCAAATTCAAATCAATCTGGTTAAACTCTTGAATAATTTTTTATTGAATGTTTTACTAACAAATTTCAGCGTCGGATTACTTATGATATTCATATCAATCTAAAAATTTTACTTAAATCCCCACGATATGAGGGTTTGTGTTGGTAACTAGTATATAGAGAGAGTGAAAAAATCATAAATAGTGAAATACCTTTGAGCTTCTAGATAATTCTTTCTTTAACTCAGCAAGATCGTCATCGACAGAAGAGTTGTCCAGCAGCGCAAACTGTGAACAACAGAGTAAGATCTTTCTTTTGTTTTGGGAGGAAAGAATTCAACCATGCAATGTTTTCTTTGGATAAAGTTACACAAAACAATGAGAGAATTGTTGTAGCAAAGTGCAAATATGAGGTCAATGACAAACCATTATTATTATTATGTACATACATATTTTAATTCATGAATGTTTTGTAGTAACAACCATAAACTATAGTATACAATAAATCAATAGGAAGAGTTCCAAGAATTTCATATCACTTCTAGCACAGACAAAGATACATTTGTACATGAGTGCAGCATTACTAATAATGACAATGAAGACACTTTTTGATCAGAGAAGTAATAGCACAGGTAAACTTTAGTTGTTTGTGATTACTTATCAATAACTTCTCTTTTTGGTATGTCCCATATATGTACAGCTGAAAACTAAAACAATCCCTTTGTTTGTTTAAAGAATAAAACGATCAAAAGATATAAAGCTTAGTTATATACAATAAGTTATACTACCTTGCCCTCAAGATTGTCAGTGGATAACTGATTCAATGCATCTGCCTGAGCTTCCATGGTTAATACTGGAAACATAAAGTCAAGTAAGTTTGTAAGGTTTGCTTGAAATAAGTAGTATAAGAACTACATATGCACTGTCAACTATTCATACATGAATGGAAGCAGTTTCTTCCATTAGGCGCATCCAAAAGGGTTCCAATAGAATATTAAAAAAAGGAGAAAACTAACCCTTTTCCTCCATCTTATCAAAAGCTGCAAGGGCACTGCTTGTGCTGAGATTGCCCACCATCTCACTGACCACGGTTGAAGTCCTAAGAAAAAGAAAAAGAATTAGCTATTTATAAAACAAAGATGATAGACAAACCATGACATTCAAATAATGAAAGATGAGCTAAAGACAAACTTTGCAGATTGAGCTCTTGCTTTGAGGGTATCTTTCTTTGATTTAGCCTCCTGTATCTTGCTCTCCAAAAGCTGTTGGAAAAAAAAAAAAAAAAAAAAATAGTCAAAGAATTCAGCATTATTTCTCCCATAATGATTGCCAACATGATTGCCAAAAAAGTGCTAATTGATTGTAAAAGAATTCAGCATTATCAATAATATGCAATAATAGCCTGACAACCTTATTTCTTTGTTCAAAACAGCATTTGCTTAAACTTCCAGCAAGAAGATTTCATAACCAAAATAAAAATACACATTCCTATGCTGCAATATAGAGCTGAACCATAAAAAATTTGTTTCCAGTTACGAACCACATATCTTCCACTTATGCCATACAGAAATTAAAATTTATTTTATATGTAAATAATATAATTGTAAATTGTAGTTAGTCTAAATGGCAACATGCTTACTACTACTGATTTCAATTCTTTCTCTTATAATTCACTCTACTTCCCCAGCTCTTTTCTCATTTTCTTATTCTCTCTGATTTAAGCTCTCTAACTACCTTCACCTTTACATTTCCTTCTTGTAATTTAATTTGAATTGAAAATAACTTAAACTAATAAAAGATAGAAAGTGAGTTAACTATGGTTTTATATCCGTGGTAAGTTATGGAATGGCAACTAACCTGTGTTTTGGACACAAGATCATCAGCAACATTCTTTTGCTGATCAAGCTGTGTCTTCAGAGCAGTTGCATTATCCTGTATACACCACGTATGATGCGAACAGCAGAAACCGACTTCAATATACCCAAACAACTCTTTTTCAATTCACAATGACTTACAACACAGACACTAAATAAATGAGTTTGCACACACACACACACACACACGCACACAAAACACATTACAAAGGGAAGAAATCAATACCATATTTCAATTTACCCAAACAACTTTTTTCAATTCATAATGATCAACAAGCCCTGAACAACACGGACACATAATAAACGAGTCTGCACACACAGACAGAGCAAAAGGCACCAAGGTCTCTCAAGCCAAAACAAGTTGTTTTCAATTCATAAGGGTTTACAATAACTAAACAATACACAAAAGAGTCTGCATATCTGTTGTCTTCAGGGATTATGTAATTATTCCTTTGCCATTGGCCATTGGGTTCTGTGTCTATGTATGACAATGCAGGAATATTTCATCAGACGAGCTGTTTTGAAAGAGTGAACTTGTAAAATCAAGAAAAAGGCTTTTTACAAGAAGTAACACTAATATTTCAGGCTTTTTTTGAGTATTTAAGTAAGGAAGGTATTTTGGAATTAGTGGCAGGTATTTAGAATATCTATGAACAACCACAACCAATTGTCACTTATCCCAAGCTATCTTTTGTCAACTAGCAATCATCATACCAAATAGAAGAACCTTGAATTCACAAAAAAATTATACCCATTCTGCAGACACCCTTCATTGCTCGGCTAAAAGAATCAGATGCATACAAGCTGCAGAAATATAGTGTGTTTCTATGACAACAGCATGAACTAGTGCACAATCCAGTAAGATATTTGCCAATTGAATAACACTAATCACTAATTGTTTAGAGATTCCTTTAAATCAAAAGAAACTATAGTGCCTCTGATTCTGTGTGCATATTTCCTTACTGCTATAATAAATTTCAAAACCATAAAGTAACAGTTGGGGCTGTGGAACTGGGTTGGTGCAATGGAATCTAATATTGGAAATAATAGGGAAAGAAAGAAAAAGAAAAGTTGGAGAAACCAACATTGACCAAGTTTAACTGGCAAATAGCAATGAAAACAATTACAACAAACTCAATGAAAATGATTTTAACAAAAATGCCCTTTCCTTTTCACCTATTGATGACAATTGATAAATAATGTGGGAACTGTGTAATGACAAAATGGTTTATCTCATGTCAAGATCTATACGTAATGCATATTATTCACATTTATGATGCATAAACTCAAATACACAAAAGATTTTTAGATGGGCAAGTGGCATACGGCATACGACTTCCTTCTCTTAAGTGCCTCACGGGCAAGATCCTCGTCTCCCTTCTGAAGGGCAAGTTGTGCCCTTCTATACCTATTATTAAGGGAAGAGTAAGAAAATAACTACCAAACAATGAATGATGAGGGCATATAAAAACAGTAGTTCTTTAAACCATAGAAAAATATGAAAAAAGAATACCATTCATCAGAAGCTTTTTGTACAGATTTATACTTGCCTTCTAACTGCTTTTGAGATGCAAGAACCTGGAGAAAAAGAAAATACACAGGTTTATTGAAAACATTCATTCAGCTCAGTGTCCGCCATATCCTTATGCATTAGCAATGCATTGTACAAATTGAATAAAAGTAAAACCCAGACTGGAAATGAGATTAAAAATATTGACCACTCAGGATAAAGGGACACAAAAATACAGATATGAATAAAACAAAAACTCATAACATACCTGTGCTGTAGCTTGGCGAACCTTTATCAAATCATTGTTCATATCCAGCACAGCTTGTTCTAATATCTTCTCAGGGTCTTCAAAGGAGCTCATAATGGCATTAGCATATGACTGCATTAATTCAAACAAATCAACATAAAATAAAAATTGAAGCAAAAGTAAGGAATGGGAAAAATTCCATTCTATGTTATCTAAAAATAAAAACAAAAATCTCAACTATATGTATCCTAATGTTACCTTGATAACTCTAGCAATTCTGCTAAAAAGATTCATTTGAGTACCGAGGGCGCCGCCCCCATGACAATCACATTTCAATCTATCCGAGTAGGATACCCTTATACCAGGAACTTTCAGTGCTCCTGCTGCAATAAGACCCATTCATCTGATCAAGTTTCAGTTGAAAAAACATTTCTTCCATGCTAACACACCATAAAAATTACACTTGTACATTCACTACGACCACCCTTTTTCTTAGATTGGTGAATGAAATTTCTGGCATCAACATGCAAACTTTTTTGTTTTACAACTTTTACAATCGTGACCAGCTTTTGGGTGAACCAAAGGATCATAAAAGCGGGTCTTCCCATGTATTACATGAGAAGAGAAGGAAATTAACAACAAAAATGATAACATGTGATCATACATGGGTTAGAACAAAGGCATGGACTTACAGCGGTAGCCGAGAAATGATGATTTTAAGGGTGGAAGTGTGGAACGTTCTATTGAAACGACCCCGGAAGCCGTGATTGGCGTGGCCTTCATAGACATAGCCATTTTTCTTCGTCTCTGTTCTGCACCTACCACAATCTGGTTCGAGCCTCCTTTTTCTGTAACTATGACGGTGGTTTGATGCCACGGTTCAAGTACACGCTTAACCTTTTTTTCACGTCAAATAAGGAGGACAAAGAAAATCTCTAGTGTTTTACTTTTAACCAATGTTTGCATTTATATAATTGAAATTTACAATAATTACAAGTATTTAAAAATATGATACATTATGATAAATAAATATGTTAATTATGTGGATCGTATTTAAAATTTATAATAATAAATAATTTAAATTGTGATATATGATTTTTAATTATTAATTTAAAAATATTAAATTTTTAACATGTACAATATGGAAAATTTGTATTTTATAAAACAAATAGCACTAAAAATCCATTAGAAGTGAAAACAAAAACAGTAATCCTTCATTTTATTTCATATATTGTTGAAGGTTTTCTCATGCATTAAAAAATTAATAAATATATATAATTTTTTAAAATATTCGTAAACTATTCTCTATATTTTTATTGTTTGTTATTGTAGAGTATTTAGATATATAATTGATAATGCAAAAATTGGTCTCACGTAATATAAGATGGTTGGGTCATTAATTGACCCGATTAAGTCAGTTCATATTATAAAAAATATCGGAAATTAAATTTTATACAATAAAATACTAATTCGTAGAATAGTAATAGTAAAAAAAAGTTGAAGATAAAGTTTATAGTTAAAATTTTAAAATTAAATATAAAAATTAAAATTTTATTTCATAGAATAAAAATAATTAGAGACTACTATAATGAAGAAACATTAACGTATTTAAGGCGTAAAATAAAATAGTTGCTAGTTTCTGGTTGTGGATATAGGGCACGTGATAGGCACGTGAGAGTGAGAGATTAAAGAAGCGCCAGTGAATGTGCGCCGTGTGTCACTGTTCCACCCATCACTCTTCATTTCCCTTCCTTTCTTTTTTCTCTCTCTCTCTCTCTCTCTCTCACTTCTCTGCACTGTTTCATTTTTTCAGTCCTTTGAGACAACAAACATGGCATCCTCGTTGCCACCTGCGACCAAAGCCACCACCAATTTCCCTCTGACACACTCTTTTCGCCTCTCTCCTAAACCCAGCAGCCTACGCTTTCCCTCCACCAAGGTTCCTTACTTTTATCTCCTTCTCACTTAATTTAGGTCGCAACAATTAACATTACTCAATGTCTTTTTGTTTTAATAATGTTCCAAATCAGACACCACGCTTGTGTCTTCCATGTTGCAAGAACAGCAAGCACAGTCTTATGTTTTGTTTTGTTGCTTCAGTTACGGCACTACTCATTTATCTGTCTGTTTTTATGTGCAGCCTGGTCATTGGGTGTCCTTCACTAGGTTTAAGGCACAATTAAGTGAGGTAATCTCTCTTCTTTTCACTTCCATACTATGCAGTGTATATCTGTCTATTTAGGTTTAGTCTCAAAATATGATTTTGGTCAAGAGGGCAGCTTAGATGGAAAAATTGTGAATTTGGTGAAGAAGATATCTTAGATGATTGTGGATTTGTAATGATTGATTAGAAAATTTAGGATTGGATTGTCATTTAGTTATAGTTTGTTTGAATAAAACTTCTTCATGCATATTCATGGAAGAGAGACTAAAGAGGTAAATTGATAAAAGCAACTTATGCACTTTATTTTTATAGAAGTTTTCTAATTTAATTTCTCCAAAAATCAGATGCATAAATTGATTTAAGTGTATGCTATGCGAGAAACATAATTTATTTTAACTTTTGAGAAGTTCTTCCAAATATTACTCAAACATGTAAACTTTGTTAAAATCTACACGTGTCTCATCTTTTTGGCTTGGCTTCAACAAGGTTGCCCTTGATAGTTCCTCCAATGCTACTCCAATCATAGCCAAATCTAATGAGGAACCACTCGCAAAACCTTCTGCGGGATCATCTTCTTCAGTCTTGGCAACTCAAGAATCGGTCTCCCAGTTTATTACTCAAGTTGCAAGTCTTGTCAAGTAAGCAGATGCTTCAGTCGTGCTTCCTTCTATTAGTAATATCCAATATATAAGCTTTTCACTGCATGATTGGAGTCCAGCAATCAGCAATGTAAACCTTATTCTCCAATTTTCTCCTGCAGGCTTGTTGATTCGAGAGACATTGTCGAGTTGAAGATGAAGCAGTATGACATTGAACTAACAATCAGGAAAAAGGAGGCTATGCCTCAACCTGCACCTTCTCCTCAACCTGCAGTGATGTATTCATCTCTTCCACCAGCGGTATCACCACCACCTTCTCCAACACCTACTCTAGCTAGTCCAACTGTTACACCAACTTCTTCCCCTGCCCCCAAGTCAACCAAATCATCACTTCCACCTCTAAAATCTCCTATGGCAGGGACATTCTACCGAAGTCCTGCACCTGGTGAACCTCCCTTTGTGAAGGTATATCCCATCTATTACATAATTTTATATCTTCATATCATGTTTTTCTGCACCCTGATGTGAAGCTATTTTTTCTTTAGGTTGGAGACAAAGTGAAGAAGGGGCAAGTTATATGCATCATCGAGGCAATGAAATTAATGAATGAAATAGAAGTAAGTTCAAATATTTTACATTCGTTTTTATTGGCAACTATTAATCAAATTAGTGGATTCGGCATGTTATGGCCTAATAAGGTTCAGTTATTATTCACGCACCAATGATTTCTGTTTGCATTATCAAAATATTGAGTTTGGTTCTCTAGAGTTTAGAACTCGTGCCAAGGAATGAGAATAGTTTTATTGGCATTTTCCTTTAGTTTTTCTTTTTCTTTTTCTTTTTGTAAGGATTATATTAACACTTATTTCTTATTTGCACAATATAAAACATTAATTAGTGTAATCCACAAAAATGTATCATCCTCTTTTTCAGCAAAATTAATCTTCATTAAATTCTAAATTAATGATTAGTAACGGATGAAGCAACAGAATGTAAAAATAAAGATTATCAGCACATATGCAATTATTTTCACCTCTTTATGAAGTAAATTAAGCCAATGGAAATGGAAATAGGTGTTCGAATGCGGAGTCGAATGGTGATCTGGTCATGATTGTGGATTTCCCTTTCCCATATCCCTCTTTAATTCTGTCAGTGAATATAATTCTCAACTCTTTATGGTTTACTGAGGAAGTTATATAATGAACTGTTATTTTTAGTGAGAACATGTATGGGTGGACAATTTGAGACAGTCAACCCAGCGGGAGATGTTTGGATAGTAGATTTTGTTATGTGAAAATAATTTTTGTTAATTTAATTATGGATCATGTATCTCATGATTTGTAATAAGATTCAATTCACAGTTTATAATGTAGGTTTTTTAGTTCAAAGTTTGAATCTCTTTTGATAACAAAGCAGTTTATCTGAATCAGCTTACTTTCCACTTCTGCTTTAGTGAGTTCAGACTTCGCCATAGGACAGATAAGGATCTTTTGTTTTTCTTTGGAAGTCATGGTGCCACTATCTTCCTAATTGGTGAAGGTGGAAGCACTTGTCGGCTTGTGGCCTCACTGACAACATAATTCCTGGTGCTTTTGTTTTAGTGGCCGCTGCTTTGTTCTTACTGACTTGGGTAATCAGTTTTCACACAATGCCTTCACAGCCAATTGATTATAGTTTCTTCAATTTAATCAAACTCTCTGCAACATCACTTTCCACATCTGTGACCTCTCTCACTGTTGACCTCAGTGGTTGTGTTTTCCCCTTCAATCTCTAATGACTATAGACTGCGCTCCATTTTTTGGCTTATCTGTCTCAATCCTTGTCTCTGATCATCTCAGTCTCATTGTAAAACATTGGTGTCTCTCCCAGATAGTATCCAAATAAGCAAATGCTGTATCTAATCTCTGACAAGTACAGTAGTTAGTTAGGAGTTAATTAAGTTAGTTGGGAAGCCTGAGATAGTACTAGAAGTGATAAGGGATATTGTGTATAAATAAAGAGGGGAGGTTGAAGGGAAATAATTTATTTTGTATCATCTACCCCAACTAAGGCTGCTGTTACACATTGGCACATCAATTAGGATTTAGGATTCATAAATAAAATTCTTTCTTTTAGATTCTGAACTAGTTCTATCAGCTAGTTTGAGATCCTGGACGTGCTATTTCAACCAACTAGGACACAGAATGGACTTTATTTCAGCAGTCAAAAACTGAACAACCTTGAGGATGATAATCACTTCCTCTCCAAGAGCAAACGGTCCTCCTCATAGAGAATGCTTTCTCTGCCCAGTTAAAAGGGCTAATAACGAAAATGAATCTCCTCCAGGAACCTTGCTCGGCCCCCAATATACATGCTAACGGTCTACAATTCAGCTCCTTCGCATCCCACTAGAACTCTCCCCTTAGTATCAATAGTTGGGCCACTTGACCCATTATCTAAACCAAACACTGTTACTTTATCATTAGGACCAAGAGTCCTATTGTTGTTGATATCTCATTGCCAACAAGTTTTTGAATATTTAATTAGCTAAGTAGGAATCAGAGTATTTTTGGAGTTCCTTGCAGTTTCTCAAGTTTGTCAACACGCGTCTGGTTTTTCTGCTGGTTCTGGTTCTTATCAAACTTGTTTATGCAATTTGTGACAATTAAGTTTAACCAAGCAGAATATAAAATGGAAAGAGAAACACAGCTTGGCAAATTAATTGGACACATTACATTTATTACTTCAATTAAAGAGCTACTACTCTCTAATTTTATTTTATTTTTATTTTTTTAAAGATGCAACATTGATGGTCTTGTGGTTTTTGTCTTCTATCTTGAAACTCAAAAATTGTATACTGTACAGGCTGATCAGTCAGGAACTGTAGTTGAAATAGTAGCCGAAGATGCCAAGCCTGTCAGCGTTGACACTGTGAGTATATTCTAGACCCTCCTGATTGGTATCTCGTCGGTAAAATTTAATTGCTCAGCATTATTTAGGTTTGATTTCTTTTGTTTCTTGCAGCCCCTATTTGTGATTGAACCATAGAGTTCCGAGTATTCGAATAGAGGGATGAAAATCTTCAGTTTGGTAGTTGAAGTGTGAGGCTCATCAATCTCCCTAGGGTAGAGGAAGTATAGGAAGATTTTGTTCTAAATTGGAATGACAGAGTTGAGAAGAATTCTAGTTTACAATGGATTTATTCCTTATTTTTCCCTTCTACATGCTTGCACAATGTTCTAGTGATTTTTGTTTTTCAACTTTAAGGAAAGTTAATGTGTATGATATTCATCTCAAGTTGTCTTCCTTTTCTTTTTGTTTATGAAAGGGTATGGAACATTTGATCCATGTTTTTTTTGTTTTGAATAAGTGTCCCTTTGACTTTTATAGAAATTCTTCTATATAATTTTCTGAAAATTGATTTATAAATTGGTGGTTTTAACTTACAATAAAAACTTCATTTATTTTATAAATATTTATGAAGGAATGAAATACAATCTTGTTGAGGATTTTTTCCCTTTTCTTTTTTATTGTTGAGTGTTTTATTTGGGTATGATTTCTTTCATGATTTTAAGCAGATTATGAGTGGTAAAGAGATTCCTTATTCTCAAATAATCAAGAAATGGTACAAGCCAGCTGAGATGGGAAGTAGTACTGTTAATGCTGAACCTAACCTTCATCTCAATTTTGGAATGATGCTTTCAAACATTAGTCTCCATCACGTATATGAGATGATAAACGTAAAGTATATATTGATTCTTGTTTTTTTATGATCGTATCACGTAATTTATATATATATTCTCAACAAAATATATTTTAATCACGAATTAGAACTTTAAAATCAACAATAACGACAATATTATTATAAGGAATATACTTTATTTCTGAATATATATATATATATATATATATATATATATATATATATATATATATATATATATATATATATATATATATATATATAATGTATGGGGTTGTAAAATGTTAAATTTGGGAATCAATGTTTTGGATGCTATTCTTGCTTTCCTTCCCTTGAATGTATTGTGTTTTTTTTTTCCTCCTTTTTATGCCCTTTCTTCTCTGTCCAGTTACCAAAGTTCAAAAGGTGATAAAAAGTATAAATGTGAGGTATGTAAATGATGTGTGCAAAATCATTAACTAGTATGGAATAGGCTTGATTATGATTTTAGTACCTAAACATTCATCGTTTTCTCAAAATTTTATTTTTTATTATTAAGTTTTTTTTTTTTAAATTCCATTTGATCCCTTTAAGGGATCATTTAAGAAACTTGTCATGTATAGAAATATTAAATATAAAACTTGTGATATTTAAAAAGATTAATAGAAGAAAATCATAAATAGAGAAAATTAATAGAAAGTAAAATTATAGAAAAATTATTTGATAAAGAAAATATTTTATTATAGAAAACAAAACTTTTATAAAAAAATTAACTCAGTCTAATTTTTTTTTTGTTATTTAGCTAAATTAAACCAAATGTCACTTATTAAAATATACCAACTTACCAAGTACATATTCAAAGAATACAAATTCTAAATATGATTTCAATTGAATGGAATCTCAGTAACCAACTTAGATATAATAAGTACTATAAATATAAATATAAAGAGTATATATTAAATAGAAATCTTATCTTTAATAAACATTTGTAGAATTGTGTATAGTTTTTCAAATAAATGTATCTAAAAGTTTCATAAACGAAATATTATCTTTTATATATATATATATATATATATATATATATATATATATAAAAGATAATATTTCGTTTATGAAATATATATAACTCCAATCTAGTTTATAATTATTTTATAAAAAAAATTATTATTATTATTATTATTGAAACACCCCATTCAGTATTCAATTAATTTGAATTAAATAAAGTATGAACACTTATATTTCTAGATACTTGAGCTTAGAACAATAGTTTAAGTTAGAATATTCTTACGGGTGGTATTTAATTTGGATTGAACGGGATTTAAAATTTAATTTAAAAAATTAAATGAATCCAATTAATTTTAATTTTTGTTGACAAATCTTATAATTATTCTTTTAAAGGGTCATTTAATAAGTGTAAGAATCTTCATATAAAAACGTGAAGGAAAATATATAAGGTGATGACAAAATTAATCATAAAAGGAAATAAAAATCAGGTTTTCAATGATTTTTAATAAAACTATGTTTACACAAAAATTGTAAACCAAAGTCGTTGAACCGTAGCTGCATCAAGTTTATATTGCTAAGGTGGCTATTTTGTTTTTCACCTCTAAAAAAAAAAAACTAACTTTTCTGTTTCAAAAAATGCATTAAAACAACTAACAACTACACAGTTCATTTGGGAAGCATTTCACTATTTTAATGAAACAAATATTGTTCTTCTCAATAAAAAGAAACAAATTTCTTCGAAAATAAAAAACCGACAGCACGGAAAAAGGGACCTAACTTATTCAAGTATTTTTTTTTTCAGTTTTTCCTCATAAAAAGGACGAAAGCGATAGATTTCAAAAAAAAATCGAGAATTAAATTGATTGATTTATTATTAGGTAAGGTAACAACGAAAGAAGGAGCAGAGTCACGCAAAAAATCCAAATAATCGATGGCTAAATCTAGCGGGGTTTGGATTTTGCCGTTTATCACCGCCTGGTGGTGGCTGTCCACGGCGGCGATGGCGAGGGGTTCGAATTCGACGACGATTTACGACGAGCTTCGGGCGCAGGGTCTTCCAGTGGGGCTTCTTCCGAAGGGAGTTGCGAAGTACTCGTTGAACGGAACAAGTGGGGAATTCGAGGTGTGGATGGAGGAACCGTGCAACGCGAAGTTCGAGAACGAGGTGCACTACGATTCCAACATAAAGGGTATCCTCGGATTCGGTCGGATCGGGAAATTGTCCGGTGTGTCGGCGCAGGAGCTCTTTCTGTGGTTCCCTGTCAAGGGCATTCGTGTGGATGTTCCGACCTCTGGTCTCATACACTTTGATGTTGGTGTTGCGGATAAGCAGTTCTCTCTCTCGCTTTTTGAAGACCCTCCTGATTGTAAACCTCAGGTTGGTTTATCATCCTTCAATCTTCTAACCCCTTTGGTTTCTTTACAGTTTTTCCTCATTTGGGGATCTGAAATTTATTTGTTAGGAGCGTTTCTTTGTGTTATTAGTGTTGATCTTCGATTAAAATTGGAGTTCTAGTTGGTAAGTTGGGTGATGAAGATTTGCATTGAAAATCAAGGTAGATTACTGAGTTGAAATTTCAACTGGATTAGAAACAAACAATACTGAAAGTTTAGAATTTGCATCTATTGTCTTTTCTTATTTGGGTGGGTGAAATTTATGGTCTTTTCTTGCGAGGTGCCTGCATTTATAATCCTTGTTATTCGGGTTTCTGAAAGTTTATTAGGTTTTCTTATTGAACAACAGTTAGATGCATTTCTTTATGTGTTTTTAGTGCTGGCTTTTAATTAAAATTGGAGTTGTACATGATAATCTATGCAATGGAGAGTTGCATTAAAAACTAAGTGAAACAACACTAAAAGTTACTCCGGAATTAAACTCCTGTGTTATTCTCTCAAATTTGTTTTCAAACTTTTGATGTTTTATAGTTTCTAAATCTCATTATTATTATTTTTTCATTTATACCCTTACTTAAGTGCAGTTTATGAATTTTTTATTTGAGTATCTGAAATTTAAGAGAGATATGTATTGTAAATTATCATCGATTATTGAAGTGAAATTTCTCAGATTAAAAGTAACACTTGACTTGAATTAAGAATTTACATGTGAAGCATGTACTTTTCATATTTGGGTACGTGGAATTTATGGCCTTTACTTGTGAGGGTGTCTATATTTATGATTCTTGTTATTTGGGTATGTGAAATTTAAGGGTTTTCGTATAAAACTTTGATGCATTTCTTTATGTTTTTAGTGCTATTTTTTAAAATTAAAATTAAAATTAGAGTTCTACCTGATAATTTATTTATTTGTTTTAAAAATCAAAGTAGATTATTGAAGTGAAACTTTAATTCTAACCAGAAACAACACTAAAAAAAGTTAAGAATTTGCAGTTAAATTTCTGCATTTTCTTATTTGGGTACGTGGATTTATGTTCTTTTTTTGTGGAGCATCGTATATTTATGATTCTTGTTATTTGGGTCTGAAATCTAAGAGGTATTCTTATTGAAGAAAACTTATATGCAATTTTTCATGCGTTTGGAGTGTTATTTTTCAATTAAAATTAAAGTTTCACTCGATAATTCACAGAACAAAGATTTGCATTAAAAATCAACATTAACATAAATTAATGAAGTGAAACTTTAACTCTGATTAAAAATAACACCAAGAATTTGCATATATAAGTATGTCCTTTTCTTACTTGGGTGTGAAATTTATGGTTTTTTCTCATGGGGTGTCTTACATTTATCACTCTCGTTATTTATGAGGTTTTTGCATTTGGACAAAACTTAAATGTATATCTTTGTGTTTTTGGTGTTGTTCTCCTAAAATTGAAGTTCTATTTAGTAATCTACATGATAAAGATTTGTATTAAAAATCTACATAGATCATGAAGGTAAAACTTTATTTTGATTAGAGAATAACATCAAACGCTAGAAATACATGTGAAACTGCATCTAAATATCTTCCCTTTATTTATTTGGGTATGTGGAATTTATGGGTTGCATTTCTGATTTTTGTTATCTGGTATCTGAAATTATGGTTTTTTCTTGGTGGGAACTGGAAGTTATGATTTTTGTTATCTAGGTCTGGGAAATTTATGATTGTTTCTGATGGGTTTGTGAAATATATTTTGGTATTTATGAACAATTTGGTGTTCAATTCATTCAGGCTAAGGTTGGTGGTGAAGGTGTGCAAAGGGCTGCCTGGTAGAAAATAGGAGGAAGTAACATTGTTTCATTTCAAATTATACAACTCAGTGGTCTCTGGTCTCTCTCTCTCTCTATATCTATCTATCTATCTATATATATATATATAGTGTACAGTGCGATGTTTTCATTTCTGCTTTGATTGAATGTCTGAAGAGGACAAAGGAAGAAATTTTGGTGGTGGGGAAGCACAATGTTCTGAAAATCTGTGACAGACAAGGATGTAGGGTTAGGGTGGTTTAGCTAATCTATAAAGGTTTTATTTCTATTTTGGTCTTCTATTTGTGCATAAAATTGTTTTGGTCTTGGGTTAGCCTAAACTATTTCAAAATAAAAGAATATAATATGTTGTTAGGTGCTTCTTCTATTTTACCTTTTTCATCAACTCATGCTTTCATTGGGCCATGTTCTGCAATTATTTCTGATTTTTTACTCTCCAAACAGGATTGAAATGTGTATCCAAATTAATCCAAATCATATATGTTATAATTACTCTGTATGTTTTCATATTTTAACAACATTATATAACTTTTTATCATAAAAAAAAACTTTTTCTGTAAATGAAACCAAGCTACAAAATCAGAACATTGATTTAAAAATCCATTTGTATCTGTAGTCAATCGCAATACTCGTTTTGATAATTATCAACAGGTTTGAAAATAATCTCCAAATACTCACGGATATGGTTAGATATATATAAAAAGAAAAGTCTTATTAAAATATGTATTGCGAGTTTTACGTGCGGATACAAATATTTTTACTTTTAGTGACATATAAGTGTCTCTCTTTGATTATAAATTGTGTTAGGACAAAAAAACACGATATGCTAATAGATATCGTGAAAACAAAATTAAATTGTATGTAAAGAGTAAAGAACATATTTCTTGTGCTTTATGAATAATTTTCATATTATTTTATACATAAAATAGAACAAAAAGCGTCTAATGGGTGAGATAAGACTAATTATGGAAGGTTTGAACTTGGCAAATAACAACATACTATTTACAAAAATAGATACAAATTTTTAGTTCATTCTAAGTTACTGGTATGGGATGCCATCTTCCTCGCATTCTTTTTATACAATCATTACGTCTTTTTGTTATATTAAAAAATTTTATATTATTCAAGAGTAGAGAATAAAAACAATTTATAACTATATTTGTTTTTTAATGGAGTTAATAAATTTGGAAAGAAATAAGCATCGAATTTGACTATAAAAATAGTAACTTGAAAGATTTAGGTCAAAATATTAAATCAGTCCATATAGAAAGATGGAGAATCTCCTAAAGAAATCCCACACCCATATGATGAAACACTGTGACTTACATTTTGACTTGTATGGATTCCAGATAAGAGAAATTGAAGCACACAATGAGTGCCTATCCTTAGTGCTCGTATTATCATTCGTAGAAAATGATTTTGAAAAGCTAATTGATCTCAAATTATAGGATGAAAACAACTTGCTTTTAAATGCTTCAATTTACAAATTTCCAAACATCTTCTCTGACCTTATTCAGAACAACTTGTAGAAAATTAGTTAAAACTCATCCAACCAAAAGGACTTAAGATTTCATAATGATGATGAGAGCTAGGTGAACTTCTTTTTCATTAATGATATCATTGTAAATAGGACAAAATGTACTTATCTCCCTTAGTATCAAGCTAAATGGAATTCCCACTTCTCTAGATTTTAAATAAACATACTAATATATTTTTAATATGGTAATATTTACATTCTTTATCTTATTCAAAAATAACATATAGAGACTAAAATTTAAATAAAAAATTATGAAAAATAAAAATTAAAGTTCCAAAATAAACACAGAAATTGAATGAGAGGTGCATTTGTATCATTAAAATAGTGGTAAAGAAGGAAAGACACAGAAAATAGGAGACTATCATATACACCCAAGCACGTGGAAGAAGCAAGTACCTAGCATAAGCTTCATCATTATTCGTAGAGGCAACTACTTTTTCCACATCCACCAAAGAATGGCATGACTTGACCTACAACCGTATCGTTGCCAAATTTCTTTCCACCATTAATCTAACTAGTATTTCCCAATCCAATTTCCTTGGCCTTATTTAGTCACCTCGATTTCCCTTTGGACGTGACATACATATCTGACAAAACAAATGGAACAAGTTGGGTAAAAGTCAAAATCTATGCAAATTTTGGATATCTACCTCACTTGGTATCTCAACATTTATAGCTAGAGCCAATGATCATAAATATCTTATGCCCAAACTAGGAAGATGTGTCCACACATCAATAACGACATCTAATACCTAGTTTCAGATGCAGTTTTTGTTTGTTAAGACAACTGCGGGTTCTTCAAAGGCTGTGCTGGTTTTTGTATAAAAACACCATGGATCTTTATTTCTAAAAAAAATGCGCGGTCATGCTAGAAATTATCTTTTATGGAAATCAATAACCGTTCCAATTGCGATTAAGGAATTGTAACTGACTCATAAACCAAGCAATAGATTCAGCAAATTAAATACATCAAAGTTAAATACACCTAACATGTAATAATCATATTAAACATCTCCTAATAATTTACAATATGCTAATATGCCACAAAGTTCTTCATTGTGTTGTGACGCTCTTGGCAAGATTACGAGGCTGATCCACGTTAAATCCCCTGAGAACAGTGAGATGATATGCCAATAACTGCATCGAAAAGAAATAATTTGTTGAAATATATTAGACAGACAAACCTTTCTTCATGCAAATTTATAAAAAGAAGATTAGGCTATAAAGATTCTAGGTGCCAAAAAAGAAATAGATCTGCAAAATTCGCATGAGAAATCCAGACATGGGAATTTATATTCAAACAAAAGAGAAAATACCTAAGAAGCTCATGAAATAATAACGAATCACTATCAACATGCAATGAAGAATTAATTTGTATAAAGATAGACAGACTAATAATAGAACCTTTGACACTAATATCGAAATATTTCCATTGGCTAAATCAAGCAAATGTTGTAATGATAAAAAAATAATAAAAATTCATCGTAACCATACCTGTAATGGAACTACGTTAATTACAGGTTGAAGACAGTCCTCAACTTGAGGAACTTCAATTACCCTACAAGATTCATTAGGGCATACAGAAACAGTATCCCCTTTTGAGCACATAACAATCAGACGACCTCTGCGGGCATGAAGTTGCTGAATAACAGACTGCTGTTTGCTGTCGAAGATAAAAGATGCCAATATCAAACTTCTAATGTCAGATAATAAAGCTTAACCTACAGTCACAACCAACCTGAAGCAAGCATCACGGGTAGCTATAACAACAATTGGAAGATTTTCATCCACTAATGCCAAAGGACCATGCTTCATTTCACCAGCAAGTATCCCTTCGCTATGCATAAGTGCCACTTCTTTTACTTTCAAAGCTCCCTCAATAGCAGTAGCATAGTTGTATCCTCTTCCAAAGACAAGAAGTGACTGCTCAGCAATCAACAGCTTCGCTAGATCCTTCATCTCCTGGTCAAGCTTCAGCACCTCTCTGACTTTATCTACAATATAAAATGTTAAATAGGTTACTGTTACAACTTCCTTGAGCAGCTCCATGAGGTATTTAGTACTGCATTTTGAACTACTCCCCATAACAATAGTTTTTAGCTTGAATGAAAGGTTTATTGAATTCCAGAAGATTCTAATTTCTGTTTTTTTTTTTTGGCAATAAAAGTTTAGGGAGGGGAGGTTACTCCATTCCAAGAAAGCTCGGGGCAATCCACTAGCCTCGCCAGGGCTTGTAGTTGCAAACCCACATTACATTATGAATATTTTTGCACAGTTATTATTCCATTCAAGTAATTGTCGAAACCGGCGTGGGACACAATAATATCTTCAAATGCATTCAAGTTTAGTTTAGTTAAAACAAATCCATCCTTCTCGTTTTTAATAAATTAAGAGTTGTCTACTAGATGTTATGAACTTAGACACAGATCGATATTAACTCTTATTATTTAATGAAGTTGTCATAATTGGTATATCTGTAACAATGATCAACCTTGAAGCATTCTTTTAAATCCTATTAACCAACCAAGTGGTGATCACATTCACCCTATCATGAAAATCTACCTTTGAAACTTGAGAATCATTAGAAAACTATGAAGGACATGTAGGATAGACATCCAAAATGTACCCAATTCCTGTAATATACTCGAGCAACGAAAACTCACTTGGCAGGTCAAAAAGACCATCTATGATGGCTTCTCTCTTGGCTTTATTTGAAAGTGTATCACCTCCTATGGCAAGAGCTAACATGACCATCACCACTATTTGGCTTGTGTATGCCTGTAATAGTCATAAATTCGCGTGAGTAAACTGTTGGTTAAACAAATAATAAGACCATATAAAATGAAACGAGAAAGACAGGATCCCTAAATCCAAAATTACCTTCGTACTTGCCACACCAATCTCAGCACCAGCATTGATATGAACACCACAATGAGTATTCCTTGCTATTGCACTACCAACAGTGTTTGTTATCCCAACACACAATGCACCATTGTCTAAAGCATATTGCAGTGCAAGTAAAGTGTCAGCAGTTTCACCAGACTGACTAACGAAAACAGCAGTATCTTCTCTGTATATTGGTCCCTCCCGATCCAACAGATCACTTGCAATTTCCATAGTAACAGGAACACCTATAATTTAATGTATGGAATAAAATTTTGTAAGAATGGACATATTTGTCGCCTGCAAAAACTTCTAAAAAGATTTATGTCATACAGCACAAACCAGAAAGTTCTTCCAATATGGGTCTAGCTGCCAAAGCAGCATTATAACTTGTACCACAACCAATGAAAACTATCCTTCTACTTCGCCTAATTGTTTTGAGGTGATCCTTCAGCCCACCCAACAGAACAGACTTGGATTTGTTAGATCCAAGACGTATAAGCCTCCCCCTCATTGTGGTTGTCAGAGATTCCGGTTGCTCATGAATTTCCTTTTGCATATAATGCTCATAATGACCTTTATTTATTTGCTCAACCTCCATCTCAAGAACTGATAATGCACGTCGCACTGAACAAGTTCTCAAAAGAAAAGCCCCATTCTCTCCCGTGTTGTTGTCAAACTTTAATATAGAAGCCCCACCATCCTGCACAACCATTAATATGTAAGAAAAAAGAACGATATGTTTGACATGATTATAGCTATTGTAACATATAGTATCAGTGAATGATCTAATCACGCCGAAAAGGTTAGAGACTAGAGAGCAAGGGATAGATGAAGTGATCTGCCAAGGAATAATAAAACAATCTTCACAAAGAAAAATAGTGTCATGGAAATGTTTTCCTTAGTCAGATCACTATTATATTTCAGTACTATACATGGAAACATTGGCTTGCAAGTGCTACATTGAACAGAGAGAGCGCAGTCTGTACCTTGAGATGCACTACTTCACCATCCTCAATAACTAACACTTTCTTTGTATGCTCAACCACAGCATGGGCATCACTGGACAAAAACAATTCCCTAGGTTTGCCATCTTTTGATAGGAATTTGTCATCCTCAAATGCTGAACCATTGCCTTTATTTTCTGTCAATTCCTGAAATTAGAGCACTAATTACTTTAATCATTGTCCATCAGAAAATCTTCACCTTCACTAAATGTCCATTAATCACGAAAATGACTACAATGTTACTCGGATATTTTGGCTCTTTGACTAGAAGCATCATTAAGGAATTCAAAAGAAAAAAGTAGAACAAACGTTGCCAGAAAAAAAACACTGGAAGAAAAATTTACATCTAGGTCACTATTTAAGAAACTTTTCGCTAAATTGCATTCAACTTACTTTAACACCTAGGAGCAGTGGGCTACCGCGCTTGCAAGCAATCAATTCATTAGGATAATGTAGACTTTTGAAAATAAGGGCGTAAGCTCCTTCAAGATGCCTCATAACTTCCAGAACAACCTGACTGAAGGTAACAACCTGACCATCTGCAACATGATTGGAAATGTAAGCTAAAATCACAAGACCATAATATATTCACACCCATCTAAGAGAAGCAGAATAGGTAGCTTAGATATAATAAACCTCTGGAAACCATCGTAATCAGACTAACACAAATAATTAGGAATTCTCAGCAGAATAAATGCAAATCAATTTTAGAGTCTAACAGAAGCAAGTTTATCACATTCAGAACAGAGGGACGACGTAATGGATCCTGAGTTGCAATTCCGGCCATAACATCAATGTTTATGGGTCTCCTATAACAACTGCAAATGTGACCACATTTGGTTGTGATGCAAATGTTATCACAATTTAAAACTTGATTGCATTTAATGTAAAAAGCGGAATATCATGGCGTTATACGGTTCATGTCACTGACTCCTCCTAGCGGGAAAAGGCCTCTTATTCCAATAAAGCTAAGTCTTGTAGCAGAGGTTTTTGGGGTCTATGACCTCATCTATGCCTCAATATAGGTTTTTGGGGTCTCTCCGACCACATTCTGACCACATCACCCACATTTTTCTACAATTTTCACAATTCAAAGATGGCAACAAAACTGTGATCAAAATTTTAAACCTTCGGAGCATTAAAATGGTAGAAACCGTATCTACCTCCATCTTCTTCCCACTCATTCGCACAGAATTTTACAATGTACATCACCAAAACAACTACCAATCGCCTTTTCAACTATTAACCAACAACATTCACATTCACACATACCATAACCCTATAAACCTCATGCAATTGTTCAAAACCCAAAAAACACCTTCACTAACTAATCATTAAAGATTACCACCAGCTTCGTTGGCCTTGTCGTAAACAAACTTCGCAAGCTTGGGAATAACCTCAGTGTCCGTCTCCGATTCAAAGGTGAAGCCATGACGCAGCAGTGTCTCCTTCAGCACCTGAAAATACAACATCTCAAAAACAATAAGCACAGAGAAACAGAGCAACACTAGCAGCCAACTCACATTAACAGGCGTTCATTCAGAGTATATTATGGTTACCTCATAGTTAGTGATAACTCCATTGTGAACAACCAAGAACTCGTTTTCAGGACCAGAGGTCTGAGGATGACTATTCCGCGGAGCAGGCTCTCCATGAGTGGCCCACCGAGTGTGCGCGATTCCGGCGTGCGTGCCGAAGAGTTCCTCCAAATCCAATTTGATTTCTCCCACTTCTGTTAATTCACACAAAAACAAACGCGTTACGTTGAAACTCCGGATGCAATTGAAGCTGTGGTGAAGAAATAGGAAAATAAAGAGGAACGAATTAGACCTTGGTACACAGATTTGACGAGCGATTCGATGTTTCCCTCTTGCCTGAAAACGAGAGGAGGAGGAGAGGGAGGAGCAGAGAGAGTGAATTTGAAATCGGAAGCGCATTGGGAAGCGGAATCGATGGCGATACCCGCGGAATCGTATCCACGATACTCCAATCTTCGCAAGCCATTGAAAAGAACTTGCAAGATGTACCTTCGCTCTCTGTTCACGTTGAAATTCAGATACGCGAAAATCCCACACATTTTCTCTCTTCTCTTCTCGGTTTTCACTCTTTGATTTCAATGAGACTCAGACTCGGACTCAGATTTATAACCGTTTTTTTCTTTTTTAATTTCATCATTTATTATAGTTTATATTATAAATTGATGAAATAAATGCGTAGAGTGCATTTGACTAGTTGTGATGTTGTTCAATTCAGCAGCTTCCACCTCTTTTTCCTTTCTCCCTTTTCTGCGGATTCTTCTCAGCACTCAAGTAAAACCTTTCTTCTTATTTTTTCAAATCTCCGAAATTTTCTGTTACTGCTACGCGCAACTTTGAACAGGGCATTCTTGTCATTTTACTCTGCATCAGCCTTCTTACGTGGCGTCTCCTCATTAGCCCCATGCTCTCATCTTTGCATCATTCCCCCACTCTCCCACTTACACCTGCTTCTCTCTCTAATTTTTCCCTCCACTCTTTTAAAATTATTTTACATAAATTAAATGTTAATTAAACTTGTGTAAGACTAATTTTGATTGTATTTTGTGTTTTTTTCAATTAATGAATGATAAGAAAAAAAATAAAAACTTACTATTAATAAGGATAAGTTTGGTACCTTAGTAATAATATTTTTTTTAAGACAAAACAACTGAATTACTTTCTTCCTCTTAACAAAAAAGCAATTTTAATCATTAAAAAAAATTCAAAATTAACTGATGTTCACACCTTTCCATGGAGTATTGTTTTTTTCTTCCTAATTTGATCTCAAAATTAATTATTCTATGTCTGAATGCATTTAAAAAATAGGACTTTTGAATAAAATTAAATTTAAGGATTTTCTTATACATGGTAGAAAAAAATATATCAATTTTGAAAACTATAGAAAAAGAACCATGAATTGTAGTTTATACAGAAACAAAGAGTAATTTTTTGTTACCTTGATATATGATTAAGTTTAGGATTTAGGATAATTAATTAGTTATTATATTAAAATATATAATTAAATTTATTAATATAGAAAGAGAGGAAAATCTACCTACTCTAATGATAAGTCTAAAAAATTAATTCTTCTCATCATTATTTATTTCTTTATAATACAATAATGTAATGTAACAATGATTTATTACAAGAAAATGATTTATTTTTTTAAGAAAGTGGAACCATATATATATAAAAGAGATCAAACTTATAATGGTGTGATTTTATTAAATATTATATCATTATTAAATTTATATAAAAATAAAAATTTTCAATTTATATTAATATATTTATTTATATAAAAAATTATAAAAAATTGAATAATAATAATAATAATAAAATGATAAAACTATTTATATTTAAAAAATTATGTATTATATCTATTTAGACATAAATAACGAATCATCAAATAGACCAATATTAATAGGCAAACGAATATTTTAAATGGCAATATAAATGTTACAAATATTATTAAACTGAAAGTATAACGTACAATTTACTAAATGTAACTATTAACTTCCACCATTAATATGTTTTTTTTTCATAACTTCAGCAAATAAATATTAATTCAAGAGATTGTATTGTATATTATCTGTGCATCTCTGGTAATTATAATGTAAAAATTATTTTGAAACTTTAAAGTCTTTAATTAATCGTAATTAATCGATTTTAATATATTTATGTCTACTTTGGGAAATGTGCATTATATATAGTAAAAAGAAAATTTTAACATTGTAAAATTTTTTTTATGGCCCATAAAAAGACATGAAAGATAGGTTAAAACAATGACAGGATAAAATAACCACTTATGGATTGAAATTAGGTAAATTTTTAATTATTATTTTGATATTTAATGGATATATTTTTTTTATAAGTTATATATTAAATTATTATATCTTAAATAAAAATTAATTTTATTAATAAAATTTAATTTTTAACAAATATTTTTATTTAAATATTTTTTAAATTAATTACTTTTGTATAAATATATTAACATTTTTTTAATTCAAACAAATCAAAATTACATTAAGGTAAATTTTTTAACACGTTTTAAAATATAAATTAAACTGGATTATCAATTTTTTATTTAATTCATAATACAGTTGAGATTAACTCGTCTACTAAGTTTAGTATTTATTTATTTTTTAATAGAATGTTAAAGGGTTTTTTACCCCTCATTTCTAACATCTTTGCGGAATGATGAACTAGGAATTGAAGGTAAAATTTATTTGTTTGTTGTATGAAAAATAAAAAGTACTTTAAAAGTTCAAATCTTTAAATTTTTTTAATGTGAAAACTTCCATGCTCGTAACACATGTCTATTAAATTACAAGTGATGGGCATGCATGATTAAAATATGGTATAAGCATACCAAAATATCCAAATTATCACAAGCATTATTATTTAATTAAAAAAACACCACATGATGAAGATGATAAGTTTGATAATTTAAAAACTCTTCCTTTAGGGAATAAACAATTAGCTTAGAACAATCACATGATGACATTTCTTCATCTTCCCATCACCATCACCTTAGAATTGCATAAAATACTTACAAAGGGTGTCGAGCATAACATTTTTACATAGAAAGAGAATACTTAACATTCTTAGCTCAATCGAACAGTGTCTATGGCAGCAACCAAATCATCGTATTTAGCTCCAGTAACTTCTTTTACAACCTTGTTGTCCTTCAGAATTTTAAAAGTGGGAACCACTTTAATCCCCAGCTCTTTCGCCAATGGCTGCCAACAACCATCAAACAAATTATACCACTTATCAGATTTATATTTTAATTATATATTATGAATTGTTTATATCTTTAATCGATGTCTGAATAATGGTCTATGAGAAAACTATACACTGTCTTCCACATTACATTCATACCCTGTTGTCTTGGTTGCAATCAAGCTTTAGAAAAACAACATCCTCATACTTCTTGGATAATTCTTGAAACTTTGGAGCCATCACTTTGCAAGGGCCACACCTAAGAAAATTCATAAATTCATATCAAAGGTTGTCATGTTAATAAGCAAAATGTTATAAAGGATCAAACAAATCAAGACTTTTAAGATGAGTTTTTGACAAAGCCGAATTAATACTTCACACCTTCTGTGGTACCATGGCAGAAAATAACCGAAACAAATTAACCAAAGATTTCTGAAGTTAATCTTTAGTACCAGCTCTGCTTTTGCTTCTGTTGTGACCCAACTAGATTATCATTACTAAACAAACTTGCTTTGAAGCTGATCACTATTTAGGTCAAACGACATCACTACATGGTGGAGAAAAATAAAAAACAAAAGTACATTCTTATTATGCAAGCTAAATCAGAAAAAGCTAGTTGTCAATGTCTAAATACAAGTAACCTGATTTGGGACCATTTGTTTCATATACCAACTTCCTAGGATCTGTTTGGATGAGCTTCTATGTAAACCCCTATAGGAGAGAAAAATAATGAAATTATCTTCATAGGCTAACATTAGCTGATCCACAAGTTAACGTAAATATTTGTTGCAAGTAACATTAATTGTCTTATGATTGAGACTAAGTGGATCAGGCCACAATTGGCGCTTGGGTTTGGGTAAGAGTTACAACTCTAACTAATAGTTATATCTTATATAAAAAAGCTCCAACAAGTAATGAAGAAACTAATCTCAGGTGTTCCTCTCACTTTTCTCTCCCTCTCACTTTTCTCTCCTGGGAGGAGCTATTGAGAATCTCATCAAAACAGCCCTATGAACTGTTTAGAGGAAATTTCTCTATAGGAGAGAAAAACAAGTTAAAATAGAATTAGCTTTTCCATAAGTTAAAATTAGCTTATACAACTATTAAAAACCAGATTTTGAAGAAGCTGATAGGAAATAACTCGTACAAGTTAGTTTATGTACAAGTTAATTTTTGCTTACAAAGAAGATTATTTTACTTTTTCTTATTATCTTTCTCTCCTAAAAGTACTAATGGAAATTTTTTTCAAATGGGCCCATAGTTAACCAGGGAAATTCCCTAATAAAGTCACTCAAAACATGTGCAAACTGTGATATTAAGTAAAATTTTATCTGTCTCACGAATTCCAAGCTATACAGATCAAGACCTATGATGAGTGAAACTATGTTAAAGAGTAAGATTGGTTCAACCACCCAACATCTTAGGATTTTTCACTCATGGTAGAGTAGGAAATTCAGTTCCATGCAAGAGGGGGATGAGTTGAGGGCCAATGAATGGCATTCCAAATTTCAAACCCTTTTCATGAAAATCACTAAGTAATACCAATGTTGATCTTGAGTCTTGACAAAATCAGCATGAAGCTAACCATAACAATGTTTACCAAGGAATCTCCCAGCTAAGAGAGACAGCACATGCAGCTGTACTAAACAAAGGAAAGTATGATTCTTTTTCTTCATTCTAATCCAATCCACCATATAATATATAACAACAGTATGATAAAAAAAAAAAAAGAAAAGCACATGATTATAAGCTATGACAATATCATATATATTACATCATATCATACAAGTATACATAATTAGCATACCATTGGGTGTACATGTCTAGGACAACGGTTTTATCTCCGGCAGCCTTAACAATCGGCCAGAAGGTGTCCTTGTTAACCTCAGTGACCTGTCCCACTGTGACTGTGGGCCCTGCAGTTTCCAAACTACATCTTACACTAACACTTCTCCTCAAACTCAAACTTCTAGTACCAGCACTCAAGTTGAGACTTACACTAGCAATGTTTATGTTAACAAAACAAGACCCAAGTGAAGGTCTCAAAGAAGAACCACTATCTAAGGAAGGAGATGCAACCCATTTACATTTAGGGGAGACACAAAGATTCAGAGCCATTGGTGCTTGCTGGGGGTTCCAATGCCAAAGGGGAGAGAACTCAACTCAGATATGGTGGGTGAGTGGATGTGGAAGTAGAACGTGAAAAGACGTCATTGCCCTTCTGATTTGTGTCTGATGTTGCTGCTATCTCAGAATGAGGGTGTTTTTGGTAAATTCAACTTAGCAGCCACGTTTGAGAGTGATTGTGGAACGAACAAGTTCGTCTAGTTTTTTCAATATTACCAAAATACCCTTGTATATTTTTTATTTTTATTTTTTCGGTTTGAGTTTTTCGTATCCACATAAATGATCACAATCTTTGATCTCCTGAAAAAAAATATCTATAAAGACATTCCGTAATCTATTCCCACTCACTTATATTATTATATTCAGTAAAATAAAGGTATTTTTTTATTAATAAAAATTTATCGACCTAAATTAAATTTTGTTGTTATACCGTGCTAACTATTTATGAAATTTTAAAAATTAAAATTTAGATATTTTTTAATTAAATAAAAATATATTATTCTTTAATTTTAAATGTCCTATATATATATTTTAAACACATTAGTTTTGAAGAGTATTATCTGAGTCTAACGTGTATAATTTTTATAAATTAATTATTTGGATTTTTGTTCTCACTGTTTACTGAAGTTCAACCGACATCAAAATAAATAAATTATAATTTAAGTAAATAATATTTAATTAGTATTAATGAATTTTTATTATATATTAAAATATTAAAACATATTATATTTTACTGCCATAAATAAATTATATTTTGTTTGATAAAAAGTTTCAATAATATTATCATAATAAGTTTAAGAAATTATTTATATAGGGAAATAATTAACGTTATTAATTATTTTTGTTTATGATAATAATTTAATATAAGTTTTAGGAACAAATATAAATATTATTATAAATTTTAAGTATAATTCATTTTATATATGCTTAGAAATGATTAAGATGAACTTTTTAATTAATCTGTATATTATTATTATTTACTAAATGTCGGATTGGTGGATACAAAGACTTAGGTAGCTGGGTTGGGTTACTACTTGCAGTACTTGTAATTATAATTGGGCCTAAAAGCAAATCAGTTTGCCTTTACTATGTACTCTCACCGAAATACTGACCACACCCCTCTATTTCTTTAAAGCAACTCAATTTTAATTGGGCTGAAGTGAAACGATGAAAATATTATTATTTTTTATCTGAAACAGCAAAGAAGATGTAAGTTTTATTTTCAAATCCATTAAAATGGAATTATTGTCTGTATAAATTATTGTAGTTTATGTATTATCCATTTTTAATATATGATTTTTTATAACAATTTTATTTTAAAAGATATTTTGATAATTAAGAATTAAGAATGTATATAATTTTTTTTTCTTGATTTCAAAATGATGTATATGATGTATCGGTACTAACATGACATAATGATGTGTCATATTCATAATCATTATATTAATATCATATTATTATATATGATACGTTATTTTTTTATTAAATAATTAACTACGGTAATAAAAATGAGATTAAATTGATATTAAAAAAATAATTCGACCAAATAATAAATAAAAACTATTTTTAATAAAACTATAGAAAGAAAAACTTGTTGAATATTTAAAGGCTATTAATTTCATCTTATCCCTTCAGTTCAGTATGGGGCACTCCTTATTTTTCTCTCTCACTTTAATTTCCATAACATTAAAAGTTATTTAAATCTGTGTCTATTAAAAAATCAGAAGTCAAAATATTATTGACATATATAAATATATATTTTTTATCATTTTTATATAAAAAAATCACATAATTTTTAATAAACAAATATCAAAGTAAATCACTATTAAAAAAAAGGCAATAAATTTAATCATGGGATATTACCTAAATAGCATTTCCACAACCAAAATTAATAGAAGAGTGCGTGAGGAAAACTCCACCATTATGATTTTAATGTTTTGACTAATTGGGATTGCTAATTTATATATCTATTAAAAAAAAACAATTATCCACTGAGTTAGATAAACTCGTTATAAGTTTTTCTCTAAATATTCGAAGAATTACATAAATTAAAATTCAAAATGATGGATTAAACTAAAAAAATGAATCAATTAATCCACAAACGTGACGATCAAAGTTGGTCCACTGGCACGTGTGACATAAAATAAAATGTAAAAGTTATATAAAAATATATATATTTTTTTTATCTATCAACATTCGTGATTTTTTTGTCTTATAAAAGTTGATGACAAATAACTTTTATTAATAGGTCTAAAGTTGATTATGAGACAAAATGAATCTGATTTTAATAATAGGAAAAACAATTAACGAAGATTATAATAATAAATAAAAAATAATGAAAATGGTGATGCATGAAAAAGGAGTTGAAGATGCATCATGCATGCGTGTTCTTTATCTTTTGTACCAAAAATGGATGAATAAAATATGTGGCGAAGTGGAGTCAATGACGCGTGTGTGGAAACGAAAAAGGTGAAGCTGAAAAATGGATTAGAAGCAAAAAAACAAGGAAAGGATGAAGAAGAAACATATATGTGGTGATGACATGAAACTCAACTCAAGAAAGCAAGAAAAGAACTAAAAATAAGAGAGAGAGAACGTTACAAATCACAGCAACGAGGAACAACGTTGTTTATTTATGGTCAAGTGTTTGAAAATATAAAGATGGATATTCTAAATATATATTCTAAATACATTGTCTGCCTTTGAAACCGCGAAATTCCCTCTTTTCACTCTCTTTCAATTTCATACGTCCTTGTTTAAACAAAGAAGGTTGTTTGTTTCTTAATCCTCCCCCTTTCCCACTTCCTCGTTTCATTTACCGACCCTTTTTTTGTATCTGGGTCGGCAATGCTGTTTAATTAGTATTTGTTGTTTCTGTGTTGCTGTTCTTCGTTGTTGCTTTCTCTCGAAGCTACCCTTTTCCCCCGAGTGATGGATCTCAGAAGAGAAAGATTGGTGATTTTCCTTGTGGGGTTGTTTGTTTTGCAAGTTTGCTGTGTCGCCAATGCCAATATGGTTTTCCCTGTTGAACGCAAATTCAAAGGCCCCGTTGAAAGCCTCGCTGCTATCAAAGATCATGATGCCCAGCGCCGAGGAAGGATTCTCTCTGTCGCTGATATCCCTCTTGGTGGCAATGGCCGTGCCAATGCAAATGGGTCTGTTTGGTTTTTTGTGCTTCATTATGTGTGGTTTGTGTGTTGCATGATGTGAAGGTTGTCGCCATTGTTATTTGGGTGTTTGATGTTGTTTGTGTGATTTGATCAGGCTGTATTACACCAAAATTGGGCTTGGCTCTCCTCCGAAGGACTTCTATGTACAAGTTGACACAGGGAGTGACGTTCTGTGGGTGAATTGTGTTGGTTGCACAACCTGTCCCAAGAAAAGTGGTCTTGGTGTATGTGTCTAGACTTTATTTACTGCTTCAACATTATTTGGTTGAAATGTAAATATATTGAGAGTTTCTGTGGTAGTATGTACATGATTGCTTCATTTGTTCATAAATCAGAGCTATTGGAAGAACATGAAATGATGCACATTTTAGATACATTTTTTTCAGATGGATTAATTGAGTATTTGGAATAGTCCCTATGTATATCACATTGAGGCAACTTTTGATAGTACAAATTTTAATGCTTGACCACTTGCAAATGTAGAATTTATTATATTATTATCATGTTGCAGATGGACTTAACCCTCTATGACCCTCAGCTATCCGACACTTCATATGTGATAGGTTGTGACCATGAGTTTTGCACTTCCACATATGAGGGTCCTATTTCTGGCTGCACAAAAGAGATGTCCTGCCCATACAGCATAACTTATGGAGATGGAAGTACGACCACTGGATCCTATATTCAGGATTATCTTACATTCGACCGGGCTAATGGTGATCACCGTACCGTACCGGATAATAGCTCTGTGATTTTTGGGTGAGCGCAATTTATAATTCTTCACACTTAACACACGCACAGTTGAGTGAGGAAAGTATATATATATATATATATATATATATATATATATATATATATATATATATATATATATATATATATATATATATATATATATATATTAACTGTGTTGTTCTATTTAGATAGTTTCCATTATAATCATCTGTTGGTTTCTACTAGATTTTCTTTGGGGAATATTGAGTATAATGTCTGAAATTTATTTATTTAATTTTTGGGTTAAAAGGGAGCATTGATGGGTGCAAGCACAACAGTTGGAGTTGTTGCTATGTGAGCCAAAGGTCATGGTTACCCTTCCTTAGACCCTGTGCATAGCAAATGATTTATAGCACCGGGCTTCCTTTTTTATTTTGGAGGGATGGAGTTTCAGCTATCTTTTGTTTTTTATGCTTGCAACTATATAGCTTCCTAGGTTGGTAAAGACATAAAGAAAAAAGTCACCATTGTATTTGTGTTTTATGTCTTCTTGAATATTCACTTGCTAATAGGTGTGGAGCTAGACAATCTGGGACATTGAGTTCAGGTTCTGATGAATCCCTTGATGGAATAATTGGTTTAGGACAATCAAATTCTTCTGTGCTTTCACAGCTTGCTGCAGCTGGAAAGGTGAAAAGGGTATTCTCACACTGCCTTGACAGTAATAATGGAGGAGGAATATTTGCAATAGGGGAAGTAGTGCAGCCAAAATATAAGACAACTCCATTGGTACCGAAAATGTATGTGCAGAATCATCTTAGCTTTTTGTTTCATACCATGTTATTCTTGTAAATGTATTTGATTTGTTTGGTTGTTTGATAATTGTAATTTGATGGATCAGTGTGGTATCTATTGGAGAAGCATATATATTAGTTTTTCATGGATGCAATATTTCTGAAGACTATTATTGACTTATGAATTCTTTATTTCTAGATAAATTTAGTAAAGGCTTTATGATTATAGTATAAAATTTATCAGTTGATGAAAATTACTGTAATTGTGTTATGGTATAAAATTTATCAGTTGATGAAAATACCGTAATTGTGAGATATAAGTGGAACACATAATCTGTAATGGGTTTTTATTTGTATTTTTTTCCATGTAGTATATAAGTCATTTTGTTTTCTGCGGTCCACTTGAGGGGCAAACTGATCCCATACACAACTGAATAAAGTTTTCTTTTTGCATCTTTTATTCTTGTAAGGCCTTCATCTTTTATGAAGGTGGATTCATTGTGAGATCCCTGATATATGAAGGTGGATTCATTGTGGATTCATCTAGCATAATATTTAGCAGATGTTATATCAGATTCTTCTAATGTATTTTATATCAAGTTTAGGTTTTGGTAATGGAATTATGTCCTAACTGTTGCCTACTGAATATTTTAGGGCACACTACAATGTGATTTTGAAGGACTTGGAGGTCGGTGGGGACAGTGTGCAACTCCCCACAGATATATTTGATTCTACAAATGGGAGGGGAACAATTATCGATAGTGGTACAACCTTGGCTTATCTTCCATCTTCAGTTTATGACCAGATATTGGAGAAGGTAAGAGTAATTTTAAGAATTAGGCTAATCATTTCCGACTTGAATTCTCATGATTATTCTTTGTGTAGGTTTTGGCTCAGCAGTCTGGAATGAAATTATATCTTGTTGAGGATCAATTTACATGTTTCCGTTTTGATGATAAGTATGATATTCATCTTTGTGACTTTATTTTGCTTCAGTTTTTCTTTCGTTTCTTTTTTCTTTTTTCTTTTTTTGAAATAAGTATCATTTTCCATTATTAAGGTGTGATGCCCTTTTTATTTGATTTGTCACTTAATTGACATATACACTGCATTACCATAATTTATGGGATGGGAGATAATAAGGTTTATTTTCATGGTTGTTTAATCCATACAGTATGTTGATTTTGTTAATTTTTGAACTTTAGCAGTGACAGAGCTTTGACATAATCGATTTATTGACTTTAAAATTACTGATTAGATTCTTGATGAAGTAAACGATTCTGGTAGTTAATTTGTGGATTTGTTTGGGTTTTTATAAATTATATTGCTGTCTTATTTTTTTTCTTTGTTTGTTTATGAAAGCAGCTAATGAGTTAGTTGAATGATCATCAACAAATAGTCTCTTGTATGATTGCTCAACTCTAGAATTATATAGCAAAAAAAGAAATTTCTTCCACATGTACAGAGAATTTTAAACCAGAAGACACTTCTCTGTTCCAGATAAAGTCTTATAAATACAGAAATAGTAATTGAGCACAAAGTTGTTTAGATGGTACAGTGATATAAACAATGTATTCTCAAAGGGATTTTTTACCAGTTTAAGAAGGCAAAGAGTTCACATCTATTTTCTTGCATATGCAGCTCTTAACTTTTTGACCATTGTAATTTTGCAGTATTGATAAGGGATTTCCAATTGTCAAGTTTACCTTCGAGGAGGGGCTTACTCTGACAACTTATCCTCAAGATTACCTATTCCTGTTTAAAGTGAGTGGGAACCTGATTTAGTGGTGGTTGTATCTGTACACATATTGTAGCTGCTAGATGCTCAATCTTTCAAAGAATATACAAGTTTATTTTCATATAAAAACTATACCGTTAAGTTTAACCTGTTGCCTGAATTGATTTTTCTCCCTCTTGGAAATTTACTGGGTACTTTGTACATTGTGGACTTGAAAATTGAAGTTGTAGATTTATCTTCACCTCACTCTTGACTACTACTATAATTTAAGTTACCATTTGGAGCGTTATACAATGCAATTTGAGAAACTTCGATTATGATAAATTTGTTTGAGATGTTCAATAGTGTTATTTCTTTGTCATTGCTCTCAGGAAAACATGTGGTGTGTTGGCTGGCAAAAAAGTATGGCACAAACCAAGGATGGACAGGACATAATTCTTCTTGGAGGTAAAATTTGGAATTATGCTTCCCTTATAATTTAATCTATTGACTTGTTGGTGTGGTTTTGATTTGTCCATTCTTTCAAGAACTTGTATATAATGTTAACTGAAGAGTCTGTTTCTGTTATATGCTAGCTATTTTTGTTAAATTAAAGACGTTCATATTATGTTTGTACCTTTATTTTTCTTTTTGATAAAATCTGATAATAGACATGACTTCACGGATAGTAATTCAAAATTTCTGATCATCTTGGAAATTAGTGTCATTGGATGACTATCATTTATTTACATGAAATTGTTTCCTACTGCAGATTTGGTGCTGTCAAACAAATTAGTCGTATATGATCTTGAAAACATGACCATTGGATGGGCTGAGTACAATTGTGAGTACCCTCTTATTTATAAGCCAAATTTATGAAGGCTGTACCGATCATATAAACTTTGATTGTTTCTTCTAATACTTCCTAAAAAGAATCATGTTCCATCAATTTCTTGACCTGCCTTTGATATTCCTATCATCAATAAATTATTACACGGTCCAAGACTATTTATTTGTTGCCGTCTCTATATGACATGTAACCACATTTTTCAATTCATAAAAAAGTTAATTATGTCATTGAAATTTGTTGGACGGCATGGTTCTAGACCATACAATAATTAATACTCTGTTCCCCCATATTCCATTTGCATCTCTCCTTAAACCAAGTTAAAAACAATAAATACATTTTCATGTTCTGCTATGGTTTTATGGGGTACAATTGATTTTTTTTTAATCCAAACACTTAATTTGTTGCATCTGTTTCATTATCACCCTTCTATAGTCTTTTACTGAAAAATTTGTTGATACTGACCTGTAGTAGAAGATGACTTAAGCATTGTGTTGTTGGTTCTTTAGGCTCTACCAGCATCAAAGTGAAGGATGATAAGACTGGAAGTGTATATACAGTGGGCGCACACAATATTTCTTCAGCTTCCACCATGTTAATTGGAAGTGTATTAACGTTCTTATTCATGCTTGTTACAATGCTGAGCACTTAACTGAACAGTGTAGAGGGATGGTATTTATTTGACTTGTGTGATATAAGTCCTTGATGGTGTTGAGCTTCATGGGAATAAATCAACCATTTCTCGAGAACATAGAAAAAGAAGTGGGAAAGAGGGGAAGATTTTTAAGCTATTTTCAGCTACCTCATTGTGTAAATTTTTTAAAAGAAAAGCATAAAGTTCTAAAGGACGCAATATCATTTTTTACGATGATATTGCATCATTGCTGCATAGAAAAATTGATATACTTAATTTCTTGTAAAATTTTATATCCATTATGTAAGATCCACATTTTTTGCCAAGTAAATCACCACCCCTTCTAAATAGTGAAACATGAATTTTGTATTTGTTAATGGTCATTTGTTGAGATTGAAGAAGTGGGTATCAAATTACACCCTGAATGCATAGGTACAGACATGCTCAATGATTATTTTGTAAATCTATCATAAAGGATATGCCATCAAGAATTTTCAAAACTCATGCAACAATTTGTGAGATTTAATTGTATTCTGTTTCCCTTTAAGTAGAACTGTGTATCATTTTGATCTTGCTGAATTAATTAAATTCTGTTTTAAAAATTAATCATTTGTTCTTGAGTTGAATTTCCTTCCATCTAAAACTTCAAATTCTTACTATTTTACTTAAAATCATCACAAATGGAATTGATTAACTTGTTTAAGCCCTTTTCTATTCAAAAATCATTAAAAAAAAATCCTTCTTTGAATCATAAAACCACAGTATGTAAAATCTGATTTTCTTAAAAAAAAATAACAAGCAGAAGGAACCGTGTCTATGATCCATGTCATACCTCAAGTCCAACTCTATTTGACTCGGACTTTGGCATCAAAAGAACCTGATCTGTGGTCTCTGCCAAAAATTGCAACCGAATTGTCTGATTTTTATAGGAACACCCAAAAATAAGAATATATAGTTATATATATATATATATATATATATATATATATTTATATATTTATTTTTATTTTTATTTACTTGTAACTTTGACAAAACCTGATGATTATGAGCTGATAATCACACTTTATAATAATAAAATATTGGAGAACAATACAAGTTCAGTTGGTATAAAGGTATAATGGCTCTACAAAGTTGTCCTTAGAAATTGTACCACCAAATAAAGAACTGCCAGGAATAGTGCAATCTGGTATGCATCCTGTTGAAGACTATCGTCCCTCTGGAAGAACTGAATAAAAGGCAAAAACAATCAACAACTCAGAAAGAAAACGACCTGTTGGCTAATTTTCATGTTTACGGCAATATTTCTTGCAAGGCATTCATATCATCATATTCTTGTGATAAGGAATAGAATGGCATAACCTTAAAAGATTTGAACAACTTGATTGATTCACTATGAAGGTGTGTTTGGTTGACCTTAAGAAAGCGGATTATGACTTTGATCATATTCGGGTAAACTTACCAATCAATACTTAGAAGAAAACAAGATAATATGAATAAATTTTTCTACAAATTAAATTTAACTTACATAAATTAAAAATCAGTTTTAATTTAGACCAGGTTTTCAAACAAAACATTTTTTGTACACTTTCTGTAGTCTATTTCAATAAATTTCACGATGAAGTCAAAGTCACTTGTTCGTTTGAGTACTAATAATATAATTTGTGACCTAAAACTTCCTTAAGTGAAACAAAAGCACCCAAGATGAGAGAATACATGGGATATAGAAGCCAGGCTTTTAGAATTGGTCTATAGAAGAAAAAGAACTCACCTTGGTTGGATCACCTGAAGGATCAGGATACATCTCCAAGTTCTCTTTTTTGGTTGAAATTTTACCACTCAAATTCTTAGCATTGTCAGCCAGATCTTTGACAGATTCAATAACAGTAAAGAGACCACGTGATGTCCAGAAAAATGTCTGAGCACTAGCTGATGAAGCTGATAAGTCCCAAAACTCTTCATGCTCAACGACTTGACCACTAATTTGGTTAAGAGTAAACTTGGAAGTAACTCTAAGTATTAAATCTTCTCCTAACCCTCCAATAACAGTTTTTGGCTTCCCTCTTATTGTCCACTTGATACTTAAAACACTGGTTGACAGCATCACCATATCCTGCACAGTCTGTCACCACACAAAGATTTTTAGAAAACTCTACACTTCCTTATTGTTCGTAGATTTAGGAAAGATTATTTTATTTCACTACATCAACACAAAATTAATTTTTGTTTCTAATGTATCCTCAAGTATTACTAGGTGGAAGAAAAAAAAAGATTTGTAGGGTAAAATAACTTTCAAATCAATGCACTCTCACCTTTACACATCACTTTGAAAAGTTCTATCTTAAAAAGAATGAAAACTACAAGAAGAAAACTTCAATGTAATGTGGTTTTTCTTTCTAAAGCTATCAAAAGATTTGTACTAGTAATATGTAGCTTAAGTATTTCCAGCCTACCAACTGAAAAAGAAAGCATTTATCAAACAAGGGAAGCTATAACATGTATGAACAACAGAGTATCCCTGTTTCATGCATTAATTGCTGCTTTAGAAGAAAGATCCTAGAAATTGAACTCACCACTGATGGTTTATCTAGTGCACCAGTAGCCCATAGTGGTCTTTTATACTTCTCACGACCAGTAAAACTTCTGATGGGATCCTGAACACGATAAAAGAATCATAGACATAACATAAAATCCTGCTAAGGAGGAGTGTCCTAACAAATATCGATTAAACAATTAATCATTCAAATTGTTAATATGAAAAACCATAATAATATTGCGTTGATAACATTATATGCTACATTTTTTACATAAAATTACTCTGCCTAAAGTACTAGTTAAACATTATCATTATTTTAATTACCCCAAAGCTTTGAAAACTTTTTAGCTAGCCCTTACTATAATGTGACTCTTACATAAGAATTCAACGAAGAAAACAAACTGCTATGCCTTCTTCTGTTATTGTTTTCTTGATTAACACTCCAAATAGATCATACATAGAACATGTAGTGTGTTAAGGAGAATGAAAGCAAGACCTTGTATGTGACAGAAACGGCAAAGATTCCAAGTGCTCGATTTCCCTCCCTTTGTTCAAGTATATCGCGTGCAAGTTGTCTTGCGGTAGATTCTACCAAGGGGCTGCTGATGCACTCAAACTCATTGCAAAGCTCACCAAAGTCCATACCATCAACCATCTTATCAGCTTCCGAAAATGACGCCTTGGTTGCGGTATCAGTTGACACTTCACCCCTATCAGCGTCATTTGCAACTGCAAAACATCTTCAATACATATCAACATATGGCACTAGCACTGCACCCGACTAGTCTTATATAAACTAAATCTATTCTGATAAAATTTTTCACAAGTAATTGTAAGAGGAGGAAAAAAGAAGATAAAATGTATTGTGCATCTCCATAAATTAAAATCAATTAATGAACCATAATTTGAACAAGAAGAGAAGCTAAATAAAAAATAATTTCTATGAAAGTTAAGTTCATAAGTTAATTTCAAAGAAGTTCAATTCGTTTTACCTCTTATTTATAAGTGCTCATACCTAACTTCATAACTTAGATGCTACATTTTCATGCACTTACAAGGGGAACTACAAATATATGTTCATCAACAAATCTTCTATGAATGATCAATATTAAAATCTTTTATGTACAATCAATATTTATTATTCTTATACTCTTACATGACAAAAAATTAGATGTTATTTCATTGGTTTTTTAAGGTTGTTCCCTAATCAAAATTAGAATTTCACCTTGATAATTCATATAACAAATATTTCCTTTAAAGCTAACTAACCTAAGTATCTTTGGAAAAAATCCAACTTTAAGAAAAGAACAACTCTAAAAGTATATCAAGGAAACTGTATTTAAGATTATCCATTCTCATAATAACAATTCTCACTGTATACATGATCTAATAATCTAAAAAGCATCATCAACACAACCCTTTTAATTCTATTTGAACTATCAACTTTAGTTTAATTTCTTTCACACACCATGTTATATATATATATATATATATATATATATATAAACTCTAGTTTTGTTTACAAACAAACTAGTGTGCATGTTTAATTTGTATCCAATCACAAACTAAAGTGCATGTATATTCACATAGGTTCGGTTGGATCAGTTTCTCCATAAATATTTTTAGGAAATACAAATAACAAAAAAAATTAAATAAATTTCTAAAAATTGAAGAAGCTACAAAACAGTTTCTATATAAATTATTTTATACTTAACTCAAAGTTTCTTCTAAATTTTAAACGAAGAAGCTATTACAAACAAGTCTTACACAATTATATACACTTAAAACCTATTTTTTATTACCAATGCATGCATGCAGATTAAACTTTGCAAACATGTGACTAACTAGTTAAACATGTTTATGTGATTGAAATGATGTGTATGTATAGGAGAGGAGAGAAGTAGGAAAACCTCGCAATAGGAAAGAGTGATGGTGATGATGATGGAGGGTGGTGGCGGGTGTGGATTTATTGGGGCGGAGGAATATTCCGGCGGCGGAAGAAAGAGAAGAAGCGGCGAGAGAAGAAGAAATAGCGGCAGTGAGAGTCATGTCTCCCCATTCCGTGGCGGAAGGAGAGTTGTTTGGGATTAGAAAGCAGATACGCAGAGAACAAGAGCCTCTTCTTTTTCTTTTTTTCTCTATTTTACACTTAACTTCTGGATAAGGTGGGACCTTCTCCTTATCAAACTCCATGCAAAAAACACTCTCTCTTTTCTTTTTCTTTTTTACAATTATTTGTGGATACTTGTATTATTTTCTAATACAAAGTGGAAGAAAAATGAGAGTGTATGGTTGAAAGTAATTTAAAATACTCAATGGGCTTATATTTTGAATGTAAATAAGATTGATACAAGAGTAAAATAAGATTTTATTTTAATTATGAGAGAAAAAGTATAGAGATGGAGTAAGAATATGTCTTTTTGTTTCATAGCACATTGGGTTGGACCAGCACAAGTACATAGACATAGCTATCACTATTTTCACTCTTCCTTTTTCTTCTTTCTAAATTATCCCTATAAAAATTAAAAATGAAATACAAAATGAGGGAAGATAATTAGCATAGAAGATGATAGACCAAAGGGTGTGTTTTGGTTTTGGAGGATAATTAAATGAGGGAGAAAGAGATGGGAAGGTGGGAGTGTGGTTAGCAGGATAGTTTAGAAAACAATGAGGAAGGGGAGTGTAAATAGCATTAGCCGCACAATAATTTTTGTGTGTGTGGATTTTGTAAAAAACAAAAGTTCAAAAGCTTTCTCATGATATCAAATTTTAAATCAGCTTGGTATGAACTAATTGGATCAAGTAAACAGTTTTGATCGTCCATGGTTTTTATTATAAAACAAACCAAAAAATTTAACTCAACCTGATTAACACATTATTTTGAGCTAAATGAATATTTTTTAAAAATATTAACATATCTATTTCAATTTAATTAATTAAAAATAGTTAAATAAAAAATAAAAATATATTTTTAAAATTTAAATTTTATAAAAAATTATTTTTTATTTAAAATATAATAATTTAATATATAAATTATAAGAGAATGTATCTCTCTAATCTCAAAATAAGAATTTAAAAGTTACTCATATTATTATTATTATTTATTAATAATTTATTAATTTAAAATAATAATTAATTTTAATTATTACATGTTAGAATAAGTAGTTATTTGAGATTTATTCTCATATTTATTTTTAGGATAAATGAATCTATTGTAAAATTAATTTATAATACATATAATTTTTAATAAAATAATTTTATTTTTATTTTTATTTAAAAATAATTATTATTTATTAATGAACCAAACCTCCTTACTAACCTGGAGAAAAATATTTTCTCTGATTTTATTTATAAAAACAATATTATTGTGTCCATTCCTCTTTGAAAATTCAATTTATTATTATTTTAAAATTAAAATATCCCGAATTAAAATAAGTTGAAGGTTTTATTGACAAATTCTTGAGAGAAATATTAATAACAGTGATAGTTTTGAAAAGAGTATACAATTTTTTATGGATTGAATTGACCATTTTTCTTAATTTTATATATTGAGTTAAGTAATTGAGAGTTCCTAATAAAAATAAACAAAATAGTTTATATATATATATATATATATATATATATATATATATATATATATAATTCTCAAAGAATAAAAGAAAACATATTTTGATATAATAAAAATGTTTACATAATTTAGAAGATAAGAATATGCGTAACTTACGTATTTAAAAAAAAAAGTGTACAATTTTAGAGTGGATAATATATTAAATATAATAATTAATATGAAAAATATATCAAATATTATTATTAATATTGATAATATATGCGATTTTCTCAATGAGAACAAAAGGAATAAAAAATAAAATTAAGTCACACTGACTTGATTATTAACTAAAAGATTTATTTTAATATATTCAAAATTTTCATTTATTAAGAGTCAAGGCATAAAATATATTTTTTTCTTTAATCCTATTAAAACTCTTTTTAAATTAAAAAAAAGTAAAATACTTCGTATCCTAATACAAAGGTAATATCATTAGGCCTTAATATATCATTAATTCTTTTTTATTTGTTATTTAAGATTTTATTACAAATAAAATATTCATTAAATGTTTTTATCTTGATGAAATTAATTAAAAAATAGGATAAAATAAAATATAGTTAGTAAAAAATAATAAATATTATCTTAAAAACAATAAATAAATAAATAATCTAAAGGTTAAAAAAGAAAAAAATATATATACGTCTTTAAATAATAAATCCAATTTCTTTTAAAACATAAATTATGAATTTTTTTTCAATAAATTATGAGTTTTTCTCAGTGATAATTCCTTTTTCTTATATATTTATTTAATGAAAATTTTAACTTATACTCTTTTTTTTTCTTGTATTATTATTACCTTCTTCTTCCGTCACATTCCATTCACAACTTTCTTCTCTATATTTGTATCTCATGACTCTCTCTTTTCTCCATCAAGACATGGCATGAATGTTCACAATTTCTCTTAAATTATATCAAAATCAGGTCGCAGCCCGCACCAAATTCCGAAAGCAAAAAGTGTTAAAAAGCAGAAACAAAATTGTCAACTTCTTTATTCAGATTCAGAAAATGGAGCTTTAATTTCTTTTTTCTTCTTGGGGGTAACACTTCTCAGTTCCAATCCATATATATTATGCATTTTCAAGCTTTGCTTTGTTGCATTTTCATAATTCTCTGTTTGGCTTCTTCCCACTTGAGACAATTAAGTTCCCATGCAACTGCAACAAATGCTTGTCTCACTTCCTTATGGCAAAAAAAAAACCAAAATTTTTCATTTTAATAATATTTTATATTAATAATAATAAATTATTAAAATAAAAGATGTTTATTATTTGAACGTTTGAACGCAATAAAGCATCTAATTAGTCAATGCTATCTTTTTTATGTATGTCCATGCTTCTAGAAAAGTAGGTTAACTCATTGCCAACCTATCTTTTCCTCTTTAGATTTAGCCACTCACTAGGCGTGGAAATTTAGTCATGCTTTCTACAAAAGGCAAAGAATATTCCCAAAAAAAGTATAACTTTTTAACAAAATTTAATAAATAATTAGTTTTTACCTTTAATGAGTATTTCATTTTTTGAATAATGTACATCTTTGTAAGTAAAAAAAGATATATTAAAAATGTTCTATATTAATGGAAGGATGTGAAAGGGATCCGAATATGTAAACATTTTAAACAAATGTGGAAAAGAAAATGATTTGTATTGATTTATTAATGGAAAGATGTGAAAGGGTGTTGAACAAGGTATGATATTTGGAGTGTAGAATGGGTGGATAAGGTTTTGTGAAAGTGAAGGAGCAAGTGGTGGTGTGGGTACCAAAGTTGAAGAACAACAACTGCTACTAACTTTGAAGCTCTTAAAAGAGGAATTCAAACACACAGTTCCATGATGAAGTAGCAACTATATATCACCCACCCCAACTCAACTTCTCCTAATAATGCTTAGTCATCCACTAGAGATCCACAGAAAGTTAATTCAGAAAAGGAAACCATGTTTGTCTTTTCTCAGAATCAATGAAAGGTGGAGGGAGCAAAGGGGCCACAGACGCACAATTCATACAAATCAATGCCATGATTAATCTTCCACTAACCACATTTGCCTCCTCTATGCATGTCACTGTTTTTCTACTCAAATACTGCCCTATGGTTTCACAAGTCCAAAGGGTGTAGAATGAAGACAAAAATCCAAACATGTTTGCCAGAATGTCATAATTGATTGATATAAAGAACCCGTTTCAGATAAAATTCTATTCCATTAGCTCACTCAGAAAGTAACATCCACTGGTTCTGCTACTTCTCTGCTCAGTGTACTAGTCTAGATTAGGTCATTTAAAGGTGCCTCTAAGCCTTAAATTGTGTAAAAAGGAGTTAAACAAGAAAAAACTTATTAGATAATTTAAGTATGAGTCTAAGTAGAAAGTATTTTCTAGCTTCCTTGAATGAACTCGAGAGACCCATGCATTATGCTCATGCTGTGATTGATTAAACCAATAACCACTTTCTTTCATTTGGGTTGATCTTTATGATTAATTTGTCAAACCAAGGCTTTTCCTTAATTTTCTCACCCTCTTCATTTGTCTTTACTCGCTTTAATTAATGCCGGCAATCACACACACACACACAATGTCTTAAACTCAATGTCGTCTAATCAATGTCGAAATCAGTGCTTCATTGTTTAAACTCATTTACTATTTAAGATATGATAAGATATATAACCTCAATAAGTTTTAATCTTGTCCACAAATTGGTACACACAAGGTAACATTTAAATTATTTTGTTCTGTATGTTTGACCAAAACTAGATAATTACAGGTAATTGTGATGTTAGCAATGATAAGAATAAAGAAAATATCAATAATAATAATAATAAAGCATTTTAATAAAAAGCTTTTTATTTTGTTGTATAGCTGTTTAGTTTGTTTGTGTTGTGGGAAGCATCTCTTATCTGTTTATTTTGTAAGTATTCTCCGCTTTTCCCTCCGTGATTTCTGCGGTCAGAATTCCTTACCAATTTCAATTCACCCTTTCAGAATTTATATTTAAATTTTTGCAGAAAAATTCACATGTATAATATTAAAAAAAAAATATATATATATATATATATATTAATAAAAATGAAAAAGTTCATGATACATGAGTGAATAAAACTAAAGTGTCTAGTTTCTCTTGAAAATATGATTGTAAAAGCAACACAAGAAATAGTTAAAGAAATAACACACGTGGTTTCCTAACGAATGCAAATGGTGACTCTGACTCGCCCATGCTAGGGGTTTTCTTCTTGGGTTTCTTCTTCCATTGCCGTGGAATAAATTCCAAACTCACCTTTTTTCTAATCACACATTTTTTACTCAAAAATGCTTCCTTGCCCTAGCTTCACTATTGCACTACAGCTTAATCACTGATTCCTTTCTTTCCTTTTTCAATACCTTTTAATTCACACACACAACCCGCATATTTCTATATATACATACTCATCATACTTCATTTTCTTCCCAACACTCTTGGAGAGTCCCATTGCCACACCCATAAATTACAATGGCCATGGAATTTCAGAATTTGCTACACTTTTGGGCTCTCTCCTCATCACTCTTCCTCATCCTATTGATCCATGTTCAAGCTGCCCCTCCTCACTCTCTTGTCACACACCTCCCTGGCTTCAACTCCAATTTTCCATCCAACCACTATTCCGGGTACGATTTTATTCCACATCGTCCAGAAATATAATCAAAATAGGGTATATATAAGTATTTTTTACCTCTCGTTCGTTGGTAGTTTTCTTTGAACTCACATTCTACGATACCCTTTTCACTTTTGCGAATAATTTGTAAGATTTTTGTTATCTATAATTTTAGTACAATTTTGTTGGAAATTCAGATATATAAGTATTGATGGAGATTATGAGAGTGGGAAGAACCTGTTCTACTACATGGTGAGTTCAGAAAGAAGTGCAGAGAAGGACCCAGTGGTGCTATGGCTGAACGGTGGACCTGGGTGTTCCAGCTTCGATGGATTCGTTTATGAGCATGGTGTGTTAATATTGAACCCTTTTTTTTTATTATTATTATTCGTTGGGAACAATAATTATGGTACTTTATTTACATGTCTCTTCAAATTTAATCTCCAACTGTTTCGGTATGGACATGGGTCTACGTTAATTTATTGTGCCTAATTAACCTCGTCATGTTCCATCTACTTTAGGAACATCTGAATTTTTAAAGTTTTTGTCACTGTTTTTTCTGGTTAGAAGTTGCCGTCTCTTTATCAAATTGGGGACCAAGTTTCATAAATATTACGCGTTTTTGTAATAATTTCGCACTTCAACTTTTCGAACGCGTGCATACAAGGAAAAAAATGTTGGATATATTATATGTTTTGTGAAAGTTATTGTTATTAATATTATTTGTGTTGATTATATCTGTGAATATTGTGAAATATTGGTGCATGCAGGACCATTCAACTTTGAGGCTCCAAAATCAAAAGGGGATCTACCCACTTTGCATATCAATCCTTATAGCTGGTCCAAGGTTAGGTTTAGAACCCCACTCCCCAAATCAACTCTAATTAATCATATATTATACAAGAGTTTTTCTTCTTAATTATGTTTTACGTACTACTACACTTCAAAACAATTTTCTTCTTATTTTAATGACTCACGCCTCCTAACAAAGTTACATAGAAAGACTCAAAGAGTAATAATATATTTATGGCCTTATTGTTCAATAAATTTTTAATATAACCTCATAATTAAAATTAATCCAATGATTAGGCATCCTAGCTTGCATAAATGAAATTTTGTTATATCAATGACAATATTTTTATATAAGTTAGGATTTTTACAAATAGACTAATTTTTTTATATAATTTTATTAAAATAGCTACATATATATTCTCAATAAATTGAAGAGTAAGGTGATTTTGGTGATTTTGCACTCACAAACATATTAATTTATGTCATGAATTATTTTTGAATAAATTAAAAAAAATTGCATATGATTTGGAATGGAGGTAATACAATACTTTCATATGGATTGAACAAGTGAAAAATGGCTTCAATAATTTAATTTTTTAATAAATATGGCCAAATAACTTTAGTTTTACATATATTTTTTCTTGTGTACGTTTCATTCAATTAAAAAAAATGCATTTCTATCACAAATTAAAATTAATATTTTCTGTACTTTGATGAAAATATATATCTTTATAGTTACTATATATGTTTCTCCATGTTAATTTATTTCAGGTTTCGAACATCATATATTTGGATTCTCCTGCGGGTGTTGGACTCTCTTATTCAACGAACAAAAGCAAATATGTAACTGGGGACCTACAAACTGCGTCTGATACTCATGTTTTCCTCTTAAAGGTACATCCGAGAAAAAACACATTCCCATTTGAAATAGAATTTACATTAACATTGGAACATAGGATCAGATTAAGACAATCTAAATGTTTAACTTTATTCAATGTTAGTTTGTATGCCACAATGATTATAATGATACCTTTGTGTCTGTTTGTTTGTTTGTTTTGGATCTGTCTTTTGGCAGTGGTTTGAGCAATTTCCAGAATTCCAGGCTAATCCATTTTATATTGCTGGAGAGTCTTACGCTGGAGTTTATGTGCCTACTTTGGCTTTTGAAGTTGCCAAAGGTACCAATGTTAAACTCCAATTCTACACTATAATAATGCCATGCATGCTTCATGAACTCAGAAAGCACTATACAGTGAAACTGAAGTTCTTAATTCCAACTTGCTATATATATATATATATATAAACTATTGGTGTATACATGCCAGGAATCCGGAGTGGTGCAAAGCCCGTGATCAATTTTAAGGTATATATATATATATATAGTTTTTGACATGGTTTGAAAAGAATGAGATTAAATTCTTAATAAGATGCATAAAAAATAATAATGAAATTTAGTTTTAAAGTTTGACGTAGAAAGCCAGCAAAAACCTTAAATTACCTTTGACTTTTTGTTTTTTGTTTTTCTGTGTAGGGTTACATGGTTGGAAATGGTGTCACAGACAATGTCTTTGACGGCAATGCTCTTATCCCATTTGTGCACGGGATGGGCCTCATATCCGACAGTATCTATGAGGTGTTCAGTGAATATTAATTCAATTTGTCATTCATTTATTATCTTATTCAAACACAAGTAGAATCACTTACCAAGAGTAAACATTATAAGAATTATCCAGCACCATGCTTTGCTTATTTATAACTAGTAATCCAAAGTTTTCCCTCCTCCTCTTGATTTAGTATCATTATATTATTGATGCTTTCTTTTGATGTTATGTTCTGTTTTAGATTTTTGCATGCATATGATGTTATTCTCAGCAAAAAGACACTTCATCATGCACCTAAAGCCTCCCTACTAATTACAAGAATTACTATTCTATTAGCTACTTTTGATTAATTATATATACTTTCATTTTCATTAAGCATCAATTATGAAATTCAATTACAATTTGCAGGATTTACAAGCTACGTGCAAAGGAAACTACTACGATGCCTACTCTTTGGACGAAAATGATGTGTGTTACAAGACCATTGAAAAAGTTGATAGGGTGAGACAGTCATAAAGAAAGAACATGCATGGTTTCTTTTTCTTCTTCTGCTCATTATGACTCATAATAACAACTAATTAAGATTACTGTCGCTTTGTTGGGTACATGGCCATGACTGACTGACTGCTATGTTTATCAGGCCATTGATGGGCTTAACGTGTACAATATACTAGAGCCATGCTACCATTTCCCTGATAATAGCACAGGCAAAGAAAATGGAAAGTTACCAGTGAGTTTCAAGCAATTAGGAGTTACTGAGAAGCCTCTCCCAGTGAGGAAGAGAATGTTTGGAAGAGCTTGGCCTTTTCGAGCACCAGTCAAAGCTGGTCTTGTTACATTATGGCCCCAATTGGCAGAAACGAGGCATGTCGCTTGTGTAGTAAGTTATCAATTATATATGTTCATACATAACTCATGATTAATATTCTTGTAGATGATTAACATGTTCTGCACAAACTTTATGCATATATAGGTAACATGTTATGATTGAAATGAAATGATAAAAACAGTTTTGTTTTTGATTTGGCAAGAGCAGAATGATGAAGTAGCAAGTTCATGGCTAAACAATGCTGCAGTGAGGAAAGCCATTCATGCTGAATCGGTAGGTAATCGCTATAATTAGTATTTATTAACCATATGTTCATGTTAACAGTTACTATTATAAGGTAAATTAATCACTTTTGATACACATGAACAGGAAAGTGTGGCGGGTGCATGGGAACTATGCACGGGTAGGATAGAATACCATCACAATGCTGGAAGCATGATTCCTTACCACAAGAACCTAACCATGTTGGGTTATCAGGCACTTATTTTCAGGTGCCAATACTCTGCATCATCTTAATCAACTTCTAGTTGATTATTAATTGCTTTTATGGAATTCTTAATTAATTAACCTCCTCCATTATTTGATGTATGAATGATGATGGGTCATGGCAGTGGTGACCATGACATGTGTGTACCATTCACTGGAAGTGAGGCTTGGACTCGATCTCTGGGGTATAAGATTGTGGATGAATGGAGGCCATGGAACTCAAATGACCAAGTTTCTGGGTATGCTTTTATTAACCTACCCAACTTGTTAAATTAGCATAGAATATAATATAAAAATAACGATAATATTATAATATTCGAAGAGAAAGTATATTAAAAATTCTACATCCACTATAATATATAATTGAAATATATTTATTTCTAATGCAATCGAAATGTTTTACATTATACAGGTACTTACAAGCTTACGAGAACAATCTCACCTTCCTAACAATTAAGGTATGAATTCTCTGGTTTTATAATAAAAACTTTCTCAAAAAAAAATGGTGGCATTATTTTCTGAATTGATTTGGTAGTTACTAAGACATGTTTGGTGCAGGGAGCTGGGCACACCGTGCCGGAATATAAGCCACGGGAAGCGTTGGATTTTTTCAGCCGGTGGTTGGAAGGAAAGAAAATATAAGTAAATGCATGCATTGATCTTATGTGGTGTGTTAATTGTAGCTTTACCTACGTTGATTTGTATATCATTTACATCAAATCATGTTTAATCAATTAGGGTTATCAAAAAAATTATGTCATGGAACTAATTCATACCTCGATCCTTTCGAAGAGAGGATGTGGTGCCCCAAATTTGTAATCTCAATAATCTTAATTACCAATTCATCCATCAACCTTTTTTTTTATGAATTTAGTTCTCTTTTGATTTTGGAACAACTTATAAGTATAATTTGCTTTTTAGTTCTCCCCTTTTTCTCTTTTCTTTGATCATTCATAATACATGAGATATAAGTTTTTAATCCACTGTTTAGCACCTATAATAATTAATAAAAATTGTTTAGCAAATATCTACATGGTTTTGTGAAAAAAAAAAAAAGAGTGTCATATTGATGAACGTGAAAATGAATATGTGAGGAAAATCATGGGGAAAAATGAGAAGAGAAAAGAAAATAAATAAATTACCAAGTTACAGGGTCTATTTGATTTATAATCCCAGATGAATTATTAAGATGGATACTATTACCTAATTTTTTATTACTTAAATTAGAAGTGTACTTTTACTAACAAAATTGAAAACTTTTATTTTGTTTAACTTTCTCGTCCAAGAAAAAAAAGTTCAATTATTAAATATAAATTAATATTAAAAGTAATTTACATAGAATTATTTTAATGATAATAAAACAAATAATAATATTCAAATCGTATATTTAAAACTTTTAACTTTCAAATCGTTAAAATTATTTTTTTAATAATTTATTTTAGTAATTATTTGCGAACTATGATAAATTTAAAATATTTGTTACAAATGATAAAATGTTGAATTTATTTTATATTTATGTTATAATAATTTACAAAAGAAATACATTCATCTAAACCTTCTATTACCATTTTATATTTTCATTAAACATCAATTTAATGGAAAAACTAAAATCAATACTTAGAAAAGTAAGCAACGACTTCAAAAACAAAAGAGTGAATAAAGTCACAATAATTTGCTTTAAAAAATTGTAGCTTTTCAATAAACTTTGTTTCAACTACAAATATTATATCTACTGACAATGTTTCAACCCAAATTCACAAGGTGACATTTGGTAGTCACATCAACATCATCTCAAAAACTTACAAATTTAATACCCCTTCATTAATTTCCATGTACATGTGTATGCATCAGAACAGCTTCATTACCTGAAAGATGTGCAATTCTGAGTCTTATCCTTCAAATTTATGAGACAAACTTATATCCTTCAGATTCAAGCAATTATCATACAAAACAATGCAATTTAAGCATGAATAATTGGCTGAAAATCAAATGACAGAAGCCATGAAATAATAGCAGACACGAGTTACCCCTTTCCACACCACACACCATACCATTAATTTCCACCAAAATGATTAAAAAGCTTGAAATTTCCAAGCCACTTCATTTCATTTATGAACCTCAACACTGTGCTTGTCTTTATCACAGTTACCTTGTCAATCACTCACCAACTAGTTCAACAATAACAAACTAATAATAAACACTCAAACTAAATTTTTTACACACTATTTGTTTTTTCGATAGAAACAAGAATATAAAAAAATATTTACCTTTTTTAAAAAAAATTGTTAACTTCAATCACATAACTTGAAAAAGCAGGCTATAGAATTGGCAATACAGAAAGTAAAGAACTAAGATTATGGTAAGAAGAGTTTGATTTTACAAAATTTTCAAGCACAGAGAAAGGCAGATTTCCAGACATACTAAAACAGCCCGGCCATCCTCGCTAGTCCAAACATATGACCCAGAAAGAACATTAGAACACCAATTGGTGATGTGAACATCAATATTCAAATAGAAAAGAAAATTGTGCAGAAGAACAAAAAAGAAAAGGAGTGTGTATCTATATCATGATGATGAAAAACAAAACAAAAAACGCAAAATAAACTAAGGAAATATAAGGTAAAAGACCATCTCAACTCAACTCAACTTCAGCATAACATTCCTTGGTTGAACCATTTTCTTTCATTTTTTATTTCTGATACCCTTGTCTTCTGTGTCAGGTTCAAACCTTGGGAGGTTTAGCAATGTGTTCACACGAGACACTCCTTCAAGAGCAGACCACTCTATTTCTGACTCAGGATCTATTTCCTCTTGCTTACACTCTTCCTCCTCCTCCTCCTCCTCATTGGTGTTGTTCTCTTCATTGTTCTCCCTGCATGTTCCTGACCTTGCCAGCCCGGTTGGAGCTGAAACGTCTTCCATGTTGCCATTATGGACTTGGATGGTCGAACTAGGTTGCTCCTTGGACTTGACATTGGAAGCAGTGCACACTTTGTGTGAGGATGAGTCCAGAAAGAGGCACACCACAGCACAGTCATCAACTTTGGAGGTTGGATACTTGTACCTCCATGCACGAACTGCTGACTCGACCAGTGCTCGTGCCGCAGACGAACGCCTTGATGTGGCTGCCACTATGTCCACCACTTCTTTGTTTGAGAGAACATCCCAAATCTGTCATTAACAAACAATAAACTTGAGATCAATGTTAAGTAAAATGGAAATCTTTGCTGGCATGTGCATTGGCAATGAGAATTGGGTCGCTTACCCCATCTGTTGCCAAGACAATGAATTCATCTTTTTCGGTGAGTCGTCTGTATGACATCTCTGGGACAGATATCAAGCCAAAATCTTTAAGACAAAAATCACCAAATGCCCTGGCCATGGCAAGGCCAGGTGAGTCATTGTTTGGCAACCAGACTCGAGCTACTTCAGGTTCATCCTGAAGTGCAAAAACGCGGCCTCTACATTTGCGAATTCTCTCTTCTTCGGCTGTAAGAGACAAATAAACTAGGTCAGATATATGGATAATATGTACATATATGACAGACCATGAAATTAGCATTTGAGAGCTGTCAACTTAATACAAAGTGTTACACAGGCTAAAACATTTTCCTTGGATCAGAGTATGGGTACTTAAACATAAAAAAACAAAAATGGGTCGCTTCTGCATAAGTTCAATTTGAGATGATCCATGATATACAGATAAAATACCTAATACTAATAAAAATGGGGCATTTCAACTAAACTATGTTCTTCATGGAGATGATCTAGACCTGATTTTAACTTTTTATTCAACTTTTGTTACATACGTTGCATAGGTCATGTACAGTGTATGCAAGAATTTTACATGTATTTGAACTGGACATTTAAATAGTTTCCGTTGTTAGATAGATGATCAACAATTTGATGCCACTGTGCAACAAAGAGGGTAAGAATTATGAGATGGTCAGATGAGTGATATACCTGGAAGATTGGGTTTCAGATCCACAGTTAACTGGACAGCAACAAGAGAATCATCGTTGTCTCTTGTACCCAACACAGCTCTAGAGTCACCAACATTTCCAACGATAAGATCATGGCCCTATAAATGAACCAAAATCCTTTATGGTGAGAAACAACTCATTTGAAGACAATTCTAAGTTTCTAGCAAAACATAATCTTCCAAAGGTTACAAGGCAACACCTGTTTAATCAGAGTTACTGCTGTTGTTCCGCTACAAAAACAATCAATACTTTGGTGGGTCTTCAGTTCCCTATCCATAACTTTGAATGCTTTCAAAAAGGATTCCTTAAGTGTCTGAAAGATTTCTGGGTGTTTTTCTGTTTCTACAGCATCAACAGATACCCGGGAATCCTCATCAGCAGATGCAAAGACAGCCTCTTCTAAATTCATGCCTGCTGCAGTATTAACGCTAATCTCCTTGAGGACTTCCTCACCAGAAACATGAAGTTCCCATTGGGCATTCAGTTTTAGAGGAAGAGAATCCCTCACTCTTTTTGCAACCATGTGACCAAATGGACCATGGCCATCAAAAACTCCACAGAAAATAGTATCTTGTCTATAACAAAAGTTCTGCAATTTATGGCAAACATAAGCAATTAATTAAAACTCTCTATTCAACAGAAAATGCACAATTCCTATTGTGTAAATAGGTACCAAAATATCCCCTTCCCCCCCATCATCCATAATAAATAAAATCAAGGTAAAAAATCAAGAGAATAGCAAGGGACAGTAAAAAGTGCAAATACAAATTTTCGGATAAGCTGACGGGTAACAGATCAACGATCAAGTAGTTCTCAATTATGCGGTGGGAACTAAAATCTTTCAGAACTTAGTCATCCATCAACTTTCACCAGGTGATCCCATCAGAATAAAACATTAGATCATTAATTCACACTATCAAAAACCAGAAACAGTCATACATAGCCAAAGTGATGAGGAAAAATTAAGGATAAGCAACAATCACAACTATATATGCAAAGAGACCGTGAGAACACCTATTGAGCAATCCAGACACGTCACAACCAAATTAGAATGAAGCAGGGAATGGAATACAAGGATCAACATCAGACTCAGAAAAGTAGTTATGTATGTATGTATAAACATAAACAACCCATGTGCGTATGTATCTGGCAAGGTACAATTCAATGTGAGAGAAATCAACCAACCTCACTAATATTTAAGATGGAAAAAGAACTGAATTGTGAGCAAAATGTAGCAAAAGGAAGACTGCTCAAAGGGGTAATTGGCCAAGTATAAGAAAATGCAAAGTAGAGAAAGGATCTAACCTCCCAAACAACCATGGCATCCTGGTTGGTACCCTTCTTGCCTTGCTGAGTGAACAAGGATGCAACTTGGGAAGAGCCATTGAGGAAGATCCTCCCAGGGATCCTATGAAGAGGCTCATTCCTCCAATACTCAAAGGAAGAAGCTCTTGATCCAAGCCTCTTCTTGGAGCTGTTCTTGCGCTTCCTGAGAGATGAAGAGGGTGAAGTGGGATGAGGGCTCCTGCTTTCCGCAGAGAAGCAGGACCCCATTTTAAGGGCCCTTAGAATGCCAAGGATGCACTCCACACCACTCGAACACCCACTCTCTTCCCTTGAAGGATCCGTCACAACCCCTTTGAGAATCACCAACAAAAATCAAAACCTTTCACAATCTCCCAACACCACTTTCTCCACCTTCAATTTACTTCTGTTTCTTTTTTTAACTTCCGCAACCTCTTCACCACCCCACAACAATCACAACAGCACGCTTTCCCGATTGAGATAACTAAAATGGCAGTGAATCAACTTCAGTCATCAATCAAGGCAAGGAATTCAGGATAAGACGAGAAAGAAAGATGTCTATTTTGTATGGGAGGAGAACCAGAAAACACAAAAAACAACACGTCTTTTTTTCTCTCTCTTGCTCTTTTCTGGTGTTGGTTATTGTGAAAAAATAGATAACATGCAGATCTGCGTAATACCCACAAAACCCACAACCCTTTTTTATTATTAAAAAACCTTCTGTAACAAAATCATCAAAAGGGGTTAGTTAACCTGTCCTGAAAGTTGGTATTTTGAAGGTAACCCACATCAACATGCGAATGCATCAAGCGAACCCAGAAAGCAAAGTTCAGAGCTTTGGATCAGAGGCGAAGACGGGGTTGAATTAACTAGAAGGTAGAAGAGAGAAAGCAAATTGTTGGGTTGAAAAGAGAGAATGTGAAGAGAGGGAGAGAGTGCATGTATGTATGATGATGTTGTGTGTATGAGATTTGAGGAGAGTAAGAAACGGACAAGTTGAAAGTGGGAAAAGAATCAGAACCACTCAGAGCGCACGGACCCAGAAACAAAGCCGTTCTTGTCTCTCGAAGACGTCACTTTTGGACGGAGAGAAGAAAAACTAACACAGAAGAGAAAAGAGACGATGGACAAAGCAAATTTCTGGACAAAACCAACCTTGTTCCACTTTTAAAAACAACTTTTCCTATCATTGCGATAAGAACATATAAAATTAATTAAAATATAAAATATTTCCAACCAAGTAATGTAGTAATCCTTATTCTTACTCGTATGAAATTTATTCAAAATCAATGGTTTGTTTCAAGTTTCAATTCGTGTTTTTCTGTGAATAGGAGTTTCAAAATCTATCCTCTCAGAAAACATAAACGTCAATTGTGTCAAAATATACTTTTATTATTATTATTATTATTATTATTATTTACATTTTATACTCTCATATGAAAAAATAATTGAATTACTTTTTTTATTAAATGAATTTACAGAATTATTCCAGATTTAATCGATTTGAAAAAAATAATCGATTTACTTTTCATTAGATGAATTTACAGAATTATTACACATGATATTAAATTCAAATTTAAATTTATCAATGTTAAATATTATAAAATAATTTTCAATTTTAAAAAATCAATTGAAAATTAATATTTATTATACTCATTAATGTTTAATTGTTTTAGAAACCGGTTTTCTGCAAAGATAAATGAAGATGACTTTTTCTTTGAAATTACTCTTAATCTAATTCAAGATTGAAGTCAATATATAAATTTGAATTTGTATTATGTAATCATTACTAATACTATATATTCATTTTAATATTTATGAAATTCAATTATTTTATTTTATAATTCTTATTTAGTACTTTTTTTCTAAAAGATTAAATTTTGAGGTTTCATTGTGGATATTATAGACCAATATACAGCTTGCATGAATGAATGTGAATGAAAATAAAACTTATTTAATTGAAAAACAAAATATAGTGAAATTTTAACTTTTTAAGATAATCTTATTTAAAATAAAAATAATAGTTTTTAATGTTACTCTTATTCAATGTTAATTATTAATAATTATATATATATATATATATATATATATATATAAAAAAAGTTTCATCTTGCATTGAATAAGTGTTAATTGGTTGAAATTTTTCATAATTGATTGTGAAATTGTGATTGTAAATATAGTTAATTATATCTACTTATATTTGGTTTGGTTAGGAATGTATTAAAAAGTTGAATCATAATTAAATCGTGACTGTTTTAATTATTATGTTAAAACAAGTTACCTTCAACAAATTATATCCATTAACTTGATAATAAAACGGTAATCCAATAATTAGAGTTAAAGAGAATAGAGATTAGTGAGTATCTAAATTGATAAATATTACATAGTAATAGCATGATTCATGTTTTTTATAATTTGAAGAAAAAAATATTTTAATCCTTTTACCTAAACATCATATTCTGTTTGCTCAAAATATTTTTACTACAAATGTATTTTATATTGTGATATAAAGATTTCCATTTATATACAAAATATATTTACACTAGAAAAATAAAAATTATTCTATGTTAAAATTGGATCTCTATGTTAATTTAACATCTAAAATTTAATGAAGCTGATTAGTTACACCTTAATCTCTTAATTAGTAAAACATGACAACTGCTATCAAATTTTTGAATGGTGGATAGTTTAAAAATGTTGAAACTAAAATTGAACAGATATAAAAAGAATAAATTAAAATATATATCAATTAATTTGCTTTTCTTTTTAATAATTTTTTTACTTGAATAATTTAAAAATAATCAATAAAACAGAGTAATGTTTTGTAAGTTTTGAATGTAACTACTGGAATTAATTATTGGCATTGAAATCTATAAATATTATTTAAAGAAGGTTGGTGGAGTAGATTGGAGATAACATGGCCCCTCTCACTTTCCTCAAATAATTTTCAAATCTTCCTACCCTATTTGTTTATTTTACACATCTCAAAAATCACATTTAACTTTCTAAGGTTATGCATATTCTATAATAAATATAAATTGTAGTGTAATTAAGAATCATAATATAAACGTTGCTTTAATTTTTAATAGATATTCCAATTTGTGTTATAGAGTATTTCTAATTATTTATAATTAAAAAATAAATTGAAATTTAAAATTGAGTTTCAGAAAGAAAAAAAGTATATTAAAATGGATACATGATTAAAAAGATTCAACGTACAAATAAAGATAAAGGATGTTTGGAAAAAAAAAAATTGTTTTGACGTGTTACAAGGACAATGCATTAAAAAACTTTGATGTAAAACTATCTCTATAAATCTTATATATAAAATTCAAATAATAGTCATCTTATTTTAATACTTTTTCCTGAATAATCATGATAATTATATTTTCTATTTTTTTTATTTGTTAACTATGGGTAAGAAATAAGATTTATGATATTTTATTGTGTATACAAATATTTATGTTATTTGTATATTTTTATCAGGTGAAAGATAAAATTGGTTGATGGATATATTAAGTTCTCATTTAAAGTTTTTTTTTAATACATAAATTCATATATAAAAGACATTTCTAATACTCAAATCAATTCTTAAAAAAATGATATATTTTAAAATAAATTATAAAATAAGTTTTACTCCCAATTAATTTTTTTATATAATATTTAAAAATAATAACGAGAAAAAATATAATAATTAATAATTTATAAAATAATAATTAAGATATTAAAAAAAATAAAAATAAAAATAACTAATAATAAAATAAATAAATTATATTAGATATTTCTTTAAATATTTAATTTTAAGGTTTAACTATAATCTTATATTATATAATAATAATAATAATAATAATAATAATAATAATAATAATGTAAAGGTGGCACAATTATTAGTGAATATTGATGATGCATCATGGGTCCGTGCCCTATCAACCATGGCCACATCGAGTCTGACATTGCAAACGTGAAACACGCATAGTTTTTTTTAATAATTATTTTAAATAAATATGTAACAAAGTTAATCAATTAATCTTAAATTATATAAAATCTCAACAAATTTTATCTAATAATAAGAGATTTAAGAAAATATAGAAAATAGTAAGTACTGTCATATAAATTCTAATGCATCGATAATTTTAAATATTATTTTATGTCTTTACAAAAATGATTATATTAATTTGTAAAACAGTATCTAAATATCTATTTGCTATTTTCAAATCTCGATATCAAGAGATTTGATTCAATATTCTTCATAATAAAAAAATGTTCATCATGAGTTGAATAGATGTAATTATAATATCATAGTTTATAATAATAATAATTATTAGTTTGATAGATCATTTGTGTTTGTGGTAGATCTTGTGGGTGAAATAGTCTACTATTTCAATTATTGTGTGATAGTTTAATTTGGTGTTGACTATGCATGAAACATTGGAAGAGAGTAATGTGACAATAAGCATGTGAAGAGAAGATAATGCTATGTTACGTTGTTTTTTTATGTCTAGTGATATAAGATTGATATATCCATTTTTTTTTAATATAATGATTTTGTTAACTATTAAATTAAAAAAGTTTCATCTTAATTATTAGAGTAAAAATAGTAATAAAATATAAATATTTATTTTAAAATTATAAATTAGTAAAGATAAATAAACGTGAAACAGAATTAAAAAAAATAAAAAAATATATGTAATTGAGAAAAAATAATGAATAAATACTATTTTTTTCTTATTTTATATTTAAGATACAAATTTAAAAAATATAAATATAAAGATATAAAATATAAATTATATTTATTTTCTCTTCGATGATATACAAAATTTATTGTTACGCATCTTATGACATGGACTATACTCATGCAAGAGGGAAATGTGCACATCATTATGCTAATGAAAATGGGGTCAGAATTGCATGAACATAGGCATATACAGTGAATTTTACTAGTTATTATTACTATTTTTTTTTTAACAATTTCCACCTAAACATTCTAGAATAAAATTATGAACCATGTGATTGAATATCAAAATCTTAAAATCAATTTCTTCTGGGTCTTATATTTTTCAATGCTTGTAATAATTACTTGAAATTTGTTATTGATTACCCCATTCTTAATTATTAAATGAAAATAAGAAAAAACGAAATGAATACATCAATCATAATCTATCAAAACATATATCAATTTACAGAACTTTTTCCAACTTATAAACTTTTTTTTTTTTCAGAAACTTTAGTTTCTATCAAAGCTTTACAAATATTAGTTGAATTTTATTTAACCAAATAAATCAAAGCCTATTTTGTATTATTTCACATTTTTTAATTATAAAAAAATATTTTACATGATTTTTTTTTCAGTTAGATTTTAATAATATATATATATATATATTATAATTTTGATTTAACTCGATTTTAAATATTTGTTTACTGATAAATTGAGAATGAAACCAATCAATTTCAAATTTTTTAATTTAAAAATCTAAAAAAAAAAATCAATTTTATTTTTATACTATTCAATTTTCAACCCCTTTCATAAATAAATCATGTGTCTTCTATGGGTAAAAGATATTTTCATATTCTTTAGCTTTTTATATTTTCATTTTTAATAACATGGTGTTATTCATAACTATAAAAATATTATTAATACAAAATATAAATTATAGCTGTCATAAAAGAAATAATCACCACCTTTACTTTTTGTTTAGAAATAGGAACTTCACAAAAATCTTGAATCAAACAATTGACTTTTTCTGGCTTGTGACAGATGATGAATTGACTTTTTTAAAAAACAGTATAGTTGGAGTTAGGTGAGAATAGCTGTTGTAAATTGAATATTTTTTTCATTATAAAAAACAAAATATTTAATTTAAAGTTTAATGTTATTTATTCAATTAAATTGAAAAATAGAAACGGATAAATAATAAACTAAACCCGAACAGTGAAAAAAATAAATTGCAGCGCAGTATAACATGAATGACAGTGAAAACGCTGTTTTTGAATGATTGGGTCAAAATTTGAAAAGTTGTGGTCACATTTTATTAATTTCAAAAGTTAACGCCTTTACCAACATGACTTCAATAATTATCAAAAATGAAAAATAAAACAATGGGTTTGAAACATTCCCACTCACTGTTAGTTTATTAATTTTAATTCCAAACGTTTTAAATGACTATTTTAATATTATGATAAAATTAGTCAGAATATTTGTTTTTGGTCCCCTCCTTCTAAACTGATCCATCACAGACTATAAATTCAACTCTTTAGCAAAGAGTAGATTAACACATAACAGTATTTAAATATATATTTAATTATAGAAATAATTTTTAAGTTTATACTTATTATTTTATATTTTTATTAAATAAATTAAAAAATTATAATATTTCTGTATTAAAATATTTAATTATAATTAATAATTTAAATTATAATATTATAATATATTTGTATATTTTAATAATATGATAAAAAATATAATATATTTAATTATAATTTTAATATATAAATATATTTTTTTAAATAGGTCAATTAATCTTATCCTTAATCTATTATATTTATAAATTAAATACAACAAATCAAAACCAACTAACTAATTAAAATTATTAATCCATTATGATATTTTTAAAACAAGTTTGCCGTGCATCATACTTAACCTACTTTATCATTGCTATTTAATATAAATTTTCTATGTTATTTTACTTTTTATAATTCACATAAAAGAAAATTTTAACTTATTTATAATTTTAAATTATAGAGATTTATTTTTGTATATTTTGAATAAAATAACTTTCATATCTACTTTAATTATAAAATAAACATTAATTTTAATATATAACATTTTTTTTATACTTTTAATAATACCACTGTCATTTGAAAATATACTATCAACTAAAACTTTAACAAAAACATATGTAAACTAAAAATAATATTTAATATACAAAAAATAAATATTTGTTAAACTTTTTATAAATAAAATTAAAGAGATGACTGTTATATTGTTTAAAACATAAAAGAAAGAAAAAATGACATTTACTAAGAATATGAAAGAGATTAATATTTATTTAAAAGTAATTATGAGTATAAGTTTTATTTTATTAAAAACGTATAAATGAATTATTGTTTTAAAATTTGAGCGACACAGACTCTTGAAAATAAGTGCATTTTTTATTTTTTATATTTGATGTTAAATTATTGACTTAAATTACTGACTTGATAAGATATCAATAACTTTTAAAATATGTTTGGACAATCTTTTCCAAAATACTTATTAAAAATTAAAAAATATATCTAAAATTAAATTACTTAGAAATTAAGAATATCATGTTAGATAAATTTTAATATATAATTTTTTTATATCTGTTATTTCCTAAAAATATTTATCGAAAATTTATCTCATAATCAACCTTTTACCCTGAAAAAAAAAACATAAAAACTTAAATCATTAGCAAGTATTTTAACTAGTTTATTTTATCATGTTCATCTTATCAATGTAATGCAGAAATATTCTAGATTTTCCCACACTTAATTAAGTACCACCATAGACATTATTTATCTTAAAAAGGAAAAATTCTTTGAAAAAGAGAAAATAGTTTGAAAAGTTGGTAAAGAAATAAACCCAATTTGTTTAATCACGTGATATTGAAGTTTGTTGAATTCTAAACCACCACTCAAATGATTATATTATTTAATGTGAATAATTGTTTCTTATTTGGACTCAAAGTTGACGTTTAAGGGAAGGATATATGAGTACAATTTTCAATTATTTTCTACATACACGATATTTTATTTGTAATTTTTATTGCCACATTGTTAAATAATTTAACCTAATTTTCTTTTTCAAAAAATACGTTTTAAAATTATTATTAGATAACGTTAATTTACAAAATTTTATTGTATTACATAGATTTTTTTAGGTTAAATAAGTTTTTTTATCATTGTATATAAAAGGGAGTAAAACAATTCATTTTTAATAAATTTAAATTTGACCTTAAGATCTAGTTATAGTTGAAATTTTTTTTTTTAAATGGAATATTTACGTTAAATTTGAGATTAGTTAATTTGGTTCTCTTTTATTCTTTAATCCTTAATACTCGATTGATATAATTACGAGTTTGAGATACACTCATTAAAATATATATATATATATATATATATATATATATATATATATATATATATATATATATATATATTTTTTTTTTTTTTTCTTTCTTTTCTCTCATCGTACCCATCAATTGTTTTCTTTATTTTCTTAAATATCAAAACAGGAGGTCTAATTTGAATTTTAGATAGATTTTTATTTTAAAATTTAGTTCAACTCTGTTGTCAGATAATTTTAATCTGCTTAAAAAAAGTTCAAAATATATATTTTTAAAAATTAAATAAATGGAAATAAGAATTTATCATATTATTATATTATCTAGTTTTTGTATTTTATTTTTATTTCATTATTTATTTCTCTTTTCATCTTATGTATTATATATATATATATATATATATATATATATATATATATATTTATATTTATATATATACCTCTTTTTATAAGATAATAAACGGTTGTAGTTTTTTTTCTTCTCTATATTTTTATGTATCTAATTATTTCTTTGTTATTATATATAATATTTTTTCTCTCGATATTAAAAAGAATTATGAAAAAGGAATTTTTTATTATATATAATATAAATATAGATGTTATCATTGTTGCATAACGTCATTAGTATTATAGTTATTATTCTTCTCCCTTCGTCCACACTTATAAGCCACCATTTGTTACCAAAAAGAAATATTATCTTTGCTATCCACTGTTATGATTATATAACTATGAATCCTAAATGTTTTTGTTTTTGGTTACTTTAGTTTTATTTTTAAGTAACCGTAATTTATTAGAATCGTATTTTCCTGTTTTAGCTAAGGTGGTAATAGTTCTTACCCTTTCTGATTGGACTTGCTTGAAGTTTCATTGATTCCACATTATAAATGCAAGAAGTAGTAGTTACCCATCAATGCAAACAACCCCTTCCTAACCATGACATGATTGAGTAAACATTCACATCAATCACTGACACTTCCCGTGACCCTGGGAGTTGAGCTCTCCCTTGAAGATATGGGGAGCACTTGACTAACACCAGCTTTTTACCCTTTCTCAAATGTTCTCTTTCTCTCTTCATATTTCTTTCCCTGATAAGAAAGAAGAACTACATGTCCATGGCTTTCAATCAATTTACTTCTATTGTGTCTTTTCATGTTGGCATGCAGTTCCACTCAACACATTATTTGGAGGGAGAGTTTGATAGGGTTGAAAAACTTGCAGGTCATGTTCCTACCTCTTTGTCAATATTTTATTCAACAGTGTCTGCCTGGCCCATCTTTTTGTCTAGGGCCACCTCATGCTGCCAATAATACCAAACTTAAAAATCATTTGTCTCTCCACCATTATTATTTTTCGATTTGATTTGTTAGATTTGTAAATTTCATCTCCCATTCTTTTAGTTGTGCATTTTTTACCCACTTGTTAATGTGGTATTCAATATTTAATGAAAATGGTAAAATATGAAAACTCTGTTGAAGACCTGGATGAAAGTCCCTCCTAAGCAAAACAGAAGGCTTGGTCAATAAACTAAGATGGTGACACGACAAACAGTTTTGGGAGTTATACATCAAATATTGTTACTCTTCTCTTTGAAAATATTACACAGTTAAACTAGGTGATGATGAATCCCCAAGAAACTCTGATCTCAATTTCATCAACAGTCTGCCAAGATAATTTAAGCCTTCTCCCTCTCGGCCTCCACCCCAAAACAGATCATGTGGTGAAGCCTCAACTAGAACAGAACCAGCAGTAGATAGCAGCATAGTTTTCAAATGCGGGTAGGTTGAGAACTTGGATTTCAATGCCTTGTACATCACGTCGATCTTTGTGTTCTCCCAGTCAGACCTTATCTGTGTGCCCAATAAAAAGGAAAGGTTCAATCCTCTTACAAGAAAAAGGGTCAGGAACCAAACAAATACTTGATTTGGATATGAGCAGACTAGTTAGTGCATATTAATATTAGTAATTTAGTATGTGTTTTAAAGTTTGAAACTATCATATGCAATGAATTTTTAAGTACACACTTAGAAATGAATAATATGCACAATTCACTAGTAAATAAGAGTTCCAACATTTTTCTTTCTTTCTCTCTCTCTCTCTCTCAAGAAAAAACAACTCACTGAAAAAGGACAAACCATGGATTAAAATATCATCGTTAAAATGTCTGAAAGTAAGAAATAGGCCTAGTAGTTGCATCTTTCAGTGGGAATCATACTTATGTATAGCTATATACACTGTATGCAAACAGGCTTCAAATTAGAACATCAATCTACTGCATGATAGTGATTTCATCTACATGCCTAATATGCGATAGTTAGCTTCATGACTTGACATCAAAGCTCTATGACTAACTGGTCAGAAATTCAATTATTGTCGACCCCACTCTTCTAATGTTAAATTTAGCAGAAGGCAACGAGGGGCATGTGGTTATTTTACTAATAAAATCATTAAGGTCACGAATTTAAACTAAGGATAATTTAGTCAACAGAGTTTTGAAGCTTTTAGTATTATTTATCTCCCACATCTCCCCCAATATTGGGAGACAAGGAAGAAATTAAAGGGGAGAGATTTTGGCCCCTTTATTTCCACTCCTCTCCCATCAACTATCTTAACCAATCAAGCTATCTTTTAACACCCCTGTCCGTCCTGCTACTCCCCTCAAACCAAACAGTAAGCTTTTGAGATAATTGATTAATGAAAGAAGCCAGAAAGGACATACAGTTGTCAATCAAGTCTCAGCCAGTAGGCAAGATCTGATTAAGTGTTTGAGTAAAGTTTGAAAACCACAAGAGTATACCAGATCAGGTTTCTGCTTTTGCATTGACCGTCCTATTCTTGCAGCTTCTTCCGGACTTATTGCAGATTTAATCCTTTCAACACAATCTTGTGCCATGGGATCATCCACCCCAACAAACTTGTGTGCCTACGCATTGAATTATATGTATAAGCATTGCAACAAAACAGCGAAGGGAAACAGAAATAATGCAACAAAGCAAGTACCTGGTAGTAATGTTCAACACTCAACCAAGTCACATAATCACCATTTTCATCATGCATTTGAATGGGATGAGGAGAGAAATTTGACAATGCACCGTAAGGATCCCATGTTTTATAGAAAAATATGATCCTTGACTCGTATGGTGAAACAGTAGGATCAACAACAAAAGTTTCATCACGTGATGGGATTACAGGTATCATGTCTGGTAAGGGCTGAAGAAATCCACTGATAAGCATGTCAGGTCCAACCTGCATTACAGTATCAGTAACACAACCTCATCAATGCTAGAGAGCAAGGCAGGTCAAGACGCTCAATTGGGAAATTACTTCAACTAAAATATTCAATGCCAGAGATATCACAACTTTTTTCCTTAGATATACAATAGATTCACAACAAAACATAGATCAAACATGTTTTTCTGAAAGGGGGAGAAAACCCAGTACTTAAAAGGAAAAGACAAATGAACGCCACAGGAGATTAACCTGCTCATAGCAAACATCAATTAGATTTAAAGCCTGTGTCATCTCAACCATCCCAAGATCACCCACAGGAGATGGTGCATTCCTTCCACCAATAATTTTAGGAGCAACAAAAGCATAAACCTGAAGGCAATAGATATCACCATTATCCAACATATATATATTAAAAAAAAAAAGAGCAAAACAAGATAAAGCCAACCACTCAAATTAATTCTAATTGGAATTTGATAATCGCCAATAAGTGCAACCATCTAAACCAATGGAGAATTTGGTAAGGGTAGTAGTATCTTTGTCACCAAAACCCCTCGCAGAAACAAAACAATGCCTATGTAGAAGTGCAACACAGAACAAGAAATCTGAGACAGAAATGAAGGGGGATCATCCATATCAAAGATTGCTTTTCATTCTTCTGTGTACTTTAATTTCTGACAGAATTTTATTCTTTTTGGCAATTCAAAGAAAAATAAGTAACTATTCGCATCAAGTTAAGCTAGTAGAAAATTCCTTTTAGATCAATAGTGATCCACCTCTCACTCTCAAAAGGCCAAGAAATTTTGGTTAATGATCAAAACATAGGAAAGCATTCAGTGAATGTCTCTTGATAATCCCAAAAGATTTGTTCATCATAACGCCTCTATTGCCTATCTATTCTTAGCCTATTATCTATTCAGTAGAAGTAAATACGTTGTAGCAATTGAAAAGTAGCCTAACTGTGCTAATAAGTAGAACTGCACTTAAATTTTTCCCAAAGAAAAAGAAAACGCAAGTTTGAACAACACCTTGTGAATTACTCCAGATGAAATAGCAGATGCAGCCAATGTTCCTCCACATTCCCATAAAATTGAAAGATAACCACGATCGTGGAAATACTCCATAACTTCTCGGGGAGTCAAGATGTCAAACTCCACAACCTCAACTCCTTTAGATGCAAGCAGCTTCTGGAAACTCCTCCTTGCACCCCTTTGTGTTACAACTATGGTAGAAACCTCAGACATGTCCCACAGGTTTGCTTCCTCTGGAAGATCAAGAGTCTGGGTCATCACAATTCGCATTGGCATATGGCCCCCACCATGTCTGGCTGTTAGTCTTGGATCTGATTGAGTTTCAAAGGAGGTAAGAAATAAAAATTCAAATTCGGATAAATTAGAAGACAATAATAACAATACTCACTGTCTCTTCGAACCGTATTTCCCCCCACAATAACAGCATCACTTCTACCCCGTAGCTCAAACACTAGATTTCTAGACTGCTTGCTGCTTATCCATGACGCATGGCCACTGCTAGCAGCAATTTTTCCTGCAGCAAAGGTATCAACTAACTAGACAAATACAAACACCAATGTTTGAATGTACTTCTTTCAAGCAAGGGCAAATGAATAGAATTCTCATCTCACCATCAAGAGTCATAGCATACTTGAGAACAGAAAAGGGAACATGCGATGCAGCTCTACAAATCAAAGGTGCATTGACAAGAAGACACTCTTTCTGCGCATCCTGCAAATAAACAAAATAATGCATGCATGTGAATAAATACCAATCAATCAACCACACAGAGTTCTATCAAAAAACCCTAAATATTGTAAAATTAGATGTTTTTTTTTTTTTTTAATAAGACCACTTATATTCTTCACAAGAGGTCATCTTGTCGGTGCAGGGTAAGACTATTATGAGCAACAAACCTCTCCTTCCAAGAATTTTTACCGGGTTGCATATATAGGACTCAAAATTGGAACTTGAATTCAAGACCATTGATTAAGCTAGTACAACTATTTCAGTTGATTCAGACACTTGGTCGCGCTATATTGCTTTTATTGTTCAATTGAAACAAAACGCAAAAGATATTGAAGAATTGGACACACCTCAATGAGATTACTAGTGAGATCCTCTCCAAGAATATCAACATTCAGTCCTTCATTTCTGAGTGCACGCACAGCATTGCCACGAAGATGTTGCAGGGGATGCCTCATTCCAATCACAACCCTTCTGACCCCTCCCTAGTTTGGTTTCACACACAGGGTAGGATCATTTATCAACTACAAAACACAAACTAGAGCCCATACATCGTATTCGTGAGCAACAAAAACATCAACATCAACATCGGATTGTAACACAGACATGCGGGTTAGGTAACAAACAGAAGAAAGGCGAAGAAGAACCTGGAGCAGAGCAGACACGGCACTGTGGTCGCCGTGGCAGTCGCCGGGCTCCATGTTCAGGTACGCCGTGGCACCGCGACAGCGTTCGCCGGCGGATTCGACGGCCTGAACCTCCGCGGAGGCGGTGCCCTGAGCGTAGAGGTAGCCCTCACCGGCGACGTGGCCTGCGGGGGAGAGGATGACACAGCCGAAGTTGGGGTGGGGGGAAGAGAAACCGGCGGATTTGTCGGCAAGGTGGGCGGCGCGTCGGATGTAGGTAGCGTCAAGCGCCTGGGGTGCGGTGGGAAGGGAGGCATTGCATTTGCAGACAATTGAAGCAGGGTTTGCGCTGAGAGTGAGACACAACAGCGCCATTTTTCAACAGAGTTGTTTCCCTTTGCTTTAGATTTTGGTGAGGAACATGAGGAAGGAAGTGATGTTGTTTGTGTTTGGATCTGTGAAGTTAATCGCGTTGGGTCCAAGCGAAATCACAGAACAACCCATCAAAGCCATGCATTTAGAACCTCAATCCAATCCAATCCAATCCAGACACAAGTTGTTTCAGCTGTACCTGTTTTTTTAATTTTCTTTTTCATTTATCAGTGTATTTCATTGAGATTTTAAAAAATATATAAAGAGAACCCTTTCTAACTCTTGTTTGAATTAATAATAGATTTGAAAGGGAGAACAGAGTAGAAACGAAAGAAAAGTAAAATAATATTTTTATTATTAATAATTTTATTTATTTATTGTTATAATATTAAAAAAATATATATATATATATATATATATTAATTAAAAAAATAAACTATGAAGTTATTATAATCAATTATGCAATATGTTATGTTTAAAAATTGTAACTTTTTTTCGCAATTCTTCATATTAAAAAGGGAAAGAATTTGCTCTTTTTTATTTTTAAAATTATATATTAAAATACGTAAAATTTACGCATTTTTCACAATATTTCCATAATTGAAAATAAACATGCGCTTAAAAATTAAATAAGTCTTTCTAGAATATCTACAAGGTAAAATAAAATAAAATAATATTTATTTAAGATTTTTTTATAACTTATATGCCCTTCTAATATTAAAAATAATTACTTTTTTAAGATAAGTTTTATTGAAATTTTAAATCAATCTCAATCCAACTTTAAGTTTTTTTTTCAAACTGTCATTTTATTCTGTCGTCACATGATCACATACTTTTTTTTCTAATCCTACTCCTGCATTGATTCTCTGCAGCATTTCATAATTTATTTTAATTAAATTAATAAATAATTCCCACACTTAATATTATCAGTAAACAACTATCATAATTTTGAAAATACTACTTATTTAGGTACGTGAAACTAGCAAGCAACAATTCTGTTAACATAATTAAAAAATTACATTATTTTTATTTTTCATTATTTGAAGATTATCGCTCTTTTATAATTTTTTTTTACTTTTCTAATTTTAGACACTTTTGCAAAATCTATTGTTCATTTCAAATTGTATATATCCATCAAATTCTTTTAAACTTGTACGATATAAATTTATTAAAATATTTTTTCATAAAAAGCCTAGAAAACCATATATCGGGACACTCTTACTCTTTTATAATCTATAGAACCTCTCTTATATCAATAATATTTCGACCTCAATCAAGCACACCCAAGATAAATCTCTAATTGATTTGACATGGTACTTTATAATTTAATTGATTATTAATTTTTCAGTAACGATGCATTCGATTATATTCATTATTGTTTGGCTTGTTGAAATACACCATTTAATTTCCTTTTAGCCTCTCCTTTCACAAGATCGAAGTTATACAATTTCCTTAAGTTACCACCTCTAGGAGAGGAATACGAAGCCCAATTCAAATAAAACGAGTTAAATTACTCGATCTAAATCATTTGCCGCTAATTTTCCAAACATTTTTAGATAATATAAAACTTTAAATTTACAGGTATAAAGTCACCACCGTGAGCAACAACTTCATTTTTGAAACATATTTAACATTTTTGAAGCAACAACTTAAAAAGATAATAGGTTGCATAACGAAGTTTTAAATAAAAACGTTCATTCCTGCTCCACCTTCAACATCCAACTACCTACAGCGTTTTTGCATTCACTCACATTCAGATTCAATTAGATAAAGGTAATAAGCAAACCACCAGAATTGTTCAATGGCTGCATTAATAATTTGAAGAAACGATAAGTTACCAGGGACAATACAACCCATTATTGAAAAGACACTCAAAATACAGTAATGCACCCATATAAACATATCAACGTGGCGCAGGCATCGTGATAGTCCCCATGGGCACAATGAGGCGGTGTCAAACACAACACAACACAAAACACAGACACATAAAATAGGTCAACAGTACTAATAGGCAGAATCGAACTTAGGAGTATACGAGCCAATATCTTGATTAATGGTACAAAGAGCTGAAGACAATGTAATATCTTCAGCTCTGAACCTCCCTCCACACCACACTTACTCCTCCTCCTCAGCCTCCTCCAGCCAATTAACAAAGGGCTCCAGCGCCTTCACAAAGGTTTGCCTGTAATAAGCACGGGTAAGCAATATAATATGTATAGTAACAGGAAATTACAGACACCAAGAAAAGGAACCTAAAATCACTATCTCTAACAGTAGATAAGTGTCCACAGAAAAATTGCTTACCTGCCCTTGGTGTTTGTTCCTTTTCGGAACCAATGAAGAATGGTATCTTCAGCCAGCACATCCTGGTCATAAAGAGATCTAACAATCTCAGGGAACAGCTTCATCAGTTTAGCATCCTCGTAGCATTGCATCTGTACTTTGTACATAAGTTCCAGCTCAAGTTTCCCACTGGTACAGAATGTATTCAACAGTTCTGCCCAAGTTTTTACCTTTACATGAATACAGCGCTGTCGTCAATAACTTTTATACAGATAAGGGTATAAAACATGTCAAGCAAAATATGTAATTCATTAAGTTGTGTATTCTTGATATATGTCAAATCCATTCGTTAAAAGTTTATAGAACCATTAAAATAAATCCAATTGTGCATGTCTTAACACAATCTAAGAACAAAATATCCACCACTCCGAACATGTTAAACAGTACTCGGTTAGCATGTAAATCCACAAAATCCATTAGCTCGCCCTCAATTCTTTGAAAATAGGTACACAAAGTTTACATGGTTTCAAGAAGTTCAAAATTAAATAAAAAAAAACAAAGGTAAGTAAAAACCTAAACGTTGACTAAAGCCATAAAATAAGAATTTACAAACCCCATACTCCTTCAATAAGAAAATTAAGTACACAATGTCCAAGAGAACAAACATGAAAATCCTCAAACCAAATAGATGCCAAATATCTAAAGAATACCTGACGAAGGGCTGCATTTGCATTCTGCTGCTGATTTTTTCCAGACCACTGCACAGCATCCATTAAAACATCCCACAAGACCCGCACCACCTCAATGTCCGGCAATTTAGCATCTCTAACTCGCAACTTCACAGTCTCAATGACTTCAGATGTATCAGCCTCCTCTGTTATCTGTGTTGTTAAAGCAGACTTCATTTCCTTCAATTTCACCTCAAAAATTTTCTTTTCATTATACTCCACCAAGGCCACCAGTCCTTCCTTGCTAAAATGTTCACAATGAAATATAAGTTTCCTCCATAAATTAACACAACAATAATCAATGATAAAAACAGTGCACTAGTCTATTATCTAAACAACGAGCTATCAAAATGTTAGACAAACTAGCAATTGAATGAAACTAAGGCCATCATCGCCTCTAGAATTTTAAACTGATTAAAAAACTCACTAAACACAACCAATTCTTCAACAGATTCAGAAGCAAAATAATTACACACTTCAGATAACAAAATTGACAATTGACCACCACTAGCATTGTAAGTTTGTAATTCAGACCTTCTGCAGTCTATTCAACTTCATTTATTTGGCAAAAAGAAAAAATACAGCGTGTGCTATGCTATGCTTGAATGTTTAATAATTAAGGCTTGCAAGTCTTTCTAACTTAAGAATTAAGTTTAACCAAGGTCAAGTACTAAATCCAATACAAAAAAGACACAGTAGCTTTAAAATTTAATATAGGAAATGTTGGGTTGACAACCCAAACATCTCCCCAACAACTACCTTTATTAATTAAATAATAGTATATAATATTATATTAATATTTTCAGTTGTATAATGGATGTATGGGTTGTCAAAATATAAGTGCTCATATCATACTATGTTTCACCAACCCAGTACACTAAGATTAATGAGTGTATTACAATTCCTCAAAAATAATTGTTCACGAACCATGTTATAATAAACAATAATTTTAAAGCATTTTTTTTCTATGGGGGTATGTATGTTTCACTAAGTACCTGAAATGCTCAGAGAAAGCTTCATTGGATCTTTTTGTAGGGGGGAAAAAGTCCAAAAGATTATCCTCTACTTTTCCCCGTTTCAGAATTGAAATAAGGTCATCAAGGCTGTTATCAATCAGATACTCCTTAAAGAAGTCAGTCATAAATGACAGAACTAGCCCTTTGGCCACAAGGTTATCTTTAAGAAGTGGTTGGAACACAGTTTCTGGTGGGAGACCAGACAACTTCTGGGAGAATGCAAGTGCGGTGAAGATTGCCAACTTCTTCCTCTCATTTTCCTCAAAAAGCTCCAAGGACTGGAGGAACCTTCGCATGACATTTTCAAGGTTCTTGATGAGAAATGGCCTTCTCCGCAAAATCTTTTGTATATAGATTACAGATGGTAAGATGACTTCACGCTTAGGCTCACTCTCTATTATAGAGTAAGGATGGCGTTCGCCCTCATCAGGCTTGGTAGTTCCAGGTTGTGTACGACCCCCAGTGAAAGCAACCTAAAGTTATGCAAAATTAACCACTACTGATCAGTAAGAGTTTTGTAGGGCAGACCCAAATCAAACAGACAGTAAAACATCAGAATTGTTGAAGAACATTAAAACTATACAATGATTGTATTAATGCTCTAGTATATAGAATACAAAAAAAATGTTTAAGAAAACAACATTAACATGCAATAGTGGCAGCAAAAACCCAAAACTCCGCCTTCCCAAGGAGAGAGAACAGGGAAAATCAAATAAAATTTATGTGCAAGCATACACAACGTGAAGGTCTTGATAATGCAGACTGCATCTAAACATAAACATCCCACACCATGAAGTTAAAAAACGAATGTCACACCACAAAGCATCCAGTTCACTGTAATAAAAATTCAAACTAAAAACATTTTCAAATAGCTCATAAAAAGTCCATAGTAGTGAAATCAACAATGAGACAACAGAGAGTTTCTGTTGGTTTATGAAACTTGCCTCAAAAAAGGTGTCACCGTATCTTGAGAAGTTAAGGTCTGAAGATTCAATGCTCTTAGCAATAAGTTCCTGCATGCAAAAAATACTAAATCAGTTTGTATGAATAAACCAGAGCAATACGTGTATGCAATGTATACATACATCATATGAAGACTGTAAAATGCAACTACAACATTACCAGATCACCAGCATTATCCAAATAAATCTGGACCACTGCATCCGAGAATGCTGCAGGGTCCAGCGGCGCTGCAATATTCCGTTTGCGGGTCTTAATCCGCGTGCCACTGGGGATGGAGATAAACAATAAAAAGGATAAATGCCACAATCCAGATTTGAATACATGAGAAAACACAATATTCCGTTCTAAATGGAATAGTTATATAACGTTGTATAGATTATCACCTGGTAGATACCAGAAGAGCATAGTACCACTTACATAATTAAAATATAGTTAGTTAAGATAAAAATAAATAAATTCACTAATTAGTAAAAGAGTACAAGAAGAGGATAAATTAAGAATGCAAAATGCATCAAAATCTAGTGACGATAACACTAAAATAAATAAATAAAACTCTCATAATTCTATCATAGTGCCACAAATATTTTGATTCTACCCTTTTAGAATTATGCAAACAGAAAGGTTTTGGTGATGTGCCACGATGTTAGAAAGAAAAAGGAAGGCAAGAAAATCAAAGCAGAAAAAGTAATTTTGGATGTTAAAAGACTAATTAATATTATATTTTCTTTCATTTGAAATGTTCATAGTACGTCATTTTAATTATGCATAGTTTACAAGCCATGTAAATATATAGGTCATGCAGCACTAAAATGGCATAAAACTTATCTAAGACCTAAGATACAAAACATAAAAGAAGAAAACAAAATAGTCAATTGAGAAAGAACTTGACTCACCCAAGAGTGGGTCTCTCCTTCGAGCTGCAAAACAAACAAATCAGAAAATCAGAATTAGCATCGCAAATAATTTTAACAGTTATGAGTAGTGCAAACAATAATTTCATTATATTAAAAAAAAAAAAAAAAAAACTCGATGTCAAGAGGATGGATCACGGCGTTAGGGCAAAGGATGAAAAATTAAATTAAGACGGTTTTCCGAAAGCTAACCAGAAAGAGGTTACAGATCTGATAAAATCGCGACGGAAAACAACTTTGCTGATCCAATATTATTTTTAGAATAAAAAGAATGAAAAAGAAATTGAAAATTGAATAGCTTTGGGTGATTTAGATCTGTAAAACGTGAATCGCGAAGCGTGAAGAAGAGAAAACAAGGAAAAAAGATACCTCATAAACCAAGACGAAAAGGAATCGAAAGATCGGTGAGTCTGTGACTCGGTGCTTGTTGGGAAGAAGGAAGAGAGATTGAAAAAGGAGGAAAGGAGAAAATAGGACACAACAGGTTCCGTCTCACACCTGTATTTATATTATTGATTAATTAAATAATTAATTAATCAATATTTATTCATAATAAATTATATTAATATTGATTTCGATATTGATTTTACTAATTAATCTTAATGATTTCGATATTGATTTTACTAATTAATCTTAAACTTGTGGAAGATAAATGTATATGCAGTTTTGCTTAAATGTCAATAATTTTAAATAAAAAGTATTTTCTGTTCCTTGGTGTGTTAAATGATTTTCATATTCATATTACAAATAAATTTTTGAAATTATAAATTTTAAGTAATATAAATAATAAGTATTATCATATTCTATTAAGATTATTTTGATTTTTAATTTGATAATATTTAATTCAGATTTATTTTAAACTCATACGAACTTTTTTATATTAAATAATTATTTTTTATGAATTGTTTTAGTAAAATATTTTGAATATTATACTCATTGTTAATCCAATAATTACTTTTTTTAGGATTTTTTTAATAATTAAGATATGATAAAGTAATTTATAAAAACATACAAAAAATATAAATGTAATAGGTTAAAAGTAAGATCAAGTTTAAATTTATCTAATATCGATGCAAATTTAAAAAAAATATATATATGATGTAAATCATTTAAAAATTAAAAACATTTGTTTGATGAGATTACATATCAGTTTTCTTAAAAAAATATAACTTTTGAAAACTTCGAAAATATAGTTTTTTTTTACATTTATACTTACAGTTATATGATGACTTTAAAAAATATTCAATTAATAAAAATACTAATAAAACATACATTTGCGAATAAAAAAACCACAAATATTTATCATTTCAAATTTGACTTTAATTATTCTTAAATTTTTTCTTCCATTTATTAAATTTTGAATTTTTATATTGAACTTATCATATTCATCTTTTATATCTTTTTCACACTAGTTAAGTAATAAACAATTTTGGTATTGTTATCGTCTTTTTTATGCAATTTCATTGACGTTTATTTCAATGTTATTAAATTTTTATTATTTTTTAATATAATGTAAACAAAATTAAAGTCAGATTAAAATAAGATTTATACTAATTTTATATAATTGTTATAATGTAAGGTTATATACTATAATTGTATATTATATTATATGTATAATATAATACTTTAATAGAATAATTTATATTATATAAATAAATATTAATACACCTTTTAAGTAAATTTAAGAACTAAACTTGTTAATATGAACTGTGACTTATTTTAAAGTCTTAATTAGAGATGTGGTTCTTTATTTGTTTCAATTAAATAATTTAATTTTATTATTAATATATCATATAGTTGTAATTTTTTTTATATCAATCTGGATAAAAAAATTTAATTTTACTAAAGGAGTTGAAAATTAAATTTTTTACAAAATGAGTTAAATGGGATGAGACGATTTTAGAATTGAAACAGAAACACATTTTTAATGAAAATCATGCTTTTAAATACAATTTTGATTTAAAAAAAACTTTATTATATGGATTTTTCACCTTTTTTTAATTTATTATTTATTAAATAATTATTTTCAATTTAATTATTAATTTAATAAAAAATAAAAACATTTTCACAAATATATTAAATTTATTTCACTATATTTATATCAAAATATTACATTATTTATTAAAAAATACTAATGTATTGTTTGATAATTTATTCGATTATTTTTTTATTTCGATAAAATAAATATTTTTTTGTTATTTATAATTTATATTTTTATTTTATTTCAAATTTAATTAGTTGTAAATAAATAATAAAATGTTTTTTTAAATAAATAATATAATCGTGCAAATTATTTATTTTAATAATAAATTCATATATTTTTTAAATAATGTAATAATTTAATAAATTTACCGAATTAAATTTAATAATATTTATCTAAATATTTTTGTTTTTTATTAAATTAATAATTCAATTAAAAATAATTATTTAATAAATAATATATTTAAAAAAATTAAAAATCTTATTTTTCGAAAAAATAAATGATAAGAAACTTGTGCTAAGAAATTCACTATAGTAATATTTATACATAACTTATATTACTAAACATTTTTTTTAAATTAAAATCATACTTAAAAACACAATTTTAGTTAGAAATTTACTTTCAAACACAATTTTATCACTCTAAATCCATTTAACCTGACACGATTTAATCTATTTAAAAAAAATTCATCACCTTTATTAAAATTAAAAGAAATTAATATAAAAAAAGCCTAAATTGTCAAAATCACCTCATTTAATATAATGATTGAAATCAACCCAACTAATAATTTAATCTAATTTATATTTTAAAATGAATATTATATTTTTTAGTTTAATATAAACTTATTTTAAGTTAATCATAAAATTATTTTAAATATTAAAATAAATAAAATTTATATATAATTTTAATTTTAAATTATATTAATAAAATTTATATATATATATATATATATATATATATATATATATATATATGATACAGTATGGGAAAAGAGAATGAAAAAAAAGAAAACAAAAACGGTTGGAGGATGATCACTCCAGGAAAACATTAATGATAATAATTTTTCCTTCCTATATACTGCTATCTCACCATCTTTTATACTTATTTCACGCAATTAACTATTAACTGTTTCTGACTTCTTCTACCTGACTAACCAATCTGACCCTATTCAAAAAACGTTAATATACATGTACGTGCTCTATTCATATCAAATAGCTACCCCTTCAACCACAATCGTATCCTCAAGGTTGATATTGGGAAAGCGTATGCAGTAGCTTAATCTCTTCCCTTGGCTTATTTTCCTATTCCACCAGAATCTGAATCTGTGATTTCCCATTTTTGTAGCCATATGTGTTTAGCCTAAATGGTTGTTGGTTCGGAATCCCCTGTTGTTTCCTGCTCCATAGTCATGACTTCTTGCTGATTCACTGTTGGGCCTACATAGGGCTTAAGTAATGCCACGTGAGAAACTGGGTGTACTTTTGACTTTGTCCGTAGTTGTAATCTACATGCTACTGCCCCTATTCGCTCTGTGATTCGAAAGGGACCTTGATGTTTTCGACCCAGCTTGGGATGGTCTTGGCCCCCTATTGTTAGTTGCTTGTGGAACTTGGTATGCAGCCAGACCCAGTCTCCTACATTGAAGGTGCACTCCTTGCGGTGTTGATCGACAAACACTTTCATGCATTGTTGAGCCTAGTGGATATATTCAATGAGTGATCGTCGTATATGTTCCCGCTATTCCAACTCGTCTTCTACAACTTGTACCGTCATGCTTCTCATTCGATACTCTGGCCATGGTAATGGTGTCTTGGCGAAGACCACTTGGTACGGGCTCATTTTTGTGGCAGTGTGGTACGTGGTGTTGTACCAGTATTTCGTCCACCTGAGGAATCTATGTCATGAATGAGGTTGATCACAAATGAAAGCCCTTAAATACTGCTCCAAGCACCGATTGAGGACTTCAGATTGACCATCCGTTTGTGGGTGGTAAGTGTTGCAGGTAGCATTAATTGTCCTGTGACGAAGGTCAGGTGGGCCGAGTCACAATTGAATCGTGGCGCTTGGGCTGTTAAAGTAAAAAGAGTTGCGCTCTGACTAATGGCTATAGCTTTTGGCCTAGTGGTAAGCGCTCGATCCTAACAATTGGTATCAGAGCCAAGGTCACGAGTTCGATTCCTGGTGGGCAATTGTTGAGGGGGAGATTGTTGCAGGTTGCACAATTGTCCCGTGGCAGAGGCCGGGTGGGCCAAGTCACAATCCAAGAGTGGGATACCTTGTAGGACAATTGCTGAGGGGGAGATTGTTACAGGTAGCATCAATTGTCCTGTGACGAAGGTCAGGTGGGCCGAGTCACAATTGAATCGTGGCGCTTGGGCTGTTAAAGTAAAAAGAGTTGCGCTCTGACTAATGGCTATAGCTTTTGGCCTAGTGGTAAGCGCTCGATCCTAACAGTAAGTTGTACTGAACTTGAGTTGTGTATCGCATAATTTTATCAAGTGCGCCATAATTTGCTTATGAAAAGAGGATCCCGACCTGAGACAATAGAGTTAGGAAACTCATGTATCTTCATCACCATGTTACTGAATAGACTCGCTACATCCTTCGCGGTGTGATTGGGTAATAATGGACCAAAATAAGCCATTTTGGAATATCTATCCACCACTATCAAAATACAATTAAACCCTTCTGACTTGGGTAGTGAGGTGATAAAGTTCATGGCTAGATCTTCCTAGATTCGTTGTGGGTAAGGCAGTGGCTGCAATAAACCACTAGTTTGTTCTGTAGGCACCTTGATTTGTTGACAAGTGACACAAAAGGTGATATATTGTTGCACATCCTTTCACATAGTTGGCCAATAAAAGTTTTCAGCAATCTTTATATGCGTCTTCTGGGCTCCTACATGGGCTCCTATAAGTGTAGTATGAAACTCGCATAAGAGTTTCTTCTTCATGTCTTTGGCTGAGTTAGGAACGTAGATTCTATTTCGCCAAAGAATAAAATCCTGGCTCTTTGCGAATTCACTTGGTTGAGAGTTGTCTAGGTCCCGGAGAATTCGTTGTGCCTGTGAGTCGGTTTGGGTGGCTTCTTTTATGCGTTGTAGAAGCTGTCATTGTATCAACGTTAGCATGCTCAAGTAAGCGAGTTGTGTTAGGATTCGCGAAGGGCATCTGCTACCGTATTTTCTACTCCCGGTTTGTACTCGATGGAATACTCAAAACCCAATAGTTTGCTCAAATAATGGTGTTGTTCTAGAGTTTGGATGACCTGATTCATGAGCTCCTTCAAGCTCCTATGATCAGTACAAATAACAAACTTGTTGCCCAACAAATAATGTCGCCACTTGGCTATTGCTTGAGTGATTGCATATAACTCTCGTACGTACGCAGACGCTTTTACTAGACGAGGATTCAATGTCTTACTGAAGAATGCGATCGGATGACCTTAAAACAACGCCAATTCCAAAATCTGATGCATCTGTTTCAAGAATTAATTCTTGCATAAAGTCTGGTAAAGCCAACACTGGGGCACTGGTCATGTGATCTTTGAGGGAGTGAAAAGCTTGTTGTGCTTCCTTGCTCCACTGGAACCGATCTTTTCCAAGTAACACTGTAAGTGGGGCGGCCACCTTGGCGTACCCTTTAATGAAACGTCCATAATACCTGGTCAAGCCTAGGAATCCACGTAGCTGTCGCACGGACTGAGGGGTAGGCCATTGACGCATATCTTGTAACTTGGCTGGATCAGCACATACTCCTTGGGACGTGACTATATGACCCAGATACTCAATTTGATTTTGGCCAAAGCGACACTTGTCTTTCTTCGCGAAGAAGGTATGTTGTCGCAGAGTTTGTAACACTGTGCGGAGGTTTTCTTCATGTTGTTCCCTGGTTTTACTATATACCAGTATATCGTCAAAGAATACAGCTACAAACCTTCGGAGATAGGGTCGGAAAGTGGAATTCATGATGGACTAGAAAGTTGCAGGGGTGTTTGTTAACCCGAATGGCATTACGAGGAATTCATAATGGTCATCGTGGGTTCTAAATGTCGTTTTGTGAATGTCTTGTTCTCGCATTCTTATTTGATGGTACCCAGCTCGTAGATCCAGTTTTGAGAATATCGTTGCTCCGTGTAGCTCATCCAACAGTCATCTATTGTAGGAATTGGAAACTTGTCTTTGATGGTGATCAGTGCGCGGTAGTCTACACAAAAACGCCATGATCCATCTTTTTTTCTTACCAGTAGCACCAAAGACGAGAAGGAACTTTGGCTAGGACGAATCACCCTTGCTTGTATCATTTTGAACACTAATTTTTCCATTTCTGTCTTTTGAAAGTGAGGGTAGCGATAAGGACAAATGTTCACTGATATTTCTCCTGGTTGTAAATGGATCACATGATCAATGGCTCGAGTGGAAGGTAATGTTGATGGAACAACAAATATGTCTTCAAATTATCGCAGCAGGCTTTGGATTTCCGATGGCGATTCAAAGTAATCTTCATAAGTGGGTTGTATGAGTAACAAGTGGAAGCAAGACTCGATGTCATCTAATGTTGCCAACTAGTTCACGTCACATTGTTTCAAGGGCCCGAATGAGGGCTGAGTCCCTTTAAGTTGTATATGTCGCTCCTTGGTTACGAAGGTCATGGTGAGTTGTTCATAGTCAATAGTTACGGGTCCTAACATTCACATCCATTGTACCCCTAGAACTACGTTAATGCCTTCAATCTCCAAGATAAAAAGATCGATAGTGAACTCGTGACCTTGAATCTTGAGAGTGATGTTTTCACATTTGTGATTGCACATCAGTTGTTGACCATTGCCCACAAATACCCAAAAAGGTGTGATTCTCAACCGTGGTCACCCCATTCGTTGAGTTATGCTTAGTTTCACTAAATTGAATGTGCTACCTCCATCTATGAGAACCGATAGTATTTGAGATTGGCATGTATCCATAATGCGCAGCGTGGATGGATTCCCTTGACCTATCAAAACATGCAACGATATTTCGGGAGTCTCGCTAATTGCATGGTCACCTGAAGCTTAAGTCAGTTTCTCCAAAGCCGAGGGATCACTTTCTTCTGATGTAATAAGGAGATAACACTGGGTTTTACGTCGGTGCCCCATTGTATATTTTTCGTCACAGTAGTAACATAGACCTTTCTCGCGTCGTGCCCTCATTTCTGCATGTGACATCTTCTTGTAAGGTTGTTTGGTTGGTGGTACGATCGAGGCGTGGGATGACACGAACTGTTGTGTGGGGGTGATATTATGGATTGTTTGTGATGGTTTCGATTGAGATACTGGTGGTGCAATGTGGGTTCTGGTTATTTGGGTGGACCATGGTGATGGTCGTGAGTTGGGTGTGAGTGGCATTGGAGTGTCGACATGTGGGTGTATTGCCTGCGTTTATGTATGTTTCTGTTCATGGAGCTTTGCAAGACTCACAGCATGAAGATAGGACTGAGGTTGGGCTATCAAGAGTTCGGATTTAAGATGCTCATGCAATCCAACTATAAAGAAACTAGTAATCCAAGATTCAGATAAACATGTAACCTTGAGCGAGATAGACTCGAACGTTGTTTGATATGCCTGCACAGTCGTCGTTTGGCGCACTTCTTTCATGGCTACCCGATGATCTTCATAAAGACTGACACACCGAAACACAATTTGGTTGCTGCTACAAATGCTTCTCATGTACTAATGAGATTATTATGAATCATCCATTTATACCACATGTAGGCGCGACTGCTCATGGCTATGGAGGCCAATTTTACGCGTTGTTGTGGTGGTGTGTTATACAGGGAAAATAGTTCTGAAGTTTAAAGATCCAATATTCCTCATCGCTATCACCGAAAAGAGGAATGTCCATGCGTCCACTGGACTCGCTGGAATGGATGAATGTGACTGTGAAGTGGGCGAGGATTCCGTATTGCTAACCTGATTGTTACATTGATTGAGTAACTCACGAATTTGCTGCATAGACTAATCAATCTGCAAGAATTGTCGGTCGTTTTGCTCCACAAGCGTCTCGAGTTTGATATCCAGAATACGAACTTGTTCGTCCAATCTTGCGGAATGTGTTCCCTCCGCCATAATCGTTCAGCGAGAGGAATCAACGAAAACACCAATTGATACAAGCGGGAAAAGAGAATGAAAAAAAAAAACGTTTGGAGGATTATCACTCCAGGAGAACAATAATAATATTAATTTTTCCTTCCTATACACTCGTTATCTCACCATCTTTTATATTTATTCTACGTAATTAACTATTAACTGTTTCTTATTTTTTCTAACTAACTAACCAATCTAACCCTATTAAAAAAATATTAATACATGCTCTTTTCGTATAAATATATATAAACTACGTCTCATTTATGTAAATAATAAACTAAATGAATTGAAGTAAAATATATTATATTTAATTTATGTCATAGTTTTTTTTAAAATCTATATCTTCAATATGTTTTACCAATTCATCAAATGAAACTTAGGTTAACATTTTTGTCATCTAAAAAATCATAAGATAAATATATTAGTATATTTCTTTTTAATAATGGAGTGAAATAATAATAGTTACTAAAGTTGCTTTATTTTAAAATTTCGAATAACTAAATTTATAATTAAAACTTTATAAATATCAAAATGATATCAGCCTAAATTTAATAAGATAATTTGATTCTTAACTTTAATGTTATTATTATATTAAACACAACTTGTACTAAACTTTTATACTTTGAAATCTGAAAGTAAAGTCCATCTATTTTATTTTTAACCTATGAAAATGAGGATTTTTTTATATTAAATATTTGTGCCTTTTACTTTTAAAAAATATTTGTACTCACTATTAGCTAAAATAACAAAATATAAAATTATAAAAATAAAATACACAGCATAGTAATTTTAAAAAATGACAATTATTTATTTTATACATACCTGGACGTCTAGTATAAACTTTATTATTATGATTTTATCAATATTAAAAACTAATCAATAAAAATGCAGACCCAGCCCACCACACAACTTTGTCTGGATCAAGTCGAACTCAAGCTTTTATAACCCAGTGGATCTCCACTACCCAACATAACTTTTGCCCCAAGAAAAACCCATTTTAACACCTGAATCTTACGTTTATAATAGATAGAATTTTTTTTTAATTTATATTTTATTTTATAATTTTTAATTTATCATTTTTAAATTTAAAAATAAGTGGCTTAGTTATTTTTATACTTGAATTTAATATTTAATAATATTTTTTTACTGTTTTAAAATTAATAAATAACTAAATTAATATATTTTTTATAACTTTACGAATTAATTCGTTAAATTTTAAAATATAAGAAAGAAAAATAATTTTTACAAATACTACAAAGGCTAAACATATTTAACCTGTTAGATATTAATAAAAGAATCTTAAATTTATTTTATGTTCGTCTGAAATTATCAATTTTGTTTTTAATTTGTATACTTTTTCATGAAAATAAAATACAAGTATAAGGTTACTAAGGTAGACTTTTTTATTAAAATAATATTATTATATTATTGTTTCGGTGGAATTTCGATCCATTTCGACTCTTAAGATATTTTGATCCTAATCAAAATTCTACCACGTAAGTTCTTTTTACTTAGGCTAGCAAATTAATTTTCAATCGAGATGCGTATGAAGATCGAATTTTGCCCGATTTCAAAGATACTATTTTTGGTGTTTTATATTTAAAGTGCTCGAAGTAAAGAAAGCAGAAAATTCGTGGAATCGAAAAGCAGTGTTGAACATTAGATTGCAAAGAAACGTAACATGCGGAAATCTTAAATTTGTTTTAAGTATAAAAGACAGGGAATCGAAACAGCAGAAATGTAAATAACAGGAAGTATAAATGATAGTAAATCAAATGTGCGGAAAGTATAAATAACTTGGAAATCGAAATTGCATTAATGTTAAATGACAAGAAAACTTAAACGCGAAACTTAACTTTCATTGAATCGAAATGACCAAAAATCGAAAGTACAGAAACATAAAATTGCTAAAGATAAATTGCATCAAAGTAAATTACCAAGGAAAATACAGAAAACGGTAAAGGTACTCAATGAGCATGGAAATCCAGATTGCCAGAAGCTTCATGATGTTCGTCGTTTCCCCGGTAGACTTCTCACTAATGATTCTGTTCTCTGCCAATTTTCTGCTCTCCCTTTCCTTTCATCATTTGCTCTATTTATAGTGTCTTTTCAAGTAATCTCTTAAGAGCAGTTAATGAAGACTACTACCACGTTCTCTGTGCACGTCTTTTGCAGTTTTGTTCCTAGCTCTGCGGTTTAGAAACTGTATCCACGTTCCCATGAATGAGGTAACCGCTCCCTTGACCTTCGACTTTTGCTACTGCTTACTATGTTCGATGTATACGTCAACCGTTCTTCTTAGAAAAAATTTCGATATTCACGTATATTAGCCTTTCCTTCGATTTTAGATTTCGCAACTCTCGATATGTTTTTGTCTTTGTGTTTACCAGGTGTTTTAGCAATTGCATCGACTTGTTAATCCCTTGTATAGTTCTCGATTTTTTGTTTCCCTTCACTTTCTCGATCCTTTTATAGATTTCTCACTAACAAAATGCCCCCTTGGAAGAATATAAATAGTTTCCGTTTATATTCTTTCAACACGATTCCCGCTTTCGCTCGTTGGAGGCCCACAATAATTTAGGGTTTAGGGTTCCTGGGGTTTTAGGGTTTATGGGTTTTTAGGGTTTCTTTTTGCTTTATGTCGCCGTCTCGTCAGTCTGCTGCCTTGCAGTACAAGCCACATTAATTGCTTATGCTTCCGTCGTTTCCAGCACCCTAGGTAGCTTTTCCCTTAAACTCTATTAGTTTTTTACTCTGGTTTTTACGCGAATCTTTTACCTCTTTGCGACTTCGTCTTCTTCCTTGAGTTGTTGCCTTCGTTCTTGCTACCCCAGCTTTTAACCTCTATCATTTTGCTTTCCTTAGCTTATTGAAATGACAACCTCGTCTAAGTCTTCTGAATTTTCGGCTCCACCTCTTCCTTCGCTGACGGCTAATCTTCTGGAGATCAATAACCAGAAGTTTGCTCCAGTCCCTCTTATGGAGGAAGCTTCTCAAAAAGTCGCTGAGACGCAGGTACTCATTCCTTACACTGCTGATGGTGTTAATTTTGGTTTTGGGGGTCCTATTCGTTCTAGTAGTGAGACTTTTTCTTCCTTCACCCTCTCGAATAGCCCAACACTTATTCACCACCCTGAAGTTCGGATTAATTTTTTGACTATGGTCTCGAGAGTATACCGAACGGGTCCTCCTTCCAAAAAACCTTCTTTTATTAGGTGGTTTGATAGAGTAGAAGCCCAAGTTTGGGAACCACTGGGGAGATGTAGGGATTTTTGATTTTTTACACCTATCTCGATGTGACTTGTCGTTTTTGGATATGTCAATGTTTTTGTCTGCGGTGCATTTGTGGAATAAGGAATTACATGCTTTGGAGTTACCCTGTGGTCCCCTTTCACCTACTCTCTTTGAGGTTGCTGCTATAACCGGGCTAAAACCCACCGGGGAAAAGTATTATAAGGGTGTTTACCCTTCGGATAATTCTTTGAGGTCTAAAATCGATTGGGAATCGAAGGCCTATGGACATTTCCTTGAGAAACATTTCGTCGATGACGAATCGATAGCTGTGACTGACGAAGAACATATAGCCTTTTTGGTGTATTGGCTATGTACCCATGTTTTCTGCCCCCGATCCATCCAAATTTCCTCCCACCTCTACAACCTTGCCTACCTCCTCCATACTGGCCGACCTAGGATATGTTTGGCTAAACTTTTGTTGGCCCACGTGTATACTGTTTTCGACGAAGCTGTCGACATTTTGAGTACTCCTAAAGCATCGGGAAATTTCTCTGGCCCTATTTGGTTTGTACAGTTATGGCTGAACTCGATTTTTGAGAGCATCCTTCCCCCAACTTCCACTATCCCCCCAAGTGTAAATATCAAAGGTGCTCGATTGTCTTCTCGCCACCCTCACCACAAGCCTGACGAAGCGGCTTACTGTAGATATCTTAAGTTTTTGTTAACTAGATTTAATTTCGATTCAACTTTGGCTCCCTTTACCGTGCATCTTGGACGAATCAGCGACCAACTTCGAGGGTCAGTTTGGTTTAAGTCAAAATTCCCTTCCTTAACTCCTGGGTTGCAATCGGAGTTGGTTGATGTATGGAGTAATTATTTGACCCATGATGTATTAGTATCGGGTTTTCAGTCAAAAGATTTCAAGCTCATCACCTATTACCCCCAACTTTTCTCGAGACAATTTGGTCTGAGCCAATCCACACCTTTCTTCCCCCTCGATACCTCCCCAAGGTCCAAGTTAAGTGAGTCGATGATCGGACGGGAGCTGACCAAACTATTACCACAAACCCCACTGCTTTTTTATCTTTATGCTTTCGAATCGAATTATTTATCCACTGTGGGTTTCTCTCAATGGTGGGAATTTGGTTCTCGAGTAATCATTCTGCTTTTGACGAAGTTCGACAAAAATTGACTGCTCATCCTTCTCTTGTGTTGCAGGACAAATCGAAAGCGAAGAAAGGTACACACTCCCACTGTCTTCAAATATCTCGATTCGAGAATTTTTATCAAATATGTTACAACCCATTGAAATTAGAATCGACCTTCTATGATGTTGTTATCCCATAAAACAATCACCAATCGATCGAACCACAAAATAATCAATCCCTTAGGAAAAACACCTTTTGAAATGTATTACCCTAGTCACCTTCCCACTTTTCCTACAACACCCTTTGGGATCGTCAAACCTTTAACTCATCCCAAATGGGTTCGAGAATTGAGATCCTTGAGGGAAACACTCCGCCCGAAACCCAAAAACAAAAATATTTCTGTATCAAAATTGTCTTATTTTCCTTACCTCCACCTCCCTCAATTTCT